GGGTCCACGGCCAGGCCACCGTCGACACCTCGTCGACCTCAGTCTTCCACTCAAGGTAAGTTACCCAGCGTTCTGCAAAGGCAAGACCCCCAGAGGGGGGTCCCGAATCCTCCCCCTCTTGACAGAGAATTCTCTCTGCTGGTGGATGACCACCGGAGGCTCAGAAACACCAAGCAGGGAGGAAAGAGGGCCATCTGGTTGCGTCCCCCATCAGCGACCCAGATAGGGCCACCATGCCCCCAGGCGGCGTGGACGGGCAGCACTGTTCCCCCTTTGCACCCCCTCCCGAGTCCCCGTCGGGAACTTTAGCCTCCGGCTGCCCAGGCAACCTTGGCCAAGGAGCAGGCTTCAGGGCACTCCGCGGCAAGTCCGGAGGAACAAAGAGACACACAGGGGCATGCATGTGTGCCGAGTGTGCATGTGTGCACGCACACCTGCACCATGGATCCAGGTACGAGATCCATCTGTGGGTGTATTCCGTAGAACCCTGCCCCGGCTTCAGAGCCACCTGAAGTGATTCAGGTGTGTGGGACTGTCCAGCCCCTGCACACCGTCCAGGGTATCTGTGCTGTCAAGGTTCCATGGGCCTTAAAGTCCTCTCCTCTCGGTGTGTTCTTTCCTTGGTAGAAGACTCGGCCAGAGAGGCCAGGAGAAAGAGGACAGCCATCTCTCCTTCTCAAACAAGGATCCTTGTGCAAGCCTTCACGAGGGATCGCTTTCCAGGGATTGCCGCCAGGGAAGAACTGGCTCGTCAGACGGGAATCCCAGAACCTCGAATCCAGGTAAGTTCTCCAGCCAGCGCATGGGCCCAGGCCGTGGCCCAGGAGACGGGCGCGTTCAGCCCTGCCAAGCGTTTGGAGCTGGATACACGTCGGCTTGGGCCGGGGCTTGGGCTGGGGGGAGGGGGCCGAAAGTTGGTGGGCTGAGTGGTGGGTTTTGTGCCGCTTGTTGCCGTGCAGGCGCTCCTCATCTCCCAGGGCCCAGGGATTCGTTTGCAGAAAATGGCCCTGCAGAACTCGCCCTGGGCCTGCCAGATCAGAGGACGGGCCGCCAGGCGGGGTGACAAATGGGTGCCGCGGAGGCGCCAGCACGTTGATCTGGACGGTCACGGCTTCTGATGTGCCTGTCTGCCTTTTGCTCCCCTAGATATGGTTTCAAAACCGAAGAGCTCGGCACCCCCAGCAGAGCGCAAGGGGGCCTGGCAATGTCCGGGCCCGAGGACCAGGCGGCGCATCGGCCACGACCGCTCCTGCTCCAGAGGACCGAAGGGCCCCACCCGCTGTCCACAGCACCTCTCCTCCCCTTGGCCCCTCTCAGACACAGGAGAGCATGCCACCCTTGGCTGCAGCCGCTCCTTTGGGCGCCCCCACCTTCTGGGTGCCCGGGACTGCCTCTGGGGTCTGTGTGGGCCAGCCGTTGATGTTCTTCGTGATCCAGCCCAGCCCGATGTCTCTCCAGCCAAGTGAGAAGCCACCACCTCCTCCCCAGGTAGCAGTGCCCTGGGCCGCGTGCTCCCCTGCTGACACGGCCCCTTGGCAGCCTGGGCCAGGGGCCATCCTGCCGCCTCTACAGCCTGAGACACACATCAGGCGGAGGCCAGAGTCACCCGTTGCTGAAGGCACGGCCCCTCTGCTGGAGCCACAGCCCCATCCGCCCAGCCTTCCAAGATCGACAAGCCTCCTAGATGAGCTCTTGGCGGCCACCGGCATCCTGGAAACGCAGGCGCCTTCCGCGGGGGACGCTGCAGATGCACGAGTGCACCCTGCCCTCCCAGGCGAACCCAGCATCCTAGAAGAGTTCGTGGAGGCCACGGGCATCCCGGACATGCAGGCGCCTTGCCCGGGGGCCGCTGCAGATGCACGAGTGCACCCTGCCCTGCCAGACGCACCAGCTTCCTAGACGAGCTCTTGGAGGCCATGGGCATCACAGACTGGCAGGCGCCTTCCCCGGGGGCTGCTGCGGATGCAGGAGCACACCCTGCCCTCCCAGGCACAGCCAGCATCCTAGAAGAGTTCGTGGAGGCCACAGGCATCCCGGACACGCAGGCGCCTTCCCCGGGGGCTGCTGCAGATTCAGAAGTGCACCCTGCCCTGCCAGACGCACCCAGCTTCCTTGACGAGCTCTTGGAAGCCACGGGCATCGCAGACTGGCAGGCACCTTCCCCGGGGGCCGCTGCAGATGCAGGAGCGCACCCTGCCCTGCCAGTTGCAACCAGCTTCCTAGACGAGCTCTTGGATGCCACGGGCATCGAGGACTCTCAGGCGCCTTCCCCGGAGCCCGGTGCAGATGCAGGAGTGCACCCTGCCCTGCCAGACCCACCCAGCTTCCTAGACGAGCTCTTGGAGGCCACGGGCCTCGGGTCCTCGCAGGCGCCTTCCCCGGGGGCCGCTGCAGATGCAGGAGCACACCCTGCCCTGCCAGGCACACCCAGCTTTCTAGGCCAGCTCTTGGAGGCCACGGATATTGCGGCCTCGCAGGCGCCTTCCCTGGGGCCCTATGCAGATGCAGGAGCACACCTCGCCCTCCCAGGCTCACCCAGCCTCCAAGATGAGCTCCTGGCCGTCACATGCATCCCGGGCTCGCCGGGTCCTTCCCTGGGGTCCTCTCCTGTCATCCCAGGGTACCATCCAGCCCTCCCCGGGTCTCCCAGCCTCCTAGAGGAAATCATGGCTGCCTCGTCCATCCAGGACACGCCCTGGTCTTCACCGCGGGCCGCTGCGGACGAAGAAGGAGTTGAGGCAATCCTGGAGGCACCCCTCAGAGAGGAGGATTACCAGGCACTCCTGGACATGCTGCCAGGCTCCCCAGGCCCTCGGGCTTAGAGGGAGAAGAAGGAAAGGGGCACCATCTCCCCTGAGCCCCTTTCAGGTCTCCTTGCTTCAGAGGCCAAGCCACGGAGGTCGTGGAGTAGGGAAGATTTTAGGTGGGGGAGGGGGGGGCGGTGGGGAGCAAACAGACGGGATGACTACCAGCAACTTTGGGGACATACACTAGAGCTGGACCTTTGGGAAGCATGGGCCCCCTCCAAGAGGCACAGACCACCTGAAGCCTCAAGGAATCGCAGGATTCCAGTGACCAAGACGGTGGCTAAGAACGGACATGCTGTGGAGCCAATAAAGAAACCCTGTGCTCTGCACAGGTTCTTTTGGTCTGACTCATCTGTGTTCTGGTTGCGTCTTTCCAGCAGTCCACACAGGAGCACTCCTTCCCTAGGCCAGGGGCAGCCGAGCGAGTGGGAGTGGGAGATAGAGCAGTGGGAAGGTAGAAGGCTGGGAAACGCAAGGTGGGAGGGGGCGAGTGGATGGAGGGAGAGGGTGGGGGAGAAGGGAGAGGCTTGGGGAAGGCTCAGTGGGAGAGGGAGGGAGGAAGAGAAGAGAAGGAGACAGAGAGATTTGGGGACGGAGGGAGGGAGAGGGCGTTTGGGGGAGGGGGGCGGGGCCCCCGTCTGGGACTCAGCTTCTAGCCACTGGCCATCCCTGCAGGTATCCCTAAAATACTCCGTCAGGGACATGCTTCCCTCGGTTTCGGGGTGCCTGGTCTGGGCGGGTTTCCCGAGGTCAGATCCTCTGAGCCAGCAGTAGGGACCTACCCACACAACCGCTTTCACGACCAGACTCCATGTCAACACACATGCCTGGTAGAGCTGCAAAGGCCAATCATCTCCGTGTGTCTCTCTGATCCTCACGGTGTAGTGACTCAGCTCGCCCTGCCACCAGCATCCCCGCATCACCCGCAGACATACAGGCATGATTTCCTTGCAAACCCGTTCCTGAATTCATAGACACGGTGGATTCGATGTACATACAACCCCCTGACTGTTCCCATGTGAAGCCCCCGTGGTTGGCTTTAGAGACCTGCGTGGCCAAAGAATCCATTGGGAAAGATGGCTGTGGGTGTGGTGTTGTGGTTCGTTCATTTCTTTTCAATTCATTGGAACCTGTTCAGAGCCATCCCCCGTGTGGCCTCATGCAACCTCCTCCCTCCTGTGTCTGCTCCTGCCTCCTGATTCCCTCCTCCTTCTCCTCTCTGCCCTCCGTTTCTTTAAGAAAGCACACACTATTTCCACGTCCAGTTGTTGGCACAGGTCAGGGCGCCTCTCCGTCCAGAACGTGCATGCTTCCTTCCTTGGCTTAGTGGAACCACCTTCCTAAGAGTAGTGGGTACAGTGTCCCGTTTCCGAGGTCTCCCCAGGGCACTTTGAGTAGGGGGTGGGCTGGGGAGGTGCAAGCATCAGGGTGCACCTGAAAAAGCCCCAAACGGTGTGAGTTGCCATTCGAGACACTGGCCCATCACTTCTCTCGCAGTAGACTTGGGTTTCTGGCAAGTCAAAGACTTGGGTGTATTTGGTGGGGGTGGGCGTGGGGTGGGTGTGGGCAGGGCGGTGGACTGGGACTGCTGTCGGGAAAGGATGCCAGGGGGGCACCGAGGAGGTGGGGAGGAATGTGGAAAAGGGAGGCAAGGATTTAAGGCAGCTAGGAGGAGGCACTGGAGAGAGCGTCCAGTGTCCGGGAATGCTCCGGAGGAGCCGGCGGAGGCCATTGAGTCCAACGTATATGTGGAATGTGAAAAGGCGGGAAAAGCCAGGGCGTTTCGGAAGGCAAGGCAGGCTGGGAAAGGGGGCGTGGGCGGCAACTTCAAAGGGACCTAGGGGAATTCCCGTGCAGTTAGGACTCTGTGCACTGCGGAGGGCCCCCGAGCCTGGGGTTGATTCCAGCTGCTGCGTGGCAGGGCCACACACCAAAACCCCCAACGCCCACCGCCCCCAGGCCAACGTGGACCTTGGGAGTCTGGGTCGCGGGCCGTGCCCGTGAAAGCCCACTGGCTCCACGGGATTCTTTCCAGGGTCTCTGCTTGGAGGCCAGGGGCGTCCCCTCTGACTAAGCACCCACCACGATTGACGTGAATAGGGGCGGAGCTGCCTCACCCTATCCAAAGTCCCGAGCAGCTGGGTCCTGGCCCACTGAGAAGGCAGTCTGCAGCGTCCCTGTGGCTCTCCCACCATGGCTTCGTCCAGCTCCTCCAGCACCTCAGGCGGTACGTTTGCCCTCGCTCCCTGGGGTCGGATCAGGTCTCGGGGTGGGGGTGGGGGGTGGGTCTGTGGATAGCCCGGCCAAGGGTTCACTGCAAACGTGTCGACTGACCGCCAAGAAAGCCAGGGACCGATCGGCTGGGCCCCTGGTTTCCAGGCGTCAGGTGTGCCCAGAGAGGCACCGTTTGGTCGTTTGGCTCCTTTGGCACACACATGGCTTCTCCTTTCTCTTTTCTGTGATGATGGTGTTGGTTGTGTGTTAGGGGGGCCGGTAGGGGAACTGGCATGGGGCCCTATTTCCTCATCTTGCCATGGAAATGGACGTCGGGGAGCTCTGTGGCTTTGCCAACTTCAGTGGCTTTCTGTCCACAATGGCCTAGTGCCTTCTGTCTTCCGTCAGGCGTTGCATGTTGGGCTTCGCCTTGGCTTCCTTCCCTCTTCCTTTCCTGTTCCCCTAGTGACGGCAAATATGGCCTGGGCTCCTCTTAGCCCCGAGAAGCCAGGTTCCCCTCCATTGGCATTGTGATGGAGGGAATTTTGGGAGAGGCCCCATCAAGACATTTCCCAGGCATCTGCTGAGGCAGGTGGAAAAATGTCTCTGCAGACAGGCTGCATGGTGTGCTGGTCTTTGGTGGGTGGGATTTCTTGCCAGCTTTGTTTCAGGGGCGGGTTTGGCTTCCTTTCTGCTTGCTGGTGTTCCTCGGACTCCAGCGTGGGTCGGGGGTTGGGGGATTTCCCCACTGCCCTTGACTCTCGGCCTGTCACTCGGGGTGTAGTCAAGTGACTTCCAAATGCAGAGGCGTCCCCGGGCTCCCGGCTTTGCTGAGGCACAGGGGCAACTGCCCTGGGTGGGGAGCATGCTTGGGCACTTCCGTCGAGTCCTCTCCAAACCCCACGTCCTCTGAGACTTTTCCCTTTCGTCTCTTCCACAGGCCCCATCGCCAGAGGATCTCGAAGGAGGAGGCTCGTTCTGAAGCTGAGCCAGAAGGACACCCTGCAAGCGCTCTTTCAACAGAACCCCTACCCTGGGATAGCGACCAGAGAACGACTGGCCCGAGAGCTTGGCATTGCCGAAAGCAGAGTTCAGGTAGGGCCCCCTCTCTCCACCCGTTCTCCCTCTCAGGCTCCCCGTGCCGATCCGCGTCAGCAGAAAGCACCCGGAGGCCTTTCTCTTGAGAACGTATTCTCTCTGTTTGCCCCTAGGTCTGGTTTCAGAACCAACGAAGAAGACGGTTAAAGCAGAGCCGATCGCCGTCTGCAAATATGCGCCAAGACGGGGAAGGGGCGCCAGGGTCCACGGCCAGGCCACCGTCGACACCTCGTCGACCTCAGTCTTCCACTCAAGGTAAGTTACCCAGCGTTCTGCAAAGGCAAGACCCCCAGAGGGGGGTCCCGAATCCTCCCCCTCTTGACAGAGAATTCTCTCTGCTGGTGGATGACCACCGGAGGCTCAGAAACACCAAGCAGGGAGGAAACAGGGCCATCTGGTTGCGTCCCCCATCAGCGACCCAGATAGGGCCACCATGCCCCCAGGCGGCGTGGACGGGCAGCACTGTTCCCCCTTTGCACCCCCTCCCGAGTCCCCGTCGGGAACTTTAGCCTCCGGCTGCCCAGGCAACCTTGGCCAAGGAGCAGGCTTCAGGGCGCTCCGCGGCAAGTCCGGAGGAACAAAGAGACACACAGGGGCATGCATGTGTGCCGAGTGTGCATGTGTGCACACACACCTGCACCATGGATCCAGGCACGAGATCCATCTGTGGGTGTATTCCGTAGAACCCTGCCCCGGCTTCAGAGCCACCTGAAGTGATTCAGGTGTGTGGGACTGTCCAGCCCCTGCACACCGTCTAGGGTATCTGTGCTGTCAAGGTTCCATGGGCCTTAAAGTCCTCTCCTCTCGGTGTGTTCTTTCCTTGGTAGAAGACTCGGCCAGAGAGGCCAGGAGAAAGAGGACAGCCATCTCTCCTTCTCAAACAAGGATCCTTGTGCAAGCCTTCACGAGGGATCGCTTTCCAGGGATTGCCGCCAGGGAAGAACTGGCTCGTCAGACGGGAATCCCAGAACCTCGAATCCAGGTAAGTTCTCCAGCCAGCGCATGGGCCCAGGCCGTGGCCCAGGAGACGGGTGCGTTCAGCCCTGCCAAGCGTTTGGAGCTGGATACACGTCGGCTTGGGCCGGGGCTTGGGCTGGGGGGAGGGGGCCGAAGGTTGGTGGGCTGAGTGGTGGGTTTTGTGCCGCTTGTTGCCGTGCAGGCGCTCCTCATCTCCCAGGGCCCAGGGATTCGTTTGCAGAAAATGGCCCTGCAGAACTCGCCCTGGGCCTGCCAGATCAGAGGACGGGCCGCCAGGCGGGGTGACAAATGGGTGCCGCGGAGGCGCCAGCACGTTGATCTGGACGGTCACGGCTTCTGATGTGCCTGTCTGCCTTTTGCTCCCCTAGATATGGTTTCAAAACCGAAGAGCTCGGCACCCCCAGCAGAGCGCAAGGGGGCCTGGCAATGTCCGGGCCCGAGGACCAGGCGGCGCATCGGCCACGACCGCTCCTGCTCCAGAGGACCGAAGGGCCCCACCCGCTGTCCACAGCACCTCTCCTCCCCTTGGCCCCTCTCAGACACAGGAGAGCATGCCACCCTTGGCTGCAGCCGCTCCTTTGGGCGCCCCCACCTTCTGGGTGCCCGGGACTGCCTCTGGGGTCTGTGTGGGCCAGCCGTTGATGTTCTTCGTGATCCAGCCCAGCCCGATGGCTCTCCAGCCAAGTGAGAAGCCACCACCTCCTCCCCAGGTAGCAGTGCCCTGGGCCGCGTGCTCCCCTGCTGACACGGCCCCTTGGCAGCCTGGGCCAGGGGCCATCCTGCCGCCTCTACAGCCTGAGACACACATCAGGCGGAGGCCAGAGTCACCCGTTGCTGAAGGCACGGCCCCTCTGCTAGAGCCACAGCCCCATCCGCCCAGCCTTCCAAGATCGACAAGCCTCCTAGATGAGCTCTTGGCGGCCACCGGCATCCTGGAAACGCAGGCGCCTTCCGCGGGGGACGCTGCAGATGCACGAGTGCACCCTGCCCTCCCAGGCGAACCCAGCATCCTAGAAGAGTTCGTGGAGGCCACGGGCATCCCGGACATGCAGGCGCCTTGCCCGGGGGCCGCTGCAGATGCACGAGTGCACCCTGCCCTGCCAGACGCACCCAGCTTCCTAGACGAGCTCTTGGAGGCCATGGGCATCACAGACTGGCAGGCGCCTTCCCCGGGGGCTGCTGCGGATGCAGGAGCACACCCTGCCCTCCCAGGCACAGCCAGCATCCTAGAAGAGTTCGTGGAGGCCACAGGCATCCCGGACACGCAGGCGCCTTCCCCGGGGGCTGCTGCAGATTCAGAAGTGCACCCTGCCCTGCCAGACGCACCCAGCTTCCTTGACGAGCTCTTGGAAGCCACGGGCATCGCAGACTGGCAGGCACCTTCCCCGGGGGCCGCTGCAGATGCAGGAGCGCACCCTGCCCTGCCAGTTGCAACCAGCTTCCTAGACGAGCTCTTGGATGCCACGGGCATCGAGGACTCTCAGGCGCCTTCCCCGGAGCCCGGTGCAGATGCAGGAGTGCACCCTGCCCTGCCAGACCCACCCAGCTTCCTAGACGAGCTCTTGGAGGCCACGGGCCTCGGGTCCTCGCAGGCGCCTTCCCCGGGGGCCGCTGCAGATGCAGGAGCACACCCTGCCCTGCCAGGCACACCCAGCTTTCTAGGCCAGCTCTTGGAGGCCACGGATATTGCGGCCTCGCAGGCGCCTTCCCTGGGGCCCTATGCAGATGCAGGAGCACACCTCGCCCTCCCAGGCTCACCCAGCCTCCAAGATGAGCTCCTGGCCATCACATGCATCCCGGGCTCGCCGGGTCCTTCCCTGGGGTCCTCTCCTGTCATCCCAGGGTACCATCCAGCCCTCCCCGGGTCTCCCAGCCTCCTAGAGGAAATCATGGCTGCCTCGTCCATCCAGGACACGCCCTGGTCTTCACCGCGGGCCGCTGCGGACGAAGAAGGAGTTGAGGCAATCCTGGAGGCACCCCTCAGAGAGGAGGATTACCAGGCACTCCTGGACATGCTGCCAGGCTCCCCAGGCCCTCGGGCTTAGAGGGAGAAGAAGGAAAGGGGCACCATCTCCCCTGAGCCCCTTTCAGGTCTCCTTGCTTCAGAGGCCAAGCCACGGAGGTCGTGGAGTAGGGAAGATTTTAGGTGGGGGGGGGGGGGGGCGGTGGGGAGCAAACAGACGGGATGACTACCAGCAACTTTGGGGACATACACTAGAGCTGGACCTTTGGGAAGCATGGGCCCCCTCCAAGAGGCACAGACCACCTGAAGCCTCAAGGAATCACAGGATTCCAGTGACCAAGACGGTGGCTAAGAACGGACATGCTGTGGAGCCAATAAAGAAACCCTGTGCTCTGCACAGGTTCTTTTGGTCTGACTCATGTGTGTTCTGGTTGCGTCTTTCCAGCAGTCCACACAGGAGCACTCCTTCCCTAGGCCAGGGGCAGCCGAGCGAGTGGGAGTGGGAGATAGAGCAGTGGGAAGGTAGAAGGCTGGGAAATGCAAGGTGGGAGGGGGCGAGTGGATGGAGGGAGAGGGTGGGGGAGAAGGGAGAGGCTTGGGGAAGGCTCAGTGGGAGAGGGAGGGAGGAAGAGAAGAGAAGGAGACAGAGAGATTTGGGGACGGAGGGAGGGAGAGGGCGTTTGGGGGAGGGGGGCGGGGCCCCCGTCTGGGACTCAGCTTCTAGCCACTGGCCATCCCTGCAGGTATCCCTAAAATACTCCGTCAGGGACATGCTTCCCTCGGTTTCGGGGTGCCTGGTCTGGGCGGGTTTCCCGAGGTCAGATCCTCTGAGCCAGCAGTAGGGACCTACCCACACAACCGCTTTCACGACCAGACTCCATGTCAACACACATGCCTGGTAGAGCTGCAAAGGCCAATCATCTCCGTGTGTCTCTCTGATCCTCACGGTGTAGTGACTCAGCTCGCCCTGCCACCAGCATCCCCGCATCACCCGCAGACATACAGGCATGATTTCCTTGCAAACCCGTTCCTGAATTCATAGACACGGTGGATTCGATGTACATACAACCCCCTGACTGTTCCCATGTGAAGCCCCCGTGGTTGGCTTTAGAGACCTGCGTGGCCAAAGAATCCATTGGGAAAGATGGCTGTGGGTGTGGTGTTGTGGTTCGTTCATTTCTTTTCAATTCATTGGAACCTGTTCAGAGCCATCCCCCGTGTGGCCTCATGCAACCTCCTCCCTCCTGTGTCTGCTCCTGCCTCCTGATTCCCTCCTCCTTCTCCTCTCTGCCCTCCGTTTCTTTAAGAAAGCACACACTATTTCCACGTCCAGTTGTTGGCACAGGTCAGGGCGCCTCTCCGTCCAGAACGTGCATGCTTCCTTCCTTGGCTTAGTGGAACCACCTTCCTAAGAGTAGTGGGTACAGTGTCCCGTTTCCGAGGTCTCCCCAGGGCACTTTGAGTAGGGGGTGGGCTGGGGAGGTGCAAGCATCAGGGTGCACCTGAAAAAGCCCCAAACGGTGTGAGTTGCCATTCGAGACACTGGCCCATCACTTCTCTCGCAGTAGACTTGGGTTTCTGGCAAGTCAAAGACTTGGGTGTATTTGGTGGGGGTGGGCGTGGGGTGGGTGTGGGCAGGGCGGTGGACTGGGACTGCTGTCGGGAAAGGATGCCAGGGGGGCACCGAGGAGGTGGGGAGGAATGTGGAAAAGGGAGGCAAGGATTTAAGGCAGCTAGGAGGAGGCACTGGAGAGAGCGTCCAGTGTCCGGGAATGCTCCGGAGGAGCCGGCGGAGGCCATTGAGTCCAACGTATATGTGGAATGTGAAAAGGCGGGAAAAGCCAGGGCGTTTCGGAAGGCAAGGCAGGCTGGGAAAGGGGGCGTGGGCGGCAACTTCAAAGGGACCTAGGGGAATTCCCGTGCAGTTAGGACTCTGTGCACTGCGGAGGGCCCCCGAGCCTGGGGTTGATTCCAGCTGCTGCGTGGCAGGGCCACACACCAAAACCCCCAACGCCCACCGCCCCCAGGCCAACGTGGACCTTGGGAGTCTGGGTCACGGGCCGTGCCCGTGAAAGCCCACTGGCTCCACGGGATTCTTTCCAGGGTCTCTGCTTGGCGGCCAGGGGCGTCCCCTCTGACTAAGCACCCACCACGATTGACGTCAATAGGGGCGGAGCTGCCTCACCCTATCCAAAGTCCCGAGCAGCTGGGTCCTGGCCCACTGAGAAGGCAGTCTGCAGCGTCCCTGTGGCTCTCCCACCATGGCTTCGTCCAGCTCCTCCAGCACCTCAGGCGGTACGTTTGCCCTCGCTCCCTGGGGTCGGATCAGGTCTCGGGGTGGGGGTGGGGGGTGGGTCTGTGGATAGCCCGGCCAAGGGTTCACTGCAAACGTGTCGACTGACCGCCAAGAAAGCCAGGGACCGATCGGCTGGGCCCCTGGTTTCCAGGCGTCAGGTGTGCCCAGAGAGGCACCGTTTGGTCGTTTGGCTCCTTTGGCACACACATGGCTTCTCCTTTCTCTTTTCTGTGATGATGGTGTTGGTTGTGTGTTAGGGGGGCCGGTAGGGGAACTGGCATGGGGCCCTATTTCCTCATCTTGCCATGGAAATGGATGTCGGGGAGCTCTGTGGCTTTGCCAACTTCAGTGGCTTTCTGTCCACAATGGCCTAGTGCCTTCTGTCTTCCGTCAGGCGTTGCATGTTGGGCTTCGCCTTGGCTTCCTTCCCTCTTCCTTTCCTGTTCCCCTAGTGACGGCAAATATGGCCTGGGCTCCTCTTAGCCCCGAGAAGCCAGGTTCCCCTCCATTGGCATTGTGATGGAGGGAATTTTGGGAGAGGCCCCATCAAGACATTTCCCAGGCATCTGCTGAGGCAGGTGGAAAAATGTCTCTGCAGACAGGCTGCATGGTGTGCTGGTCTTTGGTGGGTGGGATTTCTTGCCAGCTTTGTTTCAGGGGCGGGTTTGGCTTCCTTTCTGCTTGCTGGTGTTCCTCGGACTCCAGCGTGGGTCGGGGGTTGGGGGATTTCCCCACTGCCCTTGACTCTCGGCCTGTCACTCGGGGTGTAGTCAAGTGACTTCCAAATGCAGAGGCGTCCCCGGGCTCCCGGCTTTGCTGAGGCACAGGGGCAACTGCCCTGGGTGGGGAGCATGCTTGGGCACTTCCGTCGAGTCCTCTCCAAACCCCACGTCCTCTGAGACTTTTCCCTTTCGTCTCTTCCACAGGCCCCATCGCCAGAGGATCTCGAAGGAGGAGGCTCGTTCTGAAGCTGAGCCAGAAGGACACCCTGCAAGCGCTCTTTCAACAGAACCCCTACCCTGGGATAGCGACCAGAGAACGACTGGCCCGAGAGCTTGGCATTGCCGAAAGCAGAGTTCAGGTAGGGCCCCCTCTCTCCACCCGTTCTCCCTCTCAGGCTCCCCGTGCCGATCCGCGTCAGCAGAAAGCACCCGGAGGCCTTTCTCTTGAGAACGTATTCTCTCTGTTTGCCCCTAGGTCTGGTTTCAGAACCAACGAAGAAGACGGTTAAAGCAGAGCCGATCGCCGTCTGCAAATATGCGCCAAGACGGGGAAGGGGCGCCAGGGTCCACGGCCAGGCCACCGTCGACACCTCGTCGACCTCAGTCTTCCACTCAAGGTAAGTTACCCAGCGTTCTGCAAAGGCAAGACCCCCAGAGGGGGGTCCCGAATCCTCCCCCTCTTGACAGAGAATTCTCTCTGCTGGTGGATGACCACCGGAGGCTCAGAAACACCAAGCAGGGAGGAAACAGGGCCATCTGGTTGCGTCCCCCATCAGTGACCCAGATAGGGCCACCATGCCCCCAGGCGGCGTGGACGGGCAGCACTGTTCCCCCTTTGCACCCCCTCCCGAGTCCCCGTCGGGAACTTTAGCCTCCGGCTGCCCAGGCAACCTTGGCCAAGGAGCAGGCTTCAGGGCACTCCGCGGCAAGTCCGGAGGAACAAAGAGACACACAGGGGCATGCATGTGTGCCGAGTGTGCATGTGTGCACGCACACCTGCACCATGGATCCAGGCACGAGATCCATCTGTGGGTGTATTCCGTAGAACCCTGCCCCGGCTTCAGAGCCACCTGAAGTGATTCAGGTGTGTGGGACTGTCCAGCCCCTGCACACCGTCTAGGGTATCTGTGCTGTCAAGGTTCCATGGGCCTTAAAGTCCTCTCCTCTCGGTGTGTTCTTTCCTTGGTAGAAGACTCGGCCAGAGAGGCCAGGAGAAAGAGGACAGCCATCTCTCCTTCTCAAACAAGGATCCTTGTGCAAGCCTTCACGAGGGATCGCTTTCCAGGGATTGCCGCCAGGGAAGAACTGGCTCGTCAGACGGGAATCCCAGAACCTCGAATCCAGGTAAGTTCTCCAGCCAGCGCATGGGCCCAGGCCGTGGCCCAGGAGACAGGCGCGTTCAGCCCTGCCAAGCGTTTGGAGCTGGATACACGTCGGCTTGGGCCGGGGCTTGGGCTGGGGGGAGGGGGCCGAAAGTTGGTGGGCTGAGTGGTGGGTTTTGTGCCGCTTGTTGCCGTGCAGGCGCCCCTCATCTCCCAGGGCCCAGGGATTCGTTTGCAGAAAATGGCCCTGCAGAACTCGCCCTGGGCCTGCCAGATCAGAGGACGGGCCGCCAGGCGGGGTGACAAATGGGTGCCGCGGAGGCGCCAGCACGTTGATCTGGACGGTCACGGCTTCTGATGTGCCTGTCTGCCTTTTGCTCCCCTAGATATGGTTTCAAAACCGAAGAGCTCGGCACCCCCAGCAGAGCGCAAGGGGGCCTGGCAATGTCCGGGCCCGAGGACCAGGCGGCGCATCGGCCACGACCGCTCCTGCTCCAGAGGACCGAAGGGCCCCACCCGCTGTCCACAGCACCTCTCCTCCCCTTGGCCCCTCTCAGACACAGGAGAGCATGCCACCCTTGGCTGCAGCCGCTCCTTTGGGCGCCCCCACCTTCTGGGTGCCCGGGACTGCCTCTGGGGTCTGTGTGGGCCAGCCGTTGATGTTCTTCGTGATCCAGCCCAGCCCGATGGCTCTCCAGCCAAGTGAGAAGCCACCACCTCCTCCCCAGGTAGCAGTGCCCTGGGCCGCGTGCTCCCCTGCTGACACGGCCCCTTGGCAGCCTGGGCCAGGGGCCATCCTGCCGCCTCTACAGCCTGAGACACACATCAGGCGGAGGCCAGAGTCACCCGTTGCTGAAGGCACGGCCCCTCTGCTAGAGCCACAGCCCCATCCGCCCAGCCTTCCAAGATCGACAAGCCTCCTAGATGAGCTCTTGGCGGCCACCGGCATCCTGGAAACGCAGGCGCCTTCCGCGGGGGACGCTGCAGATGCACGAGTGCACCCTGCCCTCCCAGGCGAACCCAGCATCCTAGAAGAGTTCGTGGAGGCCACGGGCATCCCGGACATGCAGGCGCCTTGCCCGGGGGCCGCTGCAGATGCACGAGTGCACCCTGCCCTGCCAGACGCACCCAGCTTCCTAGACGAGCTCTTGGAGGCCATGGGCATCACAGACTGGCAGGCGCCTTCCCCGGGGGCTGCTGCGGATGCAGGAGCACACCCTGCCCTCCCAGGCACAGCCAGCATCCTAGAAGAGTTCGTGGAGGCCACAGGCATCCCGGACACGCAGGCGCCTTCCCCGGGGGCTGCTGCAGATTCAGAAGTGCACCCTGCCCTGCCAGACGCACCCAGCTTCCTTGACGAGCTCTTGGAAGCCACGGGCATCGCAGACTGGCAGGCACCTTCCCCGGGGGCCGCTGCAGATGCAGGAGCGCACCCTGCCCTGCCAGTTGCAACCAGCTTCCTAGACGAGCTCTTGGATGCCACGGGCATCGAGGACTCTCAGGCGCCTTCCCCGGAGCCCGGTGCAGATGCAGGAGTGCACCCTGCCCTGCCAGACCCACCCAGCTTCCTAGACGAGCTCTTGGAGGCCACGGGCCTCGGGTCCTCGCAGGCGCCTTCCCCGGGGGCCGCTGCAGATGCAGGAGCACACCCTGCCCTGCCAGGCACACCCAGCTTTCTAGGCCAGCTCTTGGAGGCCACGGATATTGCGGCCTCGCAGGCGCCTTCCCTGGGGCCCTATGCAGATGCAGGAGCACACCTCGCCCTCCCAGGCTCACCCAGCCTCCAAGATGAGCTCCTGGCCGTCACATGCATCCCGGGCTCGCCGGGTCCTTCCCTGGGGTCCTCTCCTGTCATCCCAGGGTACCATCCAGCCCTCCCCGGGTCTCCCAGCCTCCTAGAGGAAATCATGGCTGCCTCGTCCATCCAGGACACGCCCTGGTCTTCACCGCGGGCCGCTGCGGACGAAGAAGGAGTTGAGGCAATCCTGGAGGCACCCCTCAGAGAGGAGGATTACCAGGCACTCCTGGACATGCTGCCAGGCTCCCCAGGCCCTCGGGCTTAGAGGGAGAAGAAGGAAAGGGGCACCATCTCCCCTGAGCCCCTTTCAGGTCTCCTTGCTTCAGAGGCCAAGCCACGGAGGTCGTGGAGTAGGGAAGATTTTAGGTGGGGGAGGGGGGGGCGGTGGGGAGCAAACAGACGGGATGACTACCAGCAACTTTGGGGACATACACTAGAGCTGGACCTTTGGGAAGCATGGGCCCCCTCCAAGAGGCACAGACCACCTGAAGCCTCAAGGAATCGCAGGATTCCAGTGACCAAGACGGTGGCTAAGAACGGACATGCTGTGGAGCCAATAAAGAAACCCTGTGCTCTGCACAGGTTCTTTTGGTCTGACTCATCTGTGTTCTGGTTGCGTCTTTCCAGCAGTCCACACAGGAGCACTCCTTCCCTAGGCCAGGGGCAGCCGAGCGAGTGGGAGTGGGAGATAGAGCAGTGGGAAGGTAGAAGGCTGGGAAACGCAAGGTGGGAGGGGGCGAGTGGATGGAGGGAGAGGGTGGGGGAGAAGGGAGAGGCTTGGGGAAGGCTCAGTGGGAGAGGGAGGGAGGAAGAGAAGAGAAGGAGACAGAGAGATTTGGGGACGGAGGGAGGGAGAGGGCGTTTGGGGGAGGGGGGCGGGGCCCCCGTCTGGGACTCAGCTTCTAGCCACTGGCCATCCCTGCAGGTATCCCTAAAATACTCCGTCAGGGACATGCTTCCCTCGGTTTCGGGGTGCCTGGTCTGGGCGGGTTTCCCGAGGTCAGATCCTCTGAGCCAGCAGTAGGGACCTACCCACACAACCGCTTTCACGACCAGACTCCATGTCAACACACATGCCTGGTAGAGCTGCAAAGGCCAATCATCTCCGTGTGTCTCTCTGATCCTCACGGTGTAGTGACTCAGCTCGCCCTGCCACCAGCATCCCCGCATCACCCGCAGACATACAGGCATGATTTCCTTGCAAACCCGTTCCTGAATTCATAGACACGGTGGATTCGATGTACATACAACCCCCTGACTGTTCCCATGTGAAGCCCCCGTGGTTGGCTTTAGAGACCTGCGTGGCCAAAGAATCCATTGGGAAAGATGGCTGTGGGTGTGGTGTTGTGGTTCGTTCATTTCTTTTCAATTCATTGGAACCTGTTCAGAGCCATCCCCCGTGTGGCCTCATGCAACCTCCTCCCTCCTGTGTCTGCTCCTGCCTCCTGATTCCCTCCTCCTTCTCCTCTCTGCCCTCCGTTTCTTTAAGAAAGCACACACTATTTCCACGTCCAGTTGTTGGCACAGGTCAGGGCGCCTCTCCGTCCAGAACGTGCATGCTTCCTTCCTTGGCTTAGTGGAACCACCTTCCTAAGAGTAGTGGGTACAGTGTCCCGTTTCCGAGGTCTCCCCAGGGCACTTTGAGTAGGGGGTGGGCTGGGGAGGTGCAAGCATCAGGGTGCACCTGAAAAAGCCCCAAACGGTGTGAGTTGCCATTCGAGACACTGGCCCATCACTTCTCTCGCAGTAGACTTGGGTTTCTGGCAAGTCAAAGACTTGGGTGTATTTGGTGGGGGTGGGCGTGGGGTGGGTGTGGGCAGGGCGGTGGACTGGGACTGCTGTCGGGAAAGGATGCCAGGGGGGCACCGAGGAGGTGGGGAGGAATGTGGAAAAGGGAGGCAAGGATTTAAGGCAGCTAGGAGGAGGCACTGGAGAGAGCGTCCAGTGTCCGGGAATGCTCCGGAGGAGCCGGCGGAGGCCATTGAGTCCAACGTATATGTGGAATGTGAAAAGGCGGGAAAAGCCAGGGCGTTTCGGAAGGCAAGGCAGGCTGGGAAAGGGGGCGTGGGCGGCAACTTCAAAGGGACCTAGGGGAATTCCCGTGCAGTTAGGACTCTGTGCACTGCGGAGGGCCCCCGAGCCTGGGGTTGATTCCAGCTGCTGCGTGGCAGGGCCACACACCAAAACCCCCAACGCCCACCGCCCCCAGGCCAACGTGGACCTTGGGAGTCTGGGTCGCGGGCCGTGCCCGTGAAAGCCCACTGGCTCCACGGGATTCTTTCCAGGGTCTCTGCTTGGCGGCCAGGGGCGTCCCTTCTGACTATGCACTCACAAGGATTGACGTCAATAGGGGCAGAGCTGCCTCACCCTATCCAAAGTCCCGAGCAGCTGGGTCCTGGCCCACTGAGAAGGCAGTCTGCAGCGTCCCTGTGGCTCTCCCACCATGGCTTCGTCCAGCTCCTCCAGCACCTCAGGCGGTACGTTTGCCCTCGCTCCCTGGGGTCGGATCAGGTCTCGGGGTGGGGGTGGGGGGTGGGTCTGTGGATAGCCCGGCCAAGGGTTCACTGCAAACGTGTCGACTGACCGCCAAGAAAGCCAGGGACCGATCGGCTGGGCCCCTGGTTTCCAGGCGTCAGGTGTGCCCAGAGAGGCACCGTTTGGTCGTTTGGCTCCTTTGGCACACACATGGCTTCTCCTTTCTCTTTTCTGTGATGATGGTGTTGGTTGTGTGTTAGGGGGGCCGGTAGGGGAACTGGCATGGGGCCCTATTTCCTCATCTTGCCATGGAAATGGACGTCGGGGAGCTCTGTGGCTTTGCCAACTTCAGTGGCTTTCTGTCCACAATGGCCTAGTGCCTTCTGTCTTCCGTCAGGCGTTGCATGTTGGGCTTCGCCTTGGCTTCCTTCCCTCTTCCTTTCCTGTTCCCCTAGTGACGGCAAATATGGCCTGGGCTCCTCTTAGCCCCGAGAAGCCAGGTTCCCCTCCATTGGCATTGTGATGGAGGGAATTTTGGGAGAGGCCCCATCAAGACATTTCCCAGGCATCTGCTGAGGCAGGTGGAAAAATGTCTCTGCAGACAGGCTGCATGGTGTGCTGGTCTTTGGTGGGTGGGATTTCTTGCCAGCTTTGTTTCAGGGGCGGGTTTGGCTTCCTTTCTGCTTGCTGGTGTTCCTCGGACTCCAGCGTGGGTCGGGGGTTGGGGGATTTCCCCACTGCCCTTGACTCTCGGCCTGTCACTCGGGGTGTAGTCAAGTGACTTCCAAATGCAGAGGCGTCCCCGGGCTCCCAGCTTTGCTGAGGCACAGGGGCAACTGCCCTGGGTGGGGAGCATGCTTGGGCACTTCCGTCGAGTCCTCTCCAAACCCCACGTCCTCTGAGACTTTTCCCTTTCGTCTCTTCCACAGGCCCCATCGCCAGAGGATCTCGAAGGAGGAGGCTCGTTCTGAAGCTGAGCCAGAAGGACACCCTGCAAGCGCTCTTTCAACAGAACCCCTACCCTGGGATAGCGACCAGAGAACGACTGGCCCGAGAGCTTGGCATTGCCGAAAGCAGAGTTCAGGTAGGGCCCCCTCTCTCCACCCGTTCTCCCTCTCAGGCTCCCCGTGCCGATCCGCGTCAGCAGAAAGCACCCGGAGGCCTTTCTCTTGAGAACGTATTCTCTCTGTTTGCCCCTAGGTCTGGTTTCAGAACCAACGAAGAAGACGGTTAAAGCAGAGCCGATCGCCGTCTGCAAATATGCGCCAAGACGGGGAAGGGGCGCCAGGGTCCACGGCCAGGCCACCGTCGACACCTCGTCGACCTCAGTCTTCCACTCAAGGTAAGTTACCCAGCGTTCTGCAAAGGCAAGACCCCCAGAGGGGGGTCCCGAATCCTCCCCCTCTTGACAGAGAATTCTCTCTGCTGGTGGATGACCACCGGAGGCTCAGAAACACCAAGCAGGGAGGAAACAGGGCCATCTGGTTGCGTCCCCCATCAGTGACCCAGATAGGGCCACCATGCCCCCAGGCGGCGTGGACGGGCAGCACTGTTCCCCCTTTGCACCCCCTCCCGAGTCCCCGTCGGGAACTTTAGCCTCCGGCTGCCCAGGCAACCTTGGCCAAGGAGCAGGCTTCAGGGCACTCCGCGGCAAGTCCGGAGGAACAAAGAGACACACAGGGGCATGCATGTGTGCCGAGTGTGCATGTGTGCACGCACACCTGCACCATGGATCCAGGCACGAGATCCATCTGTGGGTGTATTCCGTAGAACCCTGCCCCGGCTTCAGAGCCACCTGAAGTGATTCAGGTGTGTGGGACTGTCCAGCCCCTGCACACCGTCTAGGGTATCTGTGCTGTCAAGGTTCCATGGGCCTTAAAGTCCTCTCCTCTCGGTGTGTTCTTTCCTTGGTAGAAGACTCGGCCAGAGAGGCCAGGAGAAAGAGGACAGCCATCTCTCCTTCTCAAACAAGGATCCTTGTGCAAGCCTTCACGAGGGATCGCTTTCCAGGGATTGCCGCCAGGGAAGAACTGGCTCGTCAGACGGGAATCCCAGAACCTCGAATCCAGGTAAGTTCTCCAGCCAGCGCATGGGCCCAGGCCGTGGCCCAGGAGACAGGCGCGTTAAGCCCTGCCAAGCGTTTGGAGCTGGATACACGTCGGCTTGGGCCGGGGCTTGGGCTGGGGGGAGGGGGCCGAAAGTTGGTGGGCTGAGTGGTGGGTTTTGTGCCGCTTGTTGCCGTGCAGGCGCTCCTCATCTCCCAGGGCCCAGGGATTCGTTTGCAGAAAATGGCCCTGCAGAACTCGCCCTGGGCCTGCCAGATCAGAGGACGGGCCGCCAGGCGGGGTGACAAATGGGTGCCGCGGAGGCGCCAGCACGTTGATCTGGACGGTCACGGCTTCTGATGTGCCTGTCTGCCTTTTGCTCCCCTAGATATGGTTTCAAAACCGAAGAGCTCGGCACCCCCAGCAGAGCGCAAGGGGGCCTGGCAATGTCCGGGCCCGAGGACCAGGCGGCGCATCGGCCACGACCGCTCCTGCTCCAGAGGACCGAAGGGCCCCACCCGCTGTCCACAGCACCTCTCCTCCCCTTGGCCCCTCTCAGACACAGGAGAGCATGCCACCCTTGGCTGCAGCCGCTCCTTTGGGCGCCCCCACCTTCTGGGTGCCCGGGACTGCCTCTGGGGTCTGTGTGGGCCAGCCGTTGATGTTCTTCGTGATCCAGCCCAGCCCGATGGCTCTCCAGCCAAGTGAGAAGCCACCACCTCCTCCCCAGGTAGCAGTGCCCTGGGCCGCGTGCTCCCCTGCTGACACGGCCCCTTGGCAGCCTGGGCCAGGGGCCATCCTGCCGCCTCTACAGCCTGAGACACACATCAGGCGGAGGCCAGAGTCACCCGTTGCTGAAGGCACGGCCCCTCTGCTAGAGCCACAGCCCCATCCGCCCAGCCTTCCAAGATCGACAAGCCTCCTAGATGAGCTCTTGGCGGCCACCGGCATCCTGGAAACGCAGGCGCCTTCCGCGGGGGACGCTGCAGATGCACGAGTGCACCCTGCCCTCCCAGGCGAACCCAGCATCCTAGAAGAGTTCGTGGAGGCCACGGGCATCCCAGACATGCAGGCGCCTTGCCCGGGGGCCGCTGCAGATGCACGAGTGCACCCTGCCCTGCCAGACGCACCCAGCTTCCTAGACGAGCTCTTGGAGGCCATGGGCATCACAGACTGGCAGGCGCCTTCCCCAGGGGCTGCTGCGGATGCAGGAGCACACCCTGCCCTCCCAGGCACAGCCAGCATCCTAGAAGAGTTCGTGGAGGCCACAGGCATCCCGGACACGCAGGCGCCTTCCCCGGGGGCTGCTGCAGATTCAGAAGTGCACCCTGCCCTGCCAGACGCACCCAGCTTCCTTGACGAGCTCTTGGAAGCCACGGGCATCGCAGACTGGCAGGCACCTTCCCCGGGGGCCGCTGCAGATGCAGGAGCGCACCCTGCCCTGCCAGTTGCAACCAGCTTCCTAGACGAGCTCTTGGATGCCACGGGCATCGAGGACTCTCAGGCGCCTTCCCCGGAGCCCGGTGCAGATGCAGGAGTGCACCCTGCCCTGCCAGACCCACCCAGCTTCCTAGACGAGCTCTTGGAGGCCACGGGCCTCGGGTCCTCGCAGGCGCCTTCCCCGGGGGCCGCTGCAGATGCAGGAGCACACCCTGCCCTGCCAGGCACACCCAGCTTTCTAGGCCAGCTCTTGGAGGCCACGGATATTGCGGCCTCGCAGGCGCCTTCCCTGGGGCCCTATGCAGATGCAGGAGCACACCTCGCCCTCCCAGGCTCACCCAGCCTCCAAGATGAGCTCCTGGCCGTCACATGCATCCCGGGCTCGCCGGGTCCTTCCCTGGGGTCCTCTCCTGTCATCCCAGGGTACCATCCAGCCCTCCCCGGGTCTCCCAGCCTCCTAGAGGAAATCATGGCTGCCTCGTCCATCCAGGACACGCCCTGGTCTTCACCGCGGGCCGCTGCGGACGAAGAAGGAGTTGAGGCAATCCTGGAGGCACCCCTCAGAGAGGAGGATTACCAGGCACTCCTGGACATGCTGCCAGGCTCCCCAGGCCCTCGGGCTTAGAGGGAGAAGAAGGAAAGGGGCACCATCTCCCCTGAGCCCCTTTCAGGTCTCCTTGCTTCAGAGGCCAAGCCACGGAGGTCGTGGAGTAGGGAAGATTTTAGGTGGGGGAGGGGGGGGCGGTGGGGAGCAAACAGACGGGATGACTACCAGCAACTTTGGGGACATACACTAGAGCTGGACCTTTGGGAAGCATGGGCCCCCTCCAAGAGGCACAGACCACCTGAAGCCTCAAGGAATCGCAGGATTCCAGTGACCAAGACGGTGGCTAAGAACGGACATGCTGTGGAGCCAATAAAGAAACCCTGTGCTCTGCACAGGTTCTTTTGGTCTGACTCATCTGTGTTCTGGTTGCGTCTTTCCAGCAGTCCACACAGGAGCACTCCTTCCCTAGGCCAGGGGCAGCCGAGCGAGTGGGAGTGGGAGATAGAGCAGTGGGAAGGTAGAAGGCTGGGAAACGCAAGGTGGGAGGGGGCGAGTGGATGGAGGGAGAGGGTGGGGGAGAAGGGAGAGGCTTGGGGAAGGCTCAGTGGGAGAGGGAGGGAGGAAGAGAAGAGAAGGAGACAGAGAGATTTGGGGACGGAGGGAGGGAGAGGGCGTTTGGGGGAGGGGGGCGGGGCCCCCGTCTGGGACTCAGCTTCTAGCCACTGGCCATCCCTGCAGGTATCCCTAAAATACTCCGTCAGGGACATGCTTCCCTCGGTTTCGGGGTGCCTGGTCTGGGCGGGTTTCCCGAGGTCAGATCCTCTGAGCCAGCAGTAGGGACCTACCCACACAACCGCTTTCACGACCAGACTCCATGTCAACACACATGCCTGGTAGAGCTGCAAAGGCCAATCATCTCCGTGTGTCTCTCTGATCCTCACGGTGTAGTGACTCAGCTCGCCCTGCCACCAGCATCCCCGCATCACCCGCAGACATACAGGCATGATTTCCTTGCAAACCCGTTCCTGAATTCATAGACACGGTGGATTCGATGTACATACAACCCCCTGACTGTTCCCATGTGAAGCCCCCGTGGTTGGCTTTAGAGACCTGCGTGGCCAAAGAATCCATTGGGAAAGATGGCTGTGGGTGTGGTGTTGTGGTTCGTTCATTTCTTTTCAATTCATTGGAACCTGTTCAGAGCCATCCCCCGTGTGGCCTCATGCAACCTCCTCCCTCCTGTGTCTGCTCCTGCCTCCTGATTCCCTCCTCCTTCTCCTCTCTGCCCTCCGTTTCTTTAAGAAAGCACACACTATTTCCACGTCCAGTTGTTGGCACAGGTCAGGGCGCCTCTCCGTCCAGAACGTGCATGCTTCCTTCCTTGGCTTAGTGGAACCACCTTCCTAAGAGTAGTGGGTACAGTGTCCCGTTTCCGAGGTCTCCCCAGGGCACTTTGAGTAGGGGGTGGGCTGGGGAGGTGCAAGCATCAGGGTGCACCTGAAAAAGCCCCAAACGGTGTGAGTTGCCATTCGAGACACTGGCCCATCACTTCTCTCGCAGTAGACTTGGGTTTCTGGCAAGTCAAAGACTTGGGTGTATTTGGTGGGGGTGGGCGTGGGGTGGGTGTGGGCAGGGCGGTGGACTGGGACTGCTGTCGGGAAAGGATGCCAGGGGGGCACCGAGGAGGTGGGGAGGAATGTGGAAAAGGGAGGCAAGGATTTAAGGCAGCTAGGAGGAGGCACTGGAGAGAGCGTCCAGTGTCCGGGAATGCTCCGGAGGAGCCGGCGGAGGCCATTGAGTCCAACGTATATGTGGAATGTGAAAAGGCGGGAAAAGCCAGGGCGTTTCGGAAGGCAAGGCAGGCTGGGAAAGGGGGCGTGGGCGGCAACTTCAAAGGGACCTAGGGGAATTCCCGTGCAGTTAGGACTCTGTGCACTGCGGAGGGCCCCCGAGCCTGGGGTTGATTCCAGCTGCTGCGTGGCAGGGCCACACACCAAAACCCCCAACGCCCACCGCCCCCAGGCCAACGTGGACCTTGGGAGTCTGGGTCGCGGGCCGTGCCCGTGAAAGCCCACTGGCTCCACGGGATTCTTTCCAGGGTCTCTGCTTGGCGGCCAGGGGCGTCCCTTCTGACTATGCACTCACAAGGATTGACGTCAATAGGGGCAGAGCTGCCTCACCCTATCCAAAGTCCCGAGCAGCTGGGTCCTGGCCCACTGAGAAGGCAGTCTGCAGCGTCCCTGTGGCTCTCCCACCATGGCTTCGTCCAGCTCCTCCAGCACCTCAGGCGGTACGTTTGCCCTCGCTCCCTGGGGTCGGATCAGGTCTCGGGGTGGGGGTGGGGGGTGGGTCTGTGGATAGCCCGGCCAAGGGTTCACTGCAAACGTGTCGACTGACCGCCAAGAAAGCCAGGGACCGATCGGCTGGGCCCCTGGTTTCCAGGCGTCAGGTGTGCCCAGAGAGGCACCGTTTGGTCGTTTGGCTCCTTTGGCACACACATGGCTTCTCCTTTCTCTTTTCTGTGATGATGGTGTTGGTTGTGTGTTAGGGGGGCCGGTAGGGGAACTGGCATGGGGCCCTATTTCCTCATCTTGCCATGGAAATGGACGTCGGGGAGCTCTGTGGCTTTGCCAACTTCAGTGGCTTTCTGTCCACAATGGCCTAGTGCCTTCTGTCTTCCGTCAGGCGTTGCATGTTGGGCTTCGCCTTGGCTTCCTTCCCTCTTCCTTTCCTGTTCCCCTAGTGACGGCAAATATGGCCTGGGCTCCTCTTAGCCCCGAGAAGCCAGGTTCCCCTCCATTGGCATTGTGATGGAGGGAATTTTGGGAGAGGCCCCATCAAGACATTTCCCAGGCATCTGCTCAGGCAGGTGGAAAAATGTCTCTGCAGACAGGCTGCATGGTGTGCTGGTCTTTGGTGGGTGGGATTTCTTGCCAGCTTTGTTTCAGGGGCGGGTTTGGCTTCCTTTTTGCTTGCTGGTGTTCCTCGGACTCCAGCGTGGGTCGGGGGTTGGGGGATTTCCCCACTGCCCTTGACTCTCGGCCTGTCACTCGGGGTGTAGTCAAGTGACTTCCAAATGCAGAGGCGTCCCCGGGCTCCCGGCTTTGCTGAGGCACAGGGGCAACTGCCCTGGGTGGGGAGCATGCTTGGGCACTTCCGTCGAGTCCTCTCCAAACCCCACGTCCTCTGAGACTTTTCCCTTTCGTCTCTTCCACAGGCCCCATCGCCAGAGGATCTCGAAGGAGGAGGCTCGTTCTGAAGCTGAGCCAGAAGGACACCCTGCAAGCGCTCTTTCAACAGAACCCCTACCCTGGGATAGCGACCAGAGAACGACTGGCCCGAGAGCTTGGCATTGCCGAAAGCAGAGTTCAGGTAGGGCCCCCTCTCTCCACCCGTTCTCCCTCTCAGGCTCCCCGTGCCGATCCGCGTCAGCAGAAAGCACCCGGAGGCCTTTCTCTTGAGAACGTATTCTCTCTGTTTGCCCCTAGGTCTGGTTTCAGAACCAACGAAGAAGACGGTTAAAGCAGAGCCGATCGCCGTCTGCAAATATGCGCCAAGACGGGGAAGGGGCGCCAGGGTCCACGGCCAGGCCACCGTCGACACCTCGTCGACCTCAGTCTTCCACTCAAGGTAAGTTACCCAGCGTTCTGCAAAGGCAAGACCCCCAGAGGGGGGTCCCGAATCCTCCCCCTCTTGACAGAGAATTCTCTCTGCTGGTGGATGACCACCGGAGGCTCAGAAACACCAAGCAGGGAGGAAACAGGGCCATCTGGTTGCGTCCCCCATCAGCGACCCAGATAGGGCCACCATGCCCCCAGGCGGCGTGGACGGGCAGCACTGTTCCCCCTTTGCACCCCCTCCCGAGTCCCCGTCGGGAACTTTAGCCTCCGGCTGCCCAGGCAACCTTGGCCAAGGAGCAGGCTTCAGGGCACTCCGCGGCAAGTCCGGAGGAACAAAGAGACACACAGGGGCATGCATGTGTGCCGAGTGTGCATGTGTGCACGCACACCTGCACCATGGATCCAGGCACGAGATCCATCTGTGGGTGTATTCCGTAGAACCCTGCCCCGGCTTCAGAGCCACCTGAAGTGATTCAGGTGTGTGGGACTGTCCAGCCCCTGCACACCGTCTAGGGTATCTGTGCTGTCAAGGTTCCATGGGCCTTAAAGTCCTCTCCTCTCGGTGTGTTCTTTCCTTGGTAGAAGACTCGGCCAGAGAGGCCAGGAGAAAGAGGACAGCCATCTCTCCTTCTCAAACAAGGATCCTTGTGCAAGCCTTCACGAGGGATCGCTTTCCAGGGATTGCCGCCAGGGAAGAACTGGCTCGTCAGACGGGAATCCCAGAACCTCGAATCCAGGTAAGTTCTCCAGCCAGCGCATGGGCCCAGGCCGTGGCCCAGGAGACGGGCGCGTTCAGCCCTGCCAAGCGTTTGGAGCTGGATACACGTCGGCTTGGGCCGGGGCTTGGGCTGGGGGGAGGGGGCCGAAAGTTGGTGGGCTGAGTGGTGGGTTTTGTGCCGCTTGTTGCCGTGCAGGCGCTCCTCATCTCCCAGGGCCCAGGGATTCGTTTGCAGAAAATGGCCCTGCAGAACTCGCCCTGGGCCTGCCAGATCAGAGGACGGGCCGCCAGGCGGGGTGACAAATGGGTGCCGCGGAGGCGCCAGCACGTTGATCTGGACGGTCACGGCTTCTGATGTGCCTGTCTGCCTTTTGCTCCCCTAGATATGGTTTCAAAACCGAAGAGCTCGGCACCCCCAGCAGAGCGCAAGGGGGCCTGGCAATGTCCGGGCCCGAGGACCAGGCGGCGCATCGGCCACGACCGCTCCTGCTCCAGAGGACCGAAGGGCCCCACCCGCTGTCCACAGCACCTCTCCTCCCCTTGGCCCCTCTCAGACACAGGAGAGCATGCCACCCTTGGCTGCAGCCGCTCCTTTGGGCGCCCCCACCTTCTGGGTGCCCGGGACTGCCTCTGGGGTCTGTGTGGGCCAGCCGTTGATGTTCTTCGTGATCCAGCCCAGCCCGATGGCTCTCCAGCCAAGTGAGAAGCCACCACCTCCTCCCCAGGTAGCAGTGCCCTGGGCCGCGTGCTCCCCTGCTGACACGGCCCCTTGGCAGCCTGGGCCAGGGGCCATCCTGCCGCCTCTACAGCCTGAGACACACATCAGGCGGAGGCCAGAGTCACCCGTTGCTGAAGGCACGGCCCCTCTGCTAGAGCCACAGCCCCATCCGCCCAGCCTTCCAAGATCGACAAGCCTCCTAGATGAGCTCTTGGCGGCCACCGGCATCCTGGAAACGCAGGCGCCTTCCGCGGGGGACGCTGCAGATGCACGAGTGCACCCTGCCCTCCCAGGCGAACCCAGCATCCTAGAAGAGTTCGTGGAGGCCACGGGCATCCCGGACATGCAGGCGCCTTGCCCGGGGGCCGCTGCAGATGCACGAGTGCACCCTGCCCTGCCAGACGCACCCAGCTTCCTAGACGAGCTCTTGGAGGCCATGGGCATCACAGACTGGCAGGCGCCTTCCCCGGGGGCTGCTGCGGATGCAGGAGCACACCCTGCCCTCCCAGGCACAGCCAGCATCCTAGAAGAGTTCGTGGAGGCCACAGGCATCCCGGACACGCAGGCGCCTTCCCCGGGGGCTGCTGCAGATTCAGAAGTGCACCCTGCCCTGCCAGACGCACCCAGCTTCCTTGACGAGCTCTTGGAAGCCACGGGCATCGCAGACTGGCAGGCACCTTCCCCGGGGGCCGCTGCAGATGCAGGAGCGCACCCTGCCCTGCCAGTTGCAACCAGCTTCCTAGACGAGCTCTTGGATGCCACGGGCATCGAGGACTCTCAGGCGCCTTCCCCGGAGCCCGGTGCAGATGCAGGAGTGCACCCTGCCCTGCCAGACCCACCCAGCTTCCTAGACGAGCTCTTGGAGGCCACGGGCCTCGGGTCCTCGCAGGCGCCTTCCCCGGGGGCCGCTGCAGATGCAGGAGCACACCCTGCCCTGCCAGGCACACCCAGCTTTCTAGGCCAGCTCTTGGAGGCCACGGATATTGCGGCCTCGCAGGCGCCTTCCCTGGGGCCCTATGCAGATGCAGGAGCACACCTCGCCCTCCCAGGCTCACCCAGCCTCCAAGATGAGCTCCTGGCCGTCACATGCATCCCGGGCTCGCCGGGTCCTTCCCTGGGGTCCTCTCCTGTCATCCCAGGGTACCATCCAGCCCTCCCCGGGTCTCCCAGCCTCCTAGAGGAAATCATGGCTGCCTCGTCCATCCAGGACACGCCCTGGTCTTCACCGCGGGCCGCTGCGGACGAAGAAGGAGTTGAGGCAATCCTGGAGGCACCCCTCAGAGAGGAGGATTACCAGGCACTCCTGGACATGCTGCCAGGCTCCCCAGGCCCTCGGGCTTAGAGGTAGAAGAAGGAAAGGGGCACCATCTCCCCTGAGCCCCTTTCAGGTCTCCTTGCTTCAGAGGCCAAGCCACGGAGGTCGTGGAGTAGGGAAGATTTTAGGTGGGGGGGGGGGGCGGTGGGGAGCAAACAGACGGGATGACTACCAGCAACTTTGGGGACATACACTAGAGCTGGACCTTTGGGAAGCATGGGACCCCTCCAAGAGGCACAGACCACCTGAAGCCTCAAGGAATCGCAGGATTCCAGTGACCAAGACGGTGGCTAAGAACGGACATGCTGTGGAGCCAATAAAGAAACCCTGTGCTCTGCACAGGTTCTTTTGGTCTGACTCATCTGTGTTCTGGTTGCGTCTTTCCAGCAGTCCACACAGGAGCACTCCTTCCCTAGGCCAGGGGCAGCCGAGCGAGTGGGAGTGGGAGATAGAGCAGTGGGAAGGTAGAAGGCTGGGAAACGCAAGGTGGGAGGGGGCGAGTGGATGGAGGGAGAGGGTGGGGGAGAAGGGAGAGGCTTGGGGAAGGCTCAGTGGGAGAGGGAGGGAGGAAGAGAAGAGAAGGAGACAGAGAGATTTGGGGACGGAGGGAGGGAGAGGGCGTTTGGGGGAGGGGGGCGGGGCCCCCGTCTGGGACTCAGCTTCTAGCCACTGGCCATCCCTGCAGGTATCCCTAAAATACTCCGTCAGGGACATGCTTCCCTCGGTTTCGGCGTGCCTGGTCTGGGCGGGTTTCCCGAGGTCAGATCCTCTGAGCCAGCAGTAGGGACCTACCCACACAACCGCTTTCACGACCAGACTCCATGTCAACACACATGCCTGGTAGAGCTGCAAAGGCCAATCATCTCCGTGTGTCTCTCTGATCCTCACGGTGTAGTGACTCAGCTCGCCCTGCCACCAGCATCCCCGCATCACCCGCAGACATACAGGCATGATTTCCTTGCAAACCCGTTCCTGAATTCATAGACACGGTGGATTCGATGTACATACAACCCCCTGACTGTTCCCATGTGAAGCCCCCGTGGTTGGCTTTAGAGACCTGCGTGGCCAAAGAATCCATTGGGAAAGATGGCTGTGGGTGTGGTGTTGTGGTTCGTTCATTTCTTTTCAATTCATTGGAACCTGTTCAGAGCCATCCCCCGTGTGGCCTCATGCAACCTCCTCCCTCCTGTGTCTGCTCCTGCCTCCTGATTCCCTCCTCCTTCTCCTCTCTGCCCTCCGTTTCTTTAAGAAAGCACACACTATTTCCACGTCCAGTTGTTGGCACAGGTCAGGGCGCCTCTCCGTCCAGAACGTGCATGCTTCCTTCCTTGGCTTAGTGGAACCACCTTCCTAAGAGTAGTGGGTACAGTGTCCCGTTTCCGAGGTCTCCCCAGGGCACTTTGAGTAGGGGGTGGGCTGGGGAGGTGCAAGCATCAGGGTGCACCTGAAAAAGCCCCAAACGGTGTGAGTTGCCATTCGAGACACTGGCCCATCACTTCTCTCGCAGTAGACTTGGGTTTCTGGCAAGTCAAAGACTTGGGTGTATTTGGTGGGGGTGGGCGTGGGGTGGGTGTGGGCAGGGCGGTGGACTGGGACTGCTGTCGGGAAAGGATGCCAGGGGGGCACCGAGGAGGTGGGGAGGAATGTGGAAAAGGGAGGCAAGGATTTAAGGCAGCTAGGAGGAGGCACTGGAGAGAGCGTCCAGTGTCCGGGAATGCTCCGGAGGAGCCGGCGGAGGTCATTGAGTCCAATGTATATGTGGAATGTGAAAGGCGGGAAAAGCCAGGGCGTTTCGGAAGGCAAGGCAGGCTGGGAAAGGGGGCGTGGGCAGCAACTTCAAAGGGACCTAGGGGAATTCCCGTGCAGTTAGGACTCTGTGCACTGCGGAGGGCCCCCGAGCCTGGGGTTGATTCCAGCTGCTGCGTGGCAGGGCCACACACCAAAACCCCCAACGCCCACCGCCCCCAGGCCAACGTGGACCTTGGGAGTCTGGGTCGCGGGCCGTGCCCGTGAAAGCCTACTGGCTCCACGGGATTCTTTCCAGGGTCTCTGCTTGGCGGCCAGGGGCGTCCCTTCTGACTATGCACCCACCAGGATTGACGTCAATAGGGGCGGAGCTGCCTCACCCTATCCAAAGTCCCGAGCAGCTGGGTCCTGGCCCACTGAGAAGGCAGTCTGCAGCGTCCCTGTGGCTCTCCCACCATGGCTTCGTCCAGCTCCTCCAGCACCTCAGGCGGTACGTTTGCCCTCGCTCCCTGGGGTCGGATCAGGTCTCGGGGTGGGGGTGGGGGGTGGGTCTGTGGATAGCCCGGCCAAGGGTTCACTGCAAACGTGTCGACTGACCGCCAAGAAAGCCAGGGACCGATCGGCTGGGCCCCTGGTTTCCAGGCGTCAGGTGTGCCCAGAGAGGCACCGTTTGGTCGTTTGGCTCCTTTGGCACACACATGGCTTCTCCTTTCTCTTTTCTGTGATGATGGTGTTGGTTGTGTGTTAGGGGGGCCGGTAGGGGAACTGGCATGGGGCCCTATTTCCTCATCTTGCCATGGAAATGGACGTCGGGGAGCTCTGTGGCTTTGCCAACTTCAGTGGCTTTCTGTCCACAATGGCCTAGTGCCTTCTGTCTTCCGTCAGGCGTTGCATGTTGGGCTTCGCCTTGGCTTCCTTCCCTCTTCCTTTCCTGTTCCCCTAGTGACGGCAAATATGGCCTGGGCTCCTCTTAGCCCCGAGAAGCCAGGTTCCCCTCCATTGGCATTGTGATGGAGGGAATTTTGGGAGAGGCCCCATCAAGACATTTCCCAGGCATCTGCTCAGGCAGGTGGAAAAATGTCTCTGCAGACAGGCTGCATGGTGTGCTGGTCTTTGGTGGGTGGGATTTCTTGCCAGCTTTGTTTCAGGGGCGGGTTTGGCTTCCTTTTTGCTTGCTGGTGTTCCTCGGACTCCAGCGTGGGTCGGGGGTTGGGGGATTTCCCCACTGCCCTTGACTCTCGGCCTGTCACTCGGGGTGTAGTCAAGTGACTTCCAAATGCAGAGGCGTCCCCGGGCTCCCGGCTTTGCTGAGGCACAGGGGCAACTGCCCTGGGTGGGGAGCATGCTTGGGCACTTCCGTCGAGTCCTCTCCAAACCCCACGTCCTCTGAGACTTTTCCGTTTCGTCTCTTCCACAGGCCCCATCGCCAGAGGATCTCGAAGGAGGAGGCTCGTTCTGAAGCTGAGCCAGAAGGACACCCTGCAAGCGCTCTTTCAACAGAACCCCTACCCTGGGATAGCGACCAGAGAACGACTGGCCCGAGAGCTTGGCATTGCCGAAAGCAGAGTTCAGGTAGGGCCCCCTCTCTCCACCCGTTCTCCCTCTCAGGCTCCCCGTGCCGATCCGCGTCAGCAGAAAGCACCCGGAGGCCTTTCTCTTGAGAACGTATTCTCTCTGTTTGCCCCTAGGTCTGGTTTCAGAACCAACGAAGAAGACGGTTAAAGCAGAGCCGATCGCCGTCTGCAAATATGCGCCAAGACGGGGAAGGGGCGCCAGGGTCCACGGCCAGGCCACCGTCGACACCTCGTCGACCTCAGTCTTCCACTCAAGGTAAGTTACCCAGCGTTCTGCAAAGGCAAGACCCCCAGAGGGGGGTCCCGAATCCTCCCCCTCTTGACAGAGAATTCTCTCTGCTGGTGGATGACCACCGGAGGCTCAGAAACACCAAGCAGGGAGGAAACAGGGCCATCTGGTTGCGTCCCCCATCAGTGACCCAGATAGGGCCACCATGCCCCCAGGCGGCGTGGACGGGCAGCACTGTTCCCCCTTTGCACCCCCTCCCGAGTCCCCGTCGGGAACTTTAGCCTCCGGCTGCCCAGGCAACCTTGGCCAAGGAGCAGGCTTCAGGGCACTCCGCGGCAAGTCCGGAGGAACAAAGAGACACACAGGGGCATGCATGTGTGCCGAGTGTGCATGTGTGCACGCACACCTGCACCATGGATCCAGGCACGAGATCCATCTGTGGGTGTATTCCGTAGAACCCTGCCCCGGCTTCAGAGCCACCTGAAGTGATTCAGGTGTGTGGGACTCTCCAGCCCCTGCACACCGTCTAGGGTATCTGTGCTGTCAAGGTTCCATGGGCCTTAAAGTCCTCTCCTCTCGGTGTGTTCTTTCCTTGGTAGAAGACTCGGCCAGAGAGGCCAGGAGAAAGAGGACAGCCATCTCTCCTTCTCAAACAAGGATCCTTGTGCAAGCCTTCACGAGGGATCGCTTTCCAGGGATTGCCGCCAGGGAAGAACTGGCTCGTCAGACGGGAATCCCAGAACCTCGAATCCAGGTAAGTTCTCCAGCCAGCGCATGGGCCCAGGCCGTGGCCCAGGAGACGGGCGCGTTCAGCCCTGCCAAGCGTTTGGAGCTGGATACACGTCGGCTTGGGCCGGGGCTTGGGCTGGGGGGAGGGGGCCGAAAGTTGGTGGGCTGAGTGGTGGGTTTTGTGCCGCTTGTTGCCGTGCAGGCGCTCCTCATCTCCCAGGGCCCAGGGATTCGTTTGCAGAAAATGGCCCTGCAGAACTCGCCCTGGGCCTGCCAGATCAGAGGACGGGCCGCCAGGCGGGGTGACAAATGGGTGCCGCGGAGGCGCCAGCACGTTGATCTGGACGGTCACGGCTTCTGATGTGCCTGTCTGCCTTTTGCTCCCCTAGATATGGTTTCAAAACCGAAGAGCTCGGCACCCCCAGCAGAGCGCAAGGGGGCCTGGCAATGTCCGGGTCCGAGGACCAGGCGGCGCATCGGCCACGACCGCTCCTGCTCCAGAGGACCGAAGGGCCCCACCCGCTGTCCACAGCACCTCTCCTCCCCTTGGCCCCTCTCAGACACAGGAGAGCATGCCACCCTTGGCTGCAGCCGCTCCTTTGGGCGCCCCCACCTTCTGGGTGCCCGGGACTGCCTCTGGGGTCTGTGTGGGCCAGCCGTTGATGTTCTTCGTGATCCAGCCCAGCCCGATGTCTCTCCAGCCAAGTGAGAAGCCACCACCTCCTCCCCAGGTAGCAGTGCCCTGGGCCGCGTGCTCCCCTGCTGACACGGCCCCTTGGCAGCCTGGGCCAGGGGCCATCCTGCCGCCTCTACAGCCTGAGACACACATCAGGCGGAGGCCAGAGTCACCCGTTGCTGAAGGCACGGCCCCTCTGCTAGAGCCACAGCCCCATCCGCCCAGCCTTCCAAGATCGACAAGCCTCCTAGATGAGCTCTTGGCGGCCACCGGCATCCTGGAAACGCAGGCGCCTTCCGCGGGGGACGCTGCAGATGCACGAGTGCACCCTGCCCTCCCAGGCGAACCCAGCATCCTAGAAGAGTTCGTGGAGGCCACGGGCATCCCGGACATGCAGGCGCCTTGCCCGGGGGCCGCTGCAGATGCACGAGTGCACCCTGCCCTGCCAGACGCACCCAGCTTCCTAGACGAGCTCTTGGAGGCCATGGGCATCACAGACTGGCAGGCGCCTTCCCCGGGGGCTGCTGCGGATGCAGGAGCACACCCTGCCCTCCCAGGCACAGCCAGCATCCTAGAAGAGTTCGTGGAGGCCACAGGCATCCCGGACACGCAGGCGCCTTCCCCGGGGGCTGCTGCAGATTCAGAAGTGCACCCTGCCCTGCCAGACGCACCCAGCTTCCTTGACGAGCTCTTGGAAGCCACGGGCATCGCAGACTGGCAGGCACCTTCCCCGGGGGCCGCTGCAGATGCAGGAGCGCACCCTGCCCTGCCAGTTGCAACCAGCTTCCTAGACGAGCTCTTGGATGCCACGGGCATCGAGGACTCTCAGGCGCCTTCCCCGGAGCCCGGTGCAGATGCAGGAGTGCACCCTGCCCTGCCAGACCCACCCAGCTTCCTAGACGAGCTCTTGGAGGCCACGGGCCTCGGGTCCTCGCAGGCGCCTTCCCCGGGGGCCGCTGCAGATGCAGGAGCACACCCTGCCCTGCCAGGCACACCCAGCTTTCTAGGCCAGCTCTTGGAGGCCACGGATATTGCGGCCTCGCAGGCACCTTCCCTGGGGCCCTATGCAGATGCAGGAGCACACCTCGCCCTCCCAGGCTCACCCAGCCTCCAAGATGAGCTCCTGGCCGTCACATGCATCCCGGGCTCGCCGGGTCCTTCCCTGGGGTCCTCTCCTGTCATCCCAGGGTACCATCCAGCCCTCCCCGGGTCTCCCAGCCTCCTAGAGGAAATCATGGCTGCCTCGTCCATCCAGGACACGCCCTGGTCTTCACCGCGGGCCGCTGCGGACGAAGAAGGAGTTGAGGCAATCCTGGAGGCACCCCTCAGAGAGGAGGATTACCAGGCACTCCTGGACATGCTGCCAGGCTCCCCAGGCCCTCGGGCTTAGAGGGAGAAGAAGGAAAGGGGCACCATCTCCCCTGAGCCCCTTTCAGGTCTCCTTGCTTCAGAGGCCAAGCCACGGAGGTCGTGGAGTAGGGAAGATTTTAGGTGGGGGGGGGGGGGCGGTGGGGAGCAAACAGACGGGATGACTACCAGCAACTTTGGGGACATACACTAGAGCTGGACCTTTGGGAAGCATGGGACCCCTCCAAGAGGCACAGACCACCTGAAGCCTCAAGGAATCGCAGGATTCCAGTGACCAAGACGGTGGCTAAGAACGGACATGCTGTGGAGCCAATAAAGAAACCCTGTGCTCTGCACAGGTTCTTTTGGTCTGACTCATCTGTGTTCTGGTTGCGTCTTTCCAGCAGTCCACACAGGAGCACTCCTTCCCTAGGCCAGGGGCAGCCGAGCGAGTGGGAGTGGGAGATAGAGCAGTGGGAAGGTAGAAGGCTGGGAAACGCAAGGTGGGAGGGGGCGAGTGGATGGAGGGAGAGGGTGGGGGAGAAGGGAGAGGCTTGGGGAAGGCTCAGTGGGAGAGGGAGGGAGGAAGAGAAGAGAAGGAGACAGAGAGATTTGGGGACGGAGGGAGGGAGAGGGCGTTTGGGGGAGGGGGGCGGGGCCCCCGTCTGGGACTCAGCTTCTAGCCACTGGCCATCCCTGCAGGTATCCCTAAAATACTCCGTCAGGGACATGCTTCCCTCGGTTTCGGCGTGCCTGGTCTGGGCGGGTTTCCCGAGGTCAGATCCTCTGAGCCAGCAGTAGGGACCTACCCACACAACCGCTTTCACGACCAGACTCCATGTCAACACACATGCCTGGTAGAGCTGCAAAGGCCAATCATCTCCGTGTGTCTCTCTGATCCTCACGGTGTAGTGACTCAGCTCGCCCTGCCACCAGCATCCCCGCATCACCCGCAGACATACAGGCATGATTTCCTTGCAAACCCGTTCCTGAATTCATAGACACGGTGGATTCGATGTACATACAACCCCCTGACTGTTCCCATGTGAAGCCCCCGTGGTTGGCTTTAGAGACCTGCGTGGCCAAAGAATCCATTGGGAAAGATGGCTGTGGGTGTGGTGTTGTGGTTCGTTCATTTCTTTTCAATTCATTGGAACCTGTTCAGAGCCATCCCCCGTGTGGCCTCATGCAACCTCCTCCCTCCTGTGTCTGCTCCTGCCTCCTGATTCCCTCCTCCTTCTCCTCTCTGCCCTCCGTTTCTTTAAGAAAGCACACACTATTTCCACGTCCAGTTGTTGGCACAGGTCAGGGCGCCTCTCCGTCCAGAACGTGCATGCTTCCTTCCTTGGCTTAGTGGAACCACCTTCCTAAGAGTAGTGGGTACAGTGTCCCGTTTCCGAGGTCTCCCCAGGGCACTTTGAGTAGGGGGTGGGCTGGGGAGGTGCAAGCATCAGGGTGCACCTGAAAAAGCCCCAAACGGTGTGAGTTGCCATTCGAGACACTGGCCCATCACTTCTCTCGCAGTAGACTTGGGTTTCTGGCAAGTCAAAGACTTGGGTGTATTTGGTGGGGGTGGGCGTGGGGTGGGTGTGGGCAGGGCGGTGGACTGGGACTGCTGTCGGGAAAGGATGCCAGGGGGGCACCGAGGAGGTGGGGAGGAATGTGGAAAAGGGAGGCAAGGATTTAAGGCAGCTAGGAGGAGGCACTGGAGAGAGCGTCCAGTGTCCGGGAATGCTCCGGAGGAGCCGGCGGAGGCCATTGAGTCCAACGTATATGTGGAATGTGAAAAGGCGGGAAAAGCCAGGGCGTTTCGGAAGGCAAGGCAGGCTGGGAAAGGGGGCGTGGGCGGCAACTTCAAAGGGACCTAGGGGAATTCCCGTGCAGTTAGGACTCTGTGCACTGCGGAGGGCCCCCGAGCCTGGGGTTGATTCCAGCTGCTGCGTGGCAGGGCCACACACCAAAACCCCCAACGCCCACCGCCCCCAGGCCAACGTGGACCTTGGGAGTCTGGGTCGCGGGCCGTGCCCGTGAAAGCCCACTGGCTCCACGGGATTCTTTCCAGGGTCTCTGCTTGGCGGCCAGGGGCGTCCCCTCTGACTAAGCACCCACCACGATTGACGTGAATAGGGGCGGAGCTGCCTCACCCTATCCAAAGTCCCGAGCAGCTGGGTCCTGGCCCACTGAGAAGGCAGTCTGCAGCGTCCCTGTGGCTCTCCCACCATGGCTTCGTCCAGCTCCTCCAGCACCTCAGGCGGTACGTTTGCCCTCGCTCCCTGGGGTCGGATCAGGTCTCGGGGTGGGGGTGGGGGGTGGGTCTGTGGATAGCCCGGCCAAGGGTTCACTGCAAACGTGTCGACTGACCGCCAAGAAAGCCAGGGACCGATCGGCTGGGCCCCTGGTTTCCAGGCGTCAGGTGTGCCCAGAGAGGCACCGTTTGGTCGTTTGGCTCCTTTGGCACACACATGGCTTCTCCTTTCTCTTTTCTGTGATGATGGTGTTGGTTGTGTGTTAGGGGGGCCGGTAGGGGAACTGGCATGGGGCCCTATTTCCTCATCTTGCCATGGAAATGGACGTCGGGGAGCTCTGTGGCTTTGCCAACTTCAGTGGCTTTCTGTCCACAATGGCCTAGTGCCTTCTGTCTTCCGTCAGGCGTTGCATGTTGGGCTTCGCCTTGGCTTCCTTCCCTCTTCCTTTCCTGTTCCCCTAGTGACGGCAAATATGGCCTGGGCTCCTCTTAGCCCCGAGAAGCCAGGTTCCCCTCCATTGGCATTGTGATGGAGGGAATTTTGGGAGAGGCCCCATCAAGACATTTCCCAGGCATCTGCTCAGGCAGGTGGAAAAATGTCTCTGCAGACAGGCTGCATGGTGTGCTGGTCTTTGGTGGGTGGGATTTCTTGCCAGCTTTGTTTCAGGGGCGGGTTTGGCTTCCTTTCTGCTTGCTGGTGTTCCTCGGACTCCAGCGTGGGTCGGGGGTTGGGGGATTTCCCCACTGCCCTTGACTCTCGGCCTGTCACTCGGGGTGTAGTCAAGTGACTTCCAAATGCAGAGGCGTCCCCGGGCTCCCGGCTTTGCTGAGGCACAGGGGCAACTGCCCTGGGTGGGGAGCATGCTTGGGCACTTCCGTCGAGTCCTCTCCAAACCCCACGTCCTCTGAGACTTTTCCCTTTCGTCTCTTCCACAGGCCCCATCGCCAGAGGATCTCGAAGGAGGAGGCTCGTTCTGAAGCTGAGCCAGAAGGACACCCTGCAAGCGCTCTTTCAACAGAACCCCTACCCTGGGATAGCGACCAGAGAACGACTGGCCCGAGAGCTTGGCATTGCCGAAAGCAGAGTTCAGGTAGGGCCCCCTCTCTCCACCCGTTCTCCCTCTCAGGCTCCGCGTGCCGATCCGCGTCAGCAGAAAGCACCCGGAGGCCTTTCTCTTGAGAACGTATTCTCTCTGTTTGCCCCTAGGTCTGGTTTCAGAACCAACGAAGAAGACGGTTAAAGCAGAGCCGATCGCCGTCTGCAAATATGCGCCAAGACGGGGAAGGGGCGCCAGGGTCCACGGCCAGGCCACCGTCGACACCTCGTCGACCTCAGTCTTCCACTCAAGGTAAGTTACCCAGCGTTCTGCAAAGGCAAGACCCCCAGAGGGGGGTCCCGAATCCTCCCCCTCTTGACAGAGAATTCTCTCTGCTGGTGGATGACCACCGGAGGCTCAGAAACACCAAGCAGGGAGGAAACAGGGCCATCTGGTTGCGTCCCCCATCAGTGACCCAGATAGGGCCACCATGCCCCCAGGCGGCGTGGACGGGCAGCACTGTTCCCCCTTTGCACCCCCTCCCGAGTCCCCGTCGGGAACTTTAGCCTCCGGCTGCCCAGGCAACCTTGGCCAAGGAGCAGGCTTCAGGGCACTCCGCGGCAAGTCCGGAGGAACAAAGAGACACACAGGGGCATGCATGTGTGCCGAGTGTGCATGTGTGCACGCACACCTGCACCATGGATCCAGGCACGAGATCCATCTGTGGGTGTATTCCGTAGAACCCTGCCCCAGCTTCAGAGCCACCTGAAGTGATTCAGGTGTGTGGGACTCTCCAGCCCCTGCACACCGTCTAGGGTATCTGTGCTGTCAAGGTTCCATGGGCCTTAAAGTCCTCTCCTCTCGGTGTGTTCTTTCCTTGGTAGAAGACTCGGCCAGAGAGGCCAGGAGAAAGAGGACAGCCATCTCTCCTTCTCAAACAAGGATCCTTGTGCAAGCCTTCACGAGGGATCGCTTTCCAGGGATTGCCGCCAGGGAAGAACTGGCTCGTCAGACGGGAATCCCAGAACCTCGAATCCAGGTAAGTTCTCCAGCCAGCGCATGGGCCCAGGCCGTGGCCCAGGAGACGGGCGCGTTCAGCCCTGCCAAGCGTTTGGAGCTGGATACACGTCGGCTTGGGCCGGGGCTTGGGCTGGGGGGAGGGGGCCGAAAGTTGGTGGGCTGAGTGGTGGGTTTTGTGCCGCTTGTTGCCGTGCAGGCGCTCCTCATCTCCCAGGGCCCAGGGATTCGTTTGCAGAAAATGGCCCTGCAGAACTCGCCCTGGGCCTGCCAGATCAGAGGACGGGCCGCCAGGCGGGGTGACAAATGGGTGCCGCGGAGGCGCCAGCACGTTGATCTGGACGGTCACGGCTTCTGATGTGCCTGTCTGCCTTTTGCTCCCCTAGATATGGTTTCAAAACCGAAGAGCTCGGCACCCCCAGCAGAGCGCAAGGGGGCCTGGCAATGTCCGGGCCCGAGGACCAGGCGGCGCATCGGCCACGACCGCTCCTGCTCCAGAGGACCGAAGGGCCCCACCCGCTGTCCACAGCACCTCTCCTCCCCTTGGCCCCTCTCAGACACAGGAGAGCATGCCACCCTTGGCTGCAGCCGCTCCTTTGGGCGCCCCCACCTTCTGGGTGCCCGGGACTGCCTCTGGGGTCTGTGTGGGCCAGCCGTTGATGTTCTTCGTGATCCAGCCCAGCCCGATGGCTCTCCAGCCAAGTGAGAAGCCACCACCTCCTCCCCAGGTAGCAGTGCCCTGGGCCGCGTGCTCCCCTGCTGACACGGCCCCTTGGCAGCCTGGGCCAGGGGCCATCCTGCCGCCTCTACAGCCTGAGACACACATCAGGCGGAGGCCAGAGTCACCCGTTGGTGAAGGCACGGCCCCTCTGCTAGAGCCACAGCCCCATCCGCCCAGCCTTCCAAGATCGACAAGCCTCCTAGATGAGCTCTTGGCGGCCACCGGCATCCTGGAAACGCAGGCGCCTTCCGCGGGGGACGCTGCAGATGCACGAGTGCACCCTGCCCTCCCAGGCGAACCCAGCATCCTAGAAGAGTTCGTGGAGGCCACGGGCATCCCGGACATGCAGGCGCCTTGCCCGGGGGCCGCTGCAGATGCACGAGTGCACCCTGCCCTGCCAGACGCACCCAGCTTCCTAGACGAGCTCTTGGAGGCCATGGGCATCACAGACTGGCAGGCGCCTTCCCCGGGGGCTGCTGCGGATGCAGGAGCACACCCTGCCCTCCCAGGCACAGCCAGCATCCTAGAAGAGTTCGTGGAGGCCACAGGCATCCCGGACACGCAGGCGCCTTCCCCGGGGGCTGCTGCAGATTCAGAAGTGCACCCTGCCCTGCCAGACGCACCCAGCTTCCTTGACGAGCTCTTGGAAGCCACGGGCATCGCAGACTGGCAGGCACCTTCCCCGGGGGCCGCTGCAGATGCAGGAGCGCACCCTGCCCTGCCAGTTGCAACCAGCTTCCTAGACGAGCTCTTGGATGCCACGGGCATCGAGGACTCTCAGGCGCCTTCCCCGGAGCCCGGTGCAGATGCAGGAGTGCACCCTGCCCTGCCAGACCCACCCAGCTTCCTAGACGAGCTCTTGGAGGCCACGGGCCTCGGGTCCTCGCAGGCGCCTTCCCCGGGGGCCGCTGCAGATGCAGGAGCACACCCTGCCCTGCCAGGCACACCCAGCTTTCTAGGCCAGCTCTTGGAGGCCACGGATATTGCGGCCTCGCAGGCGCCTTCCCTGGGGCCCTATGCAGATGCAGGAGCACACCTCGCCCTCCCAGGCTCACCCAGCCTCCAAGATGAGCTCCTGGCCGTCACATGCATCCCGGGCTCGCCGGGTCCTTCCCTGGGGTCCTCTCCTGTCATCCCAGGGTACCATCCAGCCCTCCCCAGGTCTCCCAGCCTCCTAGAGGAAATCATGGCTGCCTCGTCCATCCAGGACACGCCCTGGTCTTCACCGCGGGCCGCTGCGGACGAAGAAGGAGTTGAGGCAATCCTGGAGGCACCCCTCAGAGAGGAGGATTACCAGGCACTCCTGGACATGCTGCCAGGCTCCCCAGGCCCTCGGGCTTAGAGGGAGAAGAAGGAAAGGGGCACCATCTCCCCTGAGCCCCTTTCAGGTCTCCTTGCTTCAGAGGCCAAGCCACGGAGGTCGTGGAGTAGGGAAGATTTTAGGTGGGGGAGGGGGGGGCGGTGGGGAGCAAACAGACGGGATGACTACCAGCAACTTTGGGGACATACACTAGAGCTGGACCTTTGGGAAGCATGGGCCCCCTCCAAGAGGCACAGACCACCTGAAGCCTCAAGGAATCACAGGATTCCAGTGACCAAGACGGTGGCTAAGAACGGACATGCTGTGGAGCCAATAAAGAAACCCTGTGCTCTGCACAGGTTCTTTTGGTCTGACTCATCTGTGTTCTGGTTGCGTCTTTCCAGCAGTCCACACAGGAGCACTCCTTCCCTAGGCCAGGGGCAGCCGAGCGAGTGGGAGTGGGAGATAGAGCAGTGGGAAGGTAGAAGGCTAGGAAACGCAAGGTGGGAGGGGGTGAGTGGATGGAGGGAGAGGGTGGGGGAGAAGGGAGAGGCTTGGGGAAGGCTCAGTGGGAGAGGGAGGGAGGAAGAGAAGAGAAGGAGACAGAGAGATTTGGGGACGGAGGGAGGGAGAGGGCGTTTGGGGGAGGGGGGCGGGGCCCCCGTCTGGGACTCAGCTTCTAGCCACTGGCCATCCCTGCAGGTATCCCTAAAATACTCCGTCAGGGACATGCTTCCCTCGGTTTCGGGGTGCCTGGTCTGGGCGGGTTTCCCGAGGTCAGATCCTCTGAGCCAGCAGTAGGGACCTACCCACACAACCGCTTTCACGACCAGACTCCATGTCAACACACATGCCTGGTAGAGCTGCAAAGGCCAATCATCTCCGTGTGTCTCTCTGATCCTCACGGTGTAGTGACTCAGCTCGCCCTGCCACCAGCATCCCCGCATCACCCGCAGACATACAGGCATGATTTCCTTGCAAACCCGTTCCTGAATTCATAGACACGGTGGATTCGATGTACATACAACCCCCTGACTGTTCCCATGTGAAGCCCCCGTGGTTGGCTTTAGAGACCTGCGTGGCCAAAGAATCCATTGGGAAAGATGGCTGTGGGTGTGGTGTTGTGGTTCGTTCATTTCTTTTCAATTCATTGGAACCTGTTCAGAGCCATCCCCCGTGTGGCCTCATGCAACCTCCTCCCTCCTGTGTCTGCTCCTGCCTCCTGATTCCCTCCTCCTTCTCCTCTCTGCCCTCCGTTTCTTTAAGAAAGCACACACTATTTCCACGTCCAGTTGTTGGCACAGGTCAGGGCGCCTCTCCGTCCAGAACGTGCATGCTTCCTTCCTTGGCTTAGTGGAACCACCTTCCTAAGAGTAGTGGGTACAGTGTCCCGTTTCCGAGGTCTCCCCAGGGCACTTTGAGTAGGGGGTGGGCTGGGGAGGTGCAAGCATCAGGGTGCACCTGAAAAAGCCCCAAACGGTGTGAGTTGCCATTCGAGACACTGGCCCATCACTTCTCTCGCAGTAGACTTGGGTTTCTGGCAAGTCAAAGACTTGGGTGTATTTGGTGGGGGTGGGCGTGGGGTGGGTGTGGGCAGGGCGGTGGACTGGGACTGCTGTCGGGAAAGGATGCCAGGGGGGCACCGAGGAGGTGGGGAGGAATGTGGAAAAGGGAGGCAAGGATTTAAGGCAGCTAGGAGGAGGCACTGGAGAGAGCGTCCAGTGTCCGGGAATGCTCCGGAGGAGCCGGCGGAGGCCATTGAGTCCAACGTATATGTGGAATGTGAAAAGGCGGGAAAAGCCAGGGCGTTTCGGAAGGCAAGGCAGGCTGGGAAAGGGGGCGTGGGCGGCAACTTCAAAGGGACCTAGGGGAATTCCCGTGCAGTTAGGACTCTGTGCACTGCGGAGGGCCCCCGAGCCTGGGGTTGATTCCAGCTGCTGCGTGGCAGGGCCACACACCAAAACCCCCAACGCCCACCGCCCCCAGGCCAACGTGGACCTTGGGAGTCTGGGTCGCGGGCCGTGCCCGTGAAAGCCCACTGGCTCCACGGGATTCTTTCCAGGGTCTCTGCTTGGAGGCCAGGGGCGTCCCCTCTGACTAAGCACCCACCACGATTGACGTGAATAGGGGCGGAGCTGCCTCACCCTATCCAAAGTCCCGAGCAGCTGGGTCCTGGCCCACTGAGAAGGCAGTCTGCAGCGTCCCTGTGGCTCTCCCACCATGGCTTCGTCCAGCTCCTCCAGCACCTCAGGCGGTACGTTTGCCCTCGCTCCCTGGGGTCGGATCAGGTCTCGGGGTGGGGGTGGGGGGTGGGTCTGTGGATAGCCCGGCCAAGGGTTCACTGCAAACGTGTCGACTGACCGCCAAGAAAGCCAGGGACCGATCGGCTGGGCCCCTGGTTTCCAGGCGTCAGGTGTGCCCAGAGAGGCACCGTTTGGTCGTTTGGCTCCTTTGGCACACACATGGCTTCTCCTTTCTCTTTTCTGTGATGATGGTGTTGGTTGTGTGTTAGGGGGGCCGGTAGGGGAACTGGCATGGGGCCCTATTTCCTCATCTTGCCATGGAAATGGACGTCGGGGAGCTCTGTGGCTTTGCCAACTTCAGTGGCTTTCTGTCCACAATGGCCTAGTGCCTTCTGTCTTCCGTCAGGCGTTGCATGTTGGGCTTCGCCTTGGCTTCCTTCCCTCTTCCTTTCCTGTTCCCCTAGTGACGGCAAATATGGCCTGGGCTCCTCTTAGCCCCGAGAAGCCAGGTTCCCCTCCATTGGCATTGTGATGGAGGGAATTTTGGGAGAGGCCCCATCAAGACATTTCCCAGGCATCTGCTCAGGCAGGTGGAAAAATGTCTCTGCAGACAGGCTGCATGGTGTGCTGGTCTTTGGTGGGTGGGATTTCTTGCCAGCTTTGTTTCAGGGGCGGGTTTGGCTTCCTTTCTGCTTGCTGGTGTTCCTCGGACTCCAGCGTGGGTCGGGGGTTGGGGGATTTCCCCACTGCCCTTGACTCTCGGCCTGTCACTCGGGGTGTAGTCAAGTGACTTCCAAATGCAGAGGCGTCCCCGGGCTCCCGGCTTTGCTGAGGCACAGGGGCAACTGCCCTGGGTGGGGAGCATGCTTGGGCACTTCCGTCGAGTCCTCTCCAAACCCCACGTCCTCTGAGACTTTTCCCTTTCGTCTCTTCCACAGGCCCCATCGCCAGAGGATCTCGAAGGAGGAGGCTCGTTCTGAAGCTGAGCCAGAAGGACACCCTGCAAGCGCTCTTTCAACAGAACCCCTACCCTGGGATAGCGACCAGAGAACGACTGGCCCGAGAGCTTGGCATTGCCGAAAGCAGAGTTCAGGTAGGGCCCCCTCTCTCCACCCGTTCTCCCTCTCAGGCTCCCCGTGCCGATCCGCGTCAGCAGAAAGCACCCGGAGGCCTTTCTCTTGAGAACGTATTCTCTCTGTTTGCCCCTAGGTCTGGTTTCAGAACCAACGAAGAAGACGGTTAAAGCAGAGCCGATCGCCGTCTGCAAATATGCGCCAAGACGGGGAAGGGGCGCCAGGGTCCACGGCCAGGCCACCGTCGACACCTCGTCGACCTCAGTCTTCCACTCAAGGTAAGTTACCCAGCGTTCTGCAAAGGCAAGACCCCCAGAGGGGGGTCCCGAATCCTCCCCCTCTTGACAGAGAATTCTCTCTGCTGGTGGATGACCACCGGAGGCTCAGAAACACCAAGCAGGGAGGAAACAGGGCCATCTGGTTGCGTCCCCCATCAGTGACCCAGATAGGGCCACCATGCCCCCAGGCGGCGTGGACGGGCAGCACTGTTCCCCCTTTGCACCCCCTCCCGAGTCCCCGTCGGGAACTTTAGCCTCCGGCTGCCCAGGCAACCTTGGCCAAGGAGCAGGCTTCAGGGCACTCCGCGGCAAGTCCGGAGGAACAAAGAGACACACAGGGGCATGCATGTGTGCCGAGTGTGCATGTGTGCACGCACACCTGCACCATGGATCCAGGCACGAGATCCATCTGTGGGTGTATTCCGTAGAACCCTGCCCCGGCTTCAGAGCCACCTGAAGTGATTCAGGTGTGTGGGACTGTCCAGCCCCTGCACACCGTCTAGGGTATCTGTGCTGTCAAGGTTCCATGGGCCTTAAAGTCCTCTCCTCTCGGTGTGTTCTTTCCTTGGTAGAAGACTCGGCCAGAGAGGCCAGGAGAAAGAGGACAGCCATCTCTCCTTCTCAAACAAGGATCCTTGTGCAAGCCTTCACGAGGGATCGCTTTCCAGGGATTGCCGCCAGGGAAGAACTGGCTCGTCAGACGGGAATCCCAGAACCTCGAATCCAGGTAAGTTCTCCAGCCAGCGCATGGGCCCAGGCCGTGGCCCAGGAGACGGGCGCGTTCAGCCCTGCCAAGCGTTTGGAGCTGGATACACGTCGGCTTGGGCCGGGGCTTGGGCTGGGGGGAGGGGGCCGAAAGTTGGTGGGCTGAGTGGTGGGTTTTGTGCCACTTGTTGCCGTGCAGGCGCTCCTCATCTCCCAGGGCCCAGGGATTCGTTTGCAGAAAATGGCCCTGCAGAACTCGCCCTGGGCCTGCCAGATCAGAGGACGGGCCGCCAGGCGGGGTGACAAATGGGTGCCGCGGAGGCGCCAGCACGTTGATCTGGACGGTCACGGCTTCTGATGTGCCTGTCTGCCTTTTGCTCCCCTAGATATGGTTTCAAAACCGAAGAGCTCGGCACCCCCAGCAGAGCGCAAGGGGGCCTGGCAATGTCCGGGCCCGAGGACCAGGCGGCGCATCGGCCACGACCGCTCCTGCTCCAGAGGACCGAAGGGCCCCACCCGCTGTCCACAGCACCTCTCCTCCCCTTGGCCCCTCTCAGACACAGGAGAGCATGCCACCCTTGGCTGCAGCCGCTCCTTTGGGCGCCCCCACCTTCTGGGTGCCCGGGACTGCCTCTGGGGTCTGTGTGGGCCAGCCGTTGATGTTCTTCGTGATCCAGCCCAGCCCGATGGCTCTCCAGCCAAGTGAGAAGCCACCACCTCCTCCCCAGGTAGCAGTGCCCTGGGCCGCGTGCTCCCCTGCTGACACGGCCCCTTGGCAGCCTGGGCCAGGGGCCATCCTGCCGCCTCTACAGCATGAGACACACATCAGGCGGAGGCCAGAGTCACCCGTTGCTGAAGGCACAGCCCCTCTGCTAGAGCCACAGCCCCATCCGCCCAGCCTTCCAAGATCGACAAGCCTCCTAGATGAGCTCTTGGCGGCCACCGGCATCCTGGAAACGCAGGCGCCTTCCGCGGGGGACGCTGCAGATGCACGAGTGCACCCTGCCCTCCCAGGCGAACCCAGCATCCTAGAAGAGTTCGTGGAGGCCACGGGCATCCCGGACATGCAGGCGCCTTGCCCGGGGGCCGCTGCAGATGCACGAGTGCACCCTGCCCTGCCAGACGCACCCAGCTTCCTAGACGAGCTCTTGGAGGCCATGGGCATCACAGACTGGCAGGCGCCTTCCCCGGGGGCTGCTGCGGATGCAGGAGCACACCCTGCCCTCCCAGGCACAGCCAGCATCCTAGAAGAGTTCGTGGAGGCCACAGGCATCCCGGACACGCAGGCGCCTTCCCCGGGGGCTGCTGCAGATTCAGAAGTGCACCCTGCCCTGCCAGACGCACCCAGCTTCCTTGACGAGCTCTTGGAAGCCACGGGCATCGCAGACTGGCAGGCACCTTCCCCGGGGGCCGCTGCAGATGCAGGAGCGCACCCTGCCCTGCCAGTTGCAACCAGCTTCCTAGACGAGCTCTTGGATGCCACGGGCATCGAGGACTCTCAGGCGCCTTCCCCGGAGCCCGGTGCAGATGCAGGAGTGCACCCTGCCCTGCCAGACCCACCCAGCTTCCTAGACGAGCTCTTGGAGGCCACGGGCCTCGGGTCCTCGCAGGCGCCTTCCCCGGGGGCCGCTGCAGATGCAGGAGCACACCCTGCCCTGCCAGGCACACCCAGCTTTCTAGGCCAGCTCTTGGAGGCCACGGATATTGCGGCCTCGCAGGCGCCTTCCCTGGGGCCCTATGCAGATGCAGGAGCACACCTCGCCCTCCCAGGCTCACCCAGCCTCCAAGATGAGCTCCTGGCCGTCACATGCATCCCGGGCTCGCCGGGTCCTTCCCTGGGGTCCTCTCCTGTCATCCCAGGGTACCATCCAGCCCTCCCCAGGTCTCCCAGCCTCCTAGAGGAAATCATGGCTGCCTCGTCCATCCAGGACACGCCCTGGTCTTCACCGCGGGCCGCTGCGGACGAAGAAGGAGTTGAGGCAATCCTGGAGGCACCCCTCAGAGAGGAGGATTACCAGGCACTCCTGGACATGCTGCCAGGCTCCCCAGGCCCTCGGGCTTAGAGGGAGAAGAAGGAAAGGGGCACCATCTCCCCTGAGCCCCTTTCAGGTCTCCTTGCTTCAGAGGCCAAGCCACGGAGGTCGTGGAGTAGGGAAGATTTTAGGTGGGGGAGGGGGGGGGCGGTGGGGAGCAAACAGACGGGATGACTACCAGCAACTTTGGGGACATACACTAGAGCTGGACCTTTGGGAAGCATGGGCCCCCTCCAAGAGGCACAGACCACCTGAAGCCTCAAGGAATCACAGGATTCCAGTGACCAAGACGGTGGCTAAGAACGGACATGCTGTGGAGCCAATAAAGAAACCCTGTGCTCTGCACAGGTTCTTTTGGTCTGACTCATCTGTGTTCTGGTTGCGTCTTTCCAGCAGTCCACACAGGAGCACTCCTTCCCTAGGCCAGGGGCAGCCGAGCGAGTGGGAGTGGGAGATAGAGCAGTGGGAAGGTAGAAGGCTAGGAAACGCAAGGTGGGAGGGGGTGAGTGGATGGAGGGAGAGGGTGGGGGAGAAGGGAGAGGCTTGGGGAAGGCTCAGTGGGAGAGGGAGGGAGGAAGAGAAGAGAAGGAGACAGAGAGATTTGGGGACGGAGGGAGGGAGAGGGCGTTTGGGGGAGGGGGGCGGGGCCCCCGTCTGGGACTCAGCTTCTAGCCACTGGCCATCCCTGCAGGTATCCCTAAAATACTCCGTCAGGGACATGCTTCCCTCGGTTTCGGGGTGCCTGGTCTGGGCGGGTTTCCCGAGGTCAGATCCTCTGAGCCAGCAGTAGGGACCTACCCACACAACCGCTTTCACGACCAGACTCCATGTCAACACACATGCCTGGTAGAGCTGCAAAGGCCAATCATCTCCGTGTGTCTCTCTGATCCTCACGGTGTAGTGACTCAGCTCGCCCTGCCACCAGCATCCCCGCATCACCCGCAGACATACAGGCATGATTTCCTTGCAAACCCGTTCCTGAATTCATAGACACGGTGGATTCGATGTACATACAACCCCCTGACTGTTCCCATGTGAAGCCCCCGTGGTTGGCTTTAGAGACCTGCGTGGCCAAAGAATCCATTGGGAAAGATGGCTGTGGGTGTGGTGTTGTGGTTCGTTCATTTCTTTTCAATTCATTGGAACCTGTTCAGAGCCATCCCCCGTGTGGCCTCATGCAACCTCCTCCCTCCTGTGTCTGCTCCTGCCTCCTGATTCCCTCCTCCTTCTCCTCTCTGCCCTCCGTTTCTTTAAGAAAGCACACACTATTTCCACGTCCAGTTGTTGGCACAGGTCAGGGCGCCTCTCCGTCCAGAACGTGCATGCTTCCTTCCTTGGCTTAGTGGAACCACCTTCCTAAGAGTAGTGGGTACAGTGTCCCGTTTCCGAGGTCTCCCCAGGGCACTTTGAGTAGGGGGTGGGCTGGGGAGGTGCAAGCATCAGGGTGCACCTGAAAAAGCCCCAAACGGTGTGAGTTGCCATTCGAGACACTGGCCCATCACTTCTCTCGCAGTAGACTTGGGTTTCTGGCAAGTCAAAGACTTGGGTGTATTTGGTGGGGGTGGGCGTGGGGTGGGTGTGGGCAGGGCGGTGGACTGGGACTGCTGTCGGGAAAGGATGCCAGGGGGGCACCGAGGAGGTGGGGAGGAATGTGGAAAAGGGAGGCAAGGATTTAAGGCAGCTAGGAGGAGGCACTGGAGAGAGCGTCCAGTGTCCGGGAATGCTCCGGAGGAGCCGGCGGAGGCCATTGAGTCCAACGTATATGTGGAATGTGAAAAGGCGGGAAAAGCCAGGGCGTTTCGGAAGGCAAGGCAGGCTGGGAAAGGGGGCGTGGGCGGCAACTTCAAAGGGACCTAGGGGAATTCCCGTGCAGTTAGGACTCTGTGCACTGCGGAGGGCCCCCGAGCCTGGGGTTGATTCCAGCTGCTGCGTGGCAGGGCCACACACCAAAACCCCCAACGCCCACCGCCCCCAGGCCAACGTGGACCTTGGGAGTCTGGGTCGCGGGCCGTGCCCGTGAAAGCCCACTGGCTCCACGGGATTCTTTCCAGGGTCTCTGCTTGGAGGCCAGGGGCGTCCCCTCTGACTAAGCACCCACCACGATTGACGTGAATAGGGGCGGAGCTGCCTCACCCTATCCAAAGTCCCGAGCAGCTGGGTCCTGGCCCACTGAGAAGGCAGTCTGCAGCGTCCCTGTGGCTCTCCCACCATGGCTTCGTCCAGCTCCTCCAGCACCTCAGGCGGTACGTTTGCCCTCGCTCCCTGGGGTCGGATCAGGTCTCGGGGTGGGGGTGGGGGGTGGGTCTGTGGATAGCCCGGCCAAGGGTTCACTGCAAACGTGTCGACTGACCGCCAAGAAAGCCAGGGACCGATCGGCTGGGCCCCTGGTTTCCAGGCGTCAGGTGTGCCCAGAGAGGCACCGTTTGGTCGTTTGGCTCCTTTGGCACACACATGGCTTCTCCTTTCTCTTTTCTGTGATGATGGTGTTGGTTGTGTGTTAGGGGGGCCGGTAGGGGAACTGGCATGGGGCCCTATTTCCTCATCTTGCCATGGAAATGGACGTCGGGGAGCTCTGTGGCTTTGCCAACTTCAGTGGCTTTCTGTCCACAATGGCCTAGTGCCTTCTGTCTTCCGTCAGGCATTGCATGTTGGGCTTCGCCTTGGCTTCCTTCCCTCTTCCTTTCCTGTTCCCCTAGTGACGGCAAATATGGCCTGGGCTCCTCTTAGCCCCGAGAAGCCAGGTTCCCCTCCATTGGCATTGTGATGGAGGGAATTTTGGGAGAGGCCCCATCAAGACATTTCCCAGGCATCTGCTCAGGCAGGTGGAAAAATGTCTCTGCAGACAGGCTGCATGGTGTGCTGGTCTTTGGTGGGTGGGATTTCTTGCCAGCTTTGTTTCAGGGGCGGGTTTGGCTTCCTTTCTGCTTGCTGGTGTTCCTCGGACTCCAGCGTGGGTCGGGGGTTGGGGGATTTCCCCACTGCCCTTGACTCTCGGCCTGTCACTCGGGGTGTAGTCAAGTGACTTCCAAATGCAGAGGCGTCCCCGGGCTCCCGGCTTTGCTGAGGCACAGGGGCAACTGCCCTGGGTGGGGAGCATGCTTGGGCACTTCCGTCGAGTCCTCTCCAAACCCCACGTCCTCTGAGACTTTTCCCTTTCGTCTCTTCCACAGGCCCCATCGCCAGAGGATCTCGAAGGAGGAGGCTCGTTCTGAAGCTGAGCCAGAAGGACACCCTGCAAGCGCTCTTTCAACAGAACCCCTACCCTGGGATAGCGACCAGAGAACGACTGGCCCGAGAGCTTGGCATTGCCGAAAGCAGAGTTCAGGTAGGGCCCCCTCTCTCCACCCGTTCTCCCTCTCAGGCTCCCCGTGCCGATCCGCGTCAGCAGAAAGCACCCGGAGGCCTTTCTCTTGAGAACGTATTCTCTCTGTTTGCCCCTAGGTCTGGTTTCAGAACCAACGAAGAAGACGGTTAAAGCAGAGCCGATCGCCGTCTGCAAATATGCGCCAAGACGGGGAAGGGGCGCCAGGGTCCACGGCCAGGCCACCGTCGACACCTCGTCGACCTCAGTCTTCCACTCAAGGTAAGTTACCCAGCGTTCTGCAAAGGCAAGACCCCCAGAGGGGGGTCCCGAATCCTCCCCCTCTTGACAGAGAATTCTCTCTGCTGGTGGATGACCACCGGAGGCTCAGAAACACCAAGCAGGGAGGAAACAGGGCCATCTGGTTGCGTCCCCCATCAGTGACCCAGATAGGGCCACCATGCCCCCAGGCGGCGTGGACGGGCAGCACTGTTCCCCCTTTGCACCCCCTCCCGAGTCCCCGTCGGGAACTTTAGCCTCCGGCTGCCCAGGCAACCTTGGCCAAGGAGCAGGCTTCAGGGCACTCCGCGGCAAGTCCGGAGGAACAAAGAGACACACAGGGGCATGCATGTGTGCCGAGTGTGCATGTGTGCACGCACACCTGCACCATGGATCCAGGCACGAGATCCATCTGTGGGTGTATTCCGTAGAACTCTGCCCCGGCTTCAGAGCCACCTGAAGTGATTCAGGTGTGTGGGACTGTCCAGCCCCTGCACACCGTCTAGGGTATCTGTGCTGTCAAGGTTCCATGGGCCTTAAAGTCCTCTCCTCTCGGTGTGTTCTTTCCTTGGTAGAAGACTCGGCCAGAGAGGCCAGGAGAAAGAGGACAGCCATCTCTCCTTCTCAAACAAGGATCCTTGTGCAAGCCTTCACGAGGGATCGCTTTCCAGGGATTGCCGCCAGGGAAGAACTGGCTCGTCAGACGGGAATCCCAGAACCTCGAATCCAGGTAAGTTCTCCAGCCAGCGCATGGGCCCAGGCCGTGGCCCAGGAGACGGGCGCGTTCAGCCCTGCCAAGCGTTTGGAGCTGGATACACGTCGGCTTGGGCCGGGGCTTGGGCTGGGGGGAGGGGGCCGAAAGTTGGTGGGCTGAGTGGTGGGTTTTGTGCCACTTGTTGCCGTGCAGGCGCTCCTCATCTCCCAGGGCCCAGGGATTCGTTTGCAGAAAATGGCCCTGCAGAACTCGCCCTGGGCCTGCCAGATCAGAGGACGGGCCGCCAGGCGGGGTGACAAATGGGTGCCGCGGAGGCGCCAGCACGTTGATCTGGACGGTCACGGCTTCTGATGTGCCTGTCTGCCTTTTGCTCCCCTAGATATGGTTTCAAAACCGAAGAGCTCGGCACCCCCAGCAGAGCGCAAGGGGGCCTGGCAATGTCCGGGCCCGAGGACCAGGCGGCGCATCGGCCACGACCGCTCCTGCTCCAGAGGACCGAAGGGCCCCACCCGCTGTCCACAGCACCTCTCCTCCCCTTGGCCCCTCTCAGACACAGGAGAGCATGCCACCCTTGGCTGCAGCCGCTCCTTTGGGCGCCCCCACCTTCTGGGTGCCCGGGACTGCCTCTGGGGTCTGTGTGGGCCAGCCGTTGATGTTCTTCGTGATCCAGCCCAGCCCGATGGCTCTCCAGCCAAGTGAGAAGCCACCACCTCCTCCCCAGGTAGCAGTGCCCTGGGCCGCGTGCTCCCCTGCTGACACGGCCCCTTGGCAGCCTGGGCCAGGGGCCATCCTGCCGCCTCTACAGCATGAGACACACATCAGGCGGAGGCCAGAGTCACCCGTTGCTGAAGGCACAGCCCCTCTGCTAGAGCCACAGCCCCATCCGCCCAGCCTTCCAAGATCGACAAGCCTCCTAGATGAGCTCTTGGCGGCCACCGGCATCCTGGAAACGCAGGCGCCTTCCGCGGGGGACGCTGCAGATGCACGAGTGCACCCTGCCCTCCCAGGCGAACCCAGCATCCTAGAAGAGTTCGTGGAGGCCACGGGCATCCCGGACATGCAGGCGCCTTGCCCGGGGGCCGCTGCAGATGCACGAGTGCACCCTGCCCTGCCAGACGCACCCAGCTTCCTAGACGAGCTCTTGGAGGCCATGGGCATCACAGACTGGCAGGCGCCTTCCCCGGGGGCTGCTGCGGATGCAGGAGCACACCCTGCCCTCCCAGGCACAGCCAGCATCCTAGAAGAGTTCGTGGAGGCCACAGGCATCCCGGACACGCAGGCGCCTTCCCCGGGGGCTGCTGCAGATTCAGAAGTGCACCCTGCCCTGCCAGACGCACCCAGCTTCCTTGACGAGCTCTTGGAAGCCACGGGCATCGCAGACTGGCAGGCACCTTCCCCGGGGGCCGCTGCAGATGCAGGAGCGCACCCTGCCCTGCCAGTTGCAACCAGCTTCCTAGACGAGCTCTTGGATGCCACGGGCATCGAGGACTCTCAGGCGCCTTCCCCGGAGCCCGGTGCAGATGCAGGAGTGCACCCTGCCCTGCCAGACCCACCCAGCTTCCTAGACGAGCTCTTGGAGGCCACGGGCCTCGGGTCCTCGCAGGCGCCTTCCCCGGGGGCCGCTGCAGATGCAGGAGCACACCCTGCCCTGCCAGGCACACCCAGCTTTCTAGGCCAGCTCTTGGAGGCCACGGATATTGCGGCCTCGCAGGCACCTTCCCTGGGGCCCTATGCAGATGCAGGAGCACACCTCGCCCTCCCAGGCTCACCCAGCCTCCAAGATGAGCTCCTGGCCGTCACATGCATCCCGGGCTCGCCGGGTCCTTCCCTGGGGTCCTCTCCTGTCATCCCAGGGTACCATCCAGCCCTCCCCGGGTCTCCCAGCCTCCTAGAGGAAATCATGGCTGCCTCGTCCATCCAGGACACGCCCTGGTCTTCACCGCGGGCCGCTGTGGACGAAGAAGGAGTTGAGGCAATCCTGGAGGCACCCCTCAGAGAGGAGGATTACCAGGCACTCCTGGACATGCTGCCAGGCTCCCCAGGCCCTCGGGCTTAGAGGGAGAAGAAGGAAAGGGGCACCATCTCCCCTGAGCCCCTTTCAGGTCTCCTTGCTTCAGAGGCCAAGCCACGGAGGTCGTGGAGTAGGGAAGATTTTAGGTGGGGGAGGGGGGGCGGTGGGGAGCAAACAGACGGGATGACTACCAGCAACTTTGGGGACATACACTAGAGCTGGACCTTTGGGAAGCATGGGCCCCCTCCAAGAGGCACAGACCACCTGAAGCCTCAAGGAATCGCAGGATTCCAGTGACCAAGACGGTGGCTAAGAACGGACATGCTGTGGAGCCAATAAAGAAACCCTGTGCTCTGCACAGGTTCTTTTGGTCTGACTCATCTGTGTTCTGGTTGCGTCTTTCCAGCAGTCCACACAGGAGCACTCCTTCCCTAGGCCAGGGGCAGCCGAGCGAGTGGGAGTGGGAGATAGAGCAGTGGGAAGGTAGAAGGCTGGGAAACGCAAGGTGGGAGGGGGCGAGTGGATGGAGGGAGAGGGTGGGGGAGAAGGGAGAGGCTTGGGGAAGGCTCAGTGGGAGAGGGAGGGAGGAAGAGAAGAGAAGGAGACAGAGAGATTTGGGGACGGAGGGAGGGAGAGGGCGTTTGGGGGAGGGGGGCGGGGCCCCCGTCTGGGACTCAGCTTCTAGCCACTGGCCATCCCTGCAGGTATCCCTAAAATACTCCGTCAGGGACATGCTTCCCTCGGTTTCGGGGTGCCTGGTCTGGGCGGGTTTCCCGAGGTCAGATCCTCTGAGCCAGCAGTAGGGACCTACCCACACAACCGCTTTCACGACCAGACTCCATGTCAACACACATGCCTGGTAGAGCTGCAAAGGCCAATCATCTCCGTGTGTCTCTCTGATCCTCACGGTGTAGTGACTCAGCTCGCCCTGCCACCAGCATCCCCGCATCACCCGCAGACCTACAGGCATGATTTCCTTGCAAACCCGTTCCTGAATTCATAGACACGGTGGATTCGATGTACATACAACCCCCTGACTGTTCCCATGTGAAGCCCCCGTGGTTGGCTTTAGAGACCTGTGTGGCCAAAGAATCCATTGGGAAAGATGGCTGTGGGTGTGGTGTTGTGGTTCGTTCATTTCTTTTCAATTCATTGGAACCTGTTCAGAGCCATCCCCCGTGTGGCCTCATGCAACCTCCTCCCTCCTGTGTCTGCTCCTGCCTCCTGATTCCCTCCTCCTTCTCCTCTCTGCCCTCCGTTTCTTTAAGAAAGCACACACTATTTCCACGTCCAGTTGTTGGCACAGGTCAGGGCACCTCTCCGTCCAGAACGTGCATGCTTCCTTCCTTGGCTTAGTGGAACCACCTTCCTAAGAGTAGTGGGTACAGTGTCCCGTTTCCGAGGTCTCCCCAGGGCACTTTGAGTAGGGGGTGGGCTGGGGAGGTGCAAGCATCAGGGTGCACCTGAAAAAGCCCCAAACGGTGTGAGTTGCCATTCGAGACACTGGCCCATCACTTCTCTCGCAGTAGACTTGGGTTTCTGGCAAGTCAAAGACTTGGGTGTATTTGGTGGGGGTGGGCGTGGGGTGGGTGTGGGCAGGGCGGTGGACTGGGACTGCTGTCGGGAAAGGATGCCAGGGGGGCACCGAGGAGGTGGGGAGGAATGTGGAAAAGGGAGGCAAGGATTTAAGGCAGCTAGGAGGAGGCACTGGAGAGAGCGTCCAGTGTCCGGGAATGCTCCGGAGGAGCCGGCGGAGGCCATTGAGTCCAACGTATATGTGGAATGTGAAAAGGCGGGAAAAGCCAGGGCGTTTCGGAAGGCAAGGCAGGCTGGGAAAGGGGGCGTGGGCGGCAACTTCAAAGGGACCTAGGGGAATTCCCGTGCAGTTAGGACTCTGTGCACTGCGGAGGGCCCCCGAGCCTGGGGTTGATTCCAGCTGCTGCGTGGCAGGGCCACACACCAAAACCCCCAACGCCCACCGCCCCCAGGCCAACGTGGACCTTGGGAGTCTGGGTCACGGGCCGTGCCCGTGAAAGCCCACTGGCTCCACGGGATTCTTTCCAGGGTCTCTGCTTGGCGGCCAGGGGCGTCCCCTCTGACTAAGCACCCACCACGATTGACGTGAATAGGGGCGGAGCTGCCTCACCCTATCCAAAGTCCCGAGCAGCTGGGTCCTGGCCCACTGAGAAGGCAGTCTGCAGCGTCCCTGTGGCTCTCCCACCATGGCTTCGTCCAGCTCCTCCAGCACCTCAGGCGGTACGTTTGCCCTCGCTCCCTGGGGTCGGATCAGGTCTCGGGGTGGGGGTGGGGGGTGGGTCTGTGGATAGCCCGGCCAAGGGTTCACTGCAAACGTGTCGACTGACCGCCAAGAAAGCCAGGGACCGATCGGCTGGGCCCCTGGTTTCCAGGCGTCAGGTGTGCCCAGAGAGGCACCGTTTGGTCGTTTGGCTCCTTTGGCACACACATGGCTTCTCCTTTCTCTTTTCTGTGATGATGGTGTTGGTTGTGTGTTAGGGGGGCCGGTAGGGGAACTGGCATGGGGCCCTATTTCCTCATCTTGCCATGGAAATGGACGTCGGGGAGCTCTGTGGCTTTGCCAACTTCAGTGGCTTTCTGTCCACAATGGCCTAGTGCCTTCTGTCTTCCGTCAGGCATTGCATGTTGGGCTTCGCCTTGGCTTCCTTCCCTCTTCCTTTCCTGTTCCCCTAGTGACGGCAAATATGGCCTGGGCTCCTCTTAGCCCCGAGAAGCCAGGTTCCCCTCCATTGGCATTGTGATGGAGGGAATTTTGGGAGAGGCCCCATCAAGACATTTCCCAGGCATCTGCTCAGGCAGGTGGAAAAATGTCTCTGCAGACAGGCTGCATGGTGTGCTGGTCTTTGGTGGGTGGGATTTCTTGCCAGCTTTGTTTCAGGGGCGGGTTTGGCTTCCTTTCTGCTTGCTGGTGTTCCTCGGACTCCAGCGTGGGTCGGGGGTTGGGGGATTTCCCCACTGCCCTTGACTCTCGGCCTGTCACTCGGGGTGTAGTCAAGTGACTTCCAAATGCAGAGGCGTCCCCGGGCTCCCGGCTTTGCTGAGGCACAGGGGCAACTGCCCTGGGTGGGGAGCATGCTTGGGCACTTCCGTCGAGTCCTCTCCAAACCCCACGTCCTCTGAGACTTTTCCCTTTCGTCTCTTCCACAGGCCCCATCGCCAGAGGATCTCGAAGGAGGAGGCTCGTTCTGAAGCTGAGCCAGAAGGACACCCTGCAAGCGCTCTTTCAACAGAACCCCTACCCTGGGATAGCGACCAGAGAACGACTGGCCCGAGAGCTTGGCATTGCCGAAAGCAGAGTTCAGGTAGGGCCCCCTCTCTCCACCCGTTCTCCCTCTCAGGCTCCCCGTGCCGATCCGCGTCAGCAGAAAGCACCCGGAGGCCTTTCTCTTGAGAACGTATTCTCTCTGTTTGCCCCTAGGTCTGGTTTCAGAACCAACGAAGAAGACGGTTAAAGCAGAGCCGATCGCCGTCTGCAAATATGCGCCAAGACGGGGAAGGGGCGCCAGGGTCCACGGCCAGGCCACCGTCGACACCTCGTCGACCTCAGTCTTCCACTCAAGGTAAGTTACCCAGCGTTCTGCAAAGGCAAGACCCCCAGAGGGGGGTCCCGAATCCTCCCCCTCTTGACAGAGAATTCTCTCTGCTGGTGGATGACCACCGGAGGCTCAGAAACACCAAGCAGGGAGGAAACAGGGCCATCTGGTTGCGTCCCCCATCAGTGACCCAGATAGGGCCACCATGCCCCCAGGCGGCGTGGACGGGCAGCACTGTTCCCCCTTTGCACCCCCTCCCGAGTCCCCGTCGGGAACTTTAGCCTCCGGCTGCCCAGGCAACCTTGGCCAAGGAGCAGGCTTCAGGGCACTCCGCGGCAAGTCCGGAGGAACAAAGAGACACACAGGGGCATGCATGTGTGCCGAGTGTGCATGTGTGCACGCACACCTGCACCATGGATCCAGGCACGAGATCCATCTGTGGGTGTATTCCGTAGAACCCTGCCCCGGCTTCAGAGCCACCTGAAGTGATTCAGGTGTGTGGGACTCTCCAGCCCCTGCACACCGTCTAGGGTATCTGTGCTGTCAAGGTTCCATGGGCCTTAAAGTCCTCTCCTCTCGGTGTGTTCTTTCCTTGGTAGAAGACTCGGCCAGAGAGGCCAGGAGAAAGAGGACAGCCATCTCTCCTTCTCAAACAAGGATCCTTGTGCAAGCCTTCACGAGGGATCGCTTTCCAGGGATTGCCGCCAGGGAAGAACTGGCTCGTCAGACGGGAATCCCAGAACCTCGAATCCAGGTAAGTTCTCCAGCCAGCGCATGGGCCCAGGCCGTGGCCCAGGAGACGGGCGCGTTCAGCCCTGCCAAGCGTTTGGAGCTGGATACACGTCGGCTTGGGCCGGGGCTTGGGCTGGGGGGAGGGGGCCGAAAGTTGGTGGGCTGAGTGGTGGGTTTTGTGCCACTTGTTGCCGTGCAGGCGCTCCTCATCTCCCAGGGCCCAGGGATTCGTTTGCAGAAAATGGCCCTGCAGAACTCGCCCTGGGCCTGCCAGATCAGAGGACGGGCCGCCAGGCGGGGTGACAAATGGGTGCCGCGGAGGCGCCAGCACGTTGATCTGGACGGTCACGGCTTCTGATGTGCCTGTCTGCCTTTTGCTCCCCTAGATATGGTTTCAAAACCGAAGAGCTCGGCACCCCCAGCAGAGCGCAAGGGGGCCTGGCAATGTCCGGGCCCGAGGACCAGGCGGCGCATCGGCCACGACCGCTCCTGCTCCAGAGGACCGAAGGGCCCCACCCGCTGTCCACAGCACCTCTCCTCCCCTTGGCCCCTCTCAGACACAGGAGAGCATGCCACCCTTGGCTGCAGCCGCTCCTTTGGGCGCCCCCACCTTCTGGGTGCCCGGGACTGCCTCTGGGGTCTGTGTGGGCCAGCCGTTGATGTTCTTCGTGATCCAGCCCAGCCCGATGGCTCTCCAGCCAAGTGAGAAGCCACCACCTCCTCCCCAGGTAGCAGTGCCCTGGGCCGCGTGCTCCCCTGCTGACACGGCCCCTTGGCAGCCTGGGCCAGGGGCCATCCTGCCGCCTCTACAGCATGAGACACACATCAGGCGGAGGCCAGAGTCACCCGTTGCTGAAGGCACAGCCCCTCTGCTAGAGCCACAGCCCCATCCGCCCAGCCTTCCAAGATCGACAAGCCTCCTAGATGAGCTCTTGGCGGCCACCGGCATCCTGGAAACGCAGGCGCCTTCCGCGGGGGACGCTGCAGATGCACGAGTGCACCCTGCCCTCCCAGGCGAACCCAGCATCCTAGAAGAGTTCGTGGAGGCCACGGGCATCCCGGACATGCAGGCGCCTTGCCCGGGGGCCGCTGCAGATGCACGAGTGCACCCTGCCCTGCCAGACGCACCCAGCTTCCTAGACGAGCTCTTGGAGGCCATGGGCATCACAGACTGGCAGGCGCCTTCCCCGGGGGCTGCTGCGGATGCAGGAGCACACCCTGCCCTCCCAGGCACAGCCAGCATCCTAGAAGAGTTCGTGGAGGCCACAGGCATCCCGGACACGCAGGCGCCTTCCCCGGGGGCTGCTGCAGATTCAGAAGTGCACCCTGCCCTGCCAGACGCACCCAGCTTCCTTGACGAGCTCTTGGAAGCCACGGGCATCGCAGACTGGCAGGCACCTTCCCCGGGGGCCGCTGCAGATGCAGGAGCGCACCCTGCCCTGCCAGTTGCAACCAGCTTCCTAGACGAGCTCTTGGATGCCACGGGCATCGAGGACTCTCAGGCGCCTTCCCCGGAGCCCGGTGCAGATGCAGGAGTGCACCCTGCCCTGCCAGACCCACCCAGCTTCCTAGACGAGCTCTTGGAGGCCACGGGCCTCGGGTCCTCGCAGGCGCCTTCCCCGGGGGCCGCTGCAGATGCAGGAGCACACCCTGCCCTGCCAGGCACACCCAGCTTTCTAGGCCAGCTCTTGGAGGCCACGGATATTGCGGCCTCGCAGGCACCTTCCCTGGGGCCCTATGCAGATGCAGGAGCACACCTCGCCCTCCCAGGCTCACCCAGCCTCCAAGATGAGCTCCTGGCCGTCACATGCATCCCGGGCTCGCCGGGTCCTTCCCTGGGGTCCTCTCCTGTCATCCCAGGGTACCATCCAGCCCTCCCCGGGTCTCCCAGCCTCCTAGAGGAAATCATGGCTGCCTCGTCCATCCAGGACACGCCCTGGTCTTCACCGCGGGCCGCTGCGGACGAAGAAGGAGTTGAGGCAATCCTGGAGGCACCCCTCAGAGAGGAGGATTACCAGGCACTCCTGGACATGCTGCCAGGCTCCCCAGGCCCTCGGGCTTAGAGGGAGAAGAAGGAAAGGGGCACCATCTCCCCTGAGCCCCTTTCAGGTCTCCTTGCTTCAGAGGCCAAGCCACGGAGGTCGTGGAGTAGGGAAGATTTTAGGTGGGGGAGGGGGGGGCGGTGGGGAGCAAACAGACGGGATGACTACCAGCAACTTTGGGGACATACACTAGAGCTGGACCTTTGGGAAGCATGGGCCCCCTCCAAGAGGCACAGACCACCTGAAGCCTCAAGGAATCGCAGGATTCCAGTGACCAAGACGGTGGCTAAGAACGGACATGCTGTGGAGCCAATAAAGAAACCCTGTGCTCTGCACAGGTTCTTTTGGTCTGACTCATCTGTGTTCTGGTTGCGTCTTTCCAGCAGTCCACACAGGAGCACTCCTTCCCTAGGCCAGGGGCAGCCGAGCGAGTGGGAGTGGGAGATAGAGCAGTGGGAAGGTAGAAGGCTGGGAAACGCAAGGTGGGAGGGGGCGAGTGGATGGAGGGAGAGGGTGGGGGAGAAGGGAGAGGCTTGGGGAAGGCTCAGTGGGAGAGGGAGGGAGGAAGAGAAGAGAAGGAGACAGAGAGATTTGGGGACGGAGGGAGGGAGAGGGCGTTTGGGGGAGGGGGGCGGGGCCCCCGTCTGGGACTCAGCTTCTAGCCACTGGCCATCCCTGCAGGTATCCCTAAAATACTCCGTCAGGGACATGCTTCCCTCGGTTTCGGGGTGCCTGGTCTGGGCGGGTTTCCCGAGGTCAGATCCTCTGAGCCAGCAGTAGGGACCTACCCACACAACCGCTTTCACGACCAGACTCCATGTCAACACACATGCCTGGTAGAGCTGCAAAGGCCAATCATCTCCGTGTGTCTCTCTGATCCTCACGGTGTAGTGACTCAGCTCGCCCTGCCACCAGCATCCCCGCATCACCCGCAGACCTACAGGCATGATTTCCTTGCAAACCCGTTCCTGAATTCATAGACACGGTGGATTCGATGTACATACAACCCCCTGACTGTTCCCATGTGAAGCCCCCGTGGTTGGCTTTAGAGACCTGTGTGGCCAAAGAATCCATTGGGAAAGATGGCTGTGGGTGTGGTGTTGTGGTTCGTTCATTTCTTTTCAATTCATTGGAACCTGTTCAGAGCCATCCCCCGTGTGGCCTCATGCAACCTCCTCCCTCCTGTGTCTGCTCCTGCCTCCTGATTCCCTCCTCCTTCTCCTCTCTGCCCTCCGTTTCTTTAAGAAAGCACACACTATTTCCACGTCCAGTTGTTGGCACAGGTCAGGGCACCTCTCCGTCCAGAACGTGCATGCTTCCTTCCTTGGCTTAGTGGAACCACCTTCCTAAGAGTAGTGGGTACAGTGTCCCGTTTCCGAGGTCTCCCCAGGGCACTTTGAGTAGGGGGTGGGCTGGGGAGGTGCAAGCATCAGGGTGCACCTGAAAAAGCCCCAAACGGTGTGAGTTGCCATTCGAGACACTGGCCCATCACTTCTCTCGCAGTAGACTTGGGTTTCTGGCAAGTCAAAGACTTGGGTGTATTTGGTGGGGGTGGGCGTGGGGTGGGTGTGGGCAGGGCGGTGGACTGGGACTGCTGTCGGGAAAGGATGCCAGGGGGGCACCGAGGAGGTGGGGAGGAATGTGGAAAAGGGAGGCAAGGATTTAAGGCAGCTAGGAGGAGGCACTGGAGAGAGCGTCCAGTGTCCGGGAATGCTCCGGAGGAGCCGGCGGAGGCCATTGAGTCCAACGTATATGTGGAATGTGAAAAGGCGGGAAAAGCCAGGGCGTTTCGGAAGGCAAGGCAGGCTGGGAAAGGGGGCGTGGGCGGCAACTTCAAAGGGACCTAGGGGAATTCCCGTGCAGTTAGGACTCTGTGCACTGCGGAGGGCCCCCGAGCCTGGGGTTGATTCCAGCTGCTGCGTGGCAGGGCCACACACCAAAACCCCCAACGCCCACCGCCCCCAGGCCAACGTGGACCTTGGGAGTCTGGGTCGCGGGCCGTGCCCGTGAAAGCCCACTGGCTCCACGGGATTCTTTCCAGGGTCTCTGCTTGGAGGCCAGGGGCGTCCCCTCTGACTAAGCACCCACCACGATTGACGTGAATAGGGGCGGAGCTGCCTCACCCTATCCAAAGTCCCGAGCAGCTGGGTCCTGGCCCACTGAGAAGGCAGTCTGCAGCGTCCCTGTGGCTCTCCCACCATGGCTTCGTCCAGCTCCTCCAGCACCTCAGGCGGTACGTTTGCCCTCGCTCCCTGGGGTCGGATCAGGTCTCGGGGTGGGGGTGGGGGGTGGGTCTGTGGATAGCCCGGCCAAGGGTTCACTGCAAACGTGTCGACTGACCGCCAAGAAAGCCAGGGACCGATCGGCTGGGCCCCTGGTTTCCAGGCGTCAGGTGTGCCCAGAGAGGCACCGTTTGGTCGTTTGGCTCCTTTGGCACACACATGGCTTCTCCTTTCTCTTTTCTGTGATGATGGTGTTGGTTGTGTGTTAGGGGGGCCGGTAGGGGAACTGGCATGGGGCCCTATTTCCTCATCTTGCCATGGAAATGGACGTCGGGGAGCTCTGTGGCTTTGCCAACTTCAGTGGCTTTCTGTCCACAATGGCCTAGTGCCTTCTGTCTTCCGTCAGGCGTTGCATGTTGGGCTTCGCCTTGGCTTCCTTCCCTCTTCCTTTCCTGTTCCCCTAGTGACGGCAAATATGGCCTGGGCTCCTCTTAGCCCCGAGAAGCCAGGTTCCCCTCCATTGGCATTGTGATGGAGGGAATTTTGGGAGAGGCCCCATCAAGACATTTCCCAGGCATCTGCTCAGGCAGGTGGAAAAATGTCTCTGCAGACAGGCTGCATGGTGTGCTGGTCTTTGGTGGGTGGGATTTCTTGCCAGCTTTGTTTCAGGGGCGGGTTTGGCTTCCTTTCTGCTTGCTGGTGTTCCTCGGACTCCAGCGTGGGTCGGGGGTTGGGGGATTTCCCCACTGCCCTTGACTCTCGGCCTGTCACTCGGGGTGTAGTCAAGTGACTTCCAAATGCAGAGGCGTCCCCGGGCTCCCGGCTTTGCTGAGGCACAGGGGCAACTGCCCTGGGTGGGGAGCATGCTTGGGCACTTCCGTCGAGTCCTCTCCAAACCCCACGTCCTCTGAGACTTTTCCCTTTCGTCTCTTCCACAGGCCCCATCGCCAGAGGATCTCGAAGGAGGAGGCTCGTTCTGAAGCTGAGCCAGAAGGACACCCTGCAAGCGCTCTTTCAACAGAACCCCTACCCTGGGATAGCGACCAGAGAACGACTGGCCCGAGAGCTTGGCATTGCCGAAAGCAGAGTTCAGGTAGGGCCCCCTCTCTCCACCCGTTCTCCCTCTCAGGCTCCCCGTGCCGATCCGCGTCAGCAGAAAGCACCCGGAGGCCTTTCTCTTGAGAACGTATTCTCTCTGTTTGCCCCTAGGTCTGGTTTCAGAACCAACGAAGAAGACGGTTAAAGCAGAGCCGATCGCCGTCTGCAAATATGCGCCAAGACGGGGAAGGGGCGCCAGGGTCCACGGCCAGGCCACCGTCGACACCTCGTCGACCTCAGTCTTCCACTCAAGGTAAGTTACCCAGCGTTCTGCAAAGGCAAGACCCCCAGAGGGGGGTCCCGAATCCTCCCCCTCTTGACAGAGAATTCTCTCTGCTGGTGGATGACCACCGGAGGCTCAGAAACACCAAGCAGGGAGGAAACAGGGCCATCTGGTTGCGTCCCCCATCAGTGACCCAGATAGGGCCACCATGCCCCCAGGCGGCGTGGACGGGCAGCACTGTTCCCCCTTTGCACCCCCTCCCGAGTCCCCGTCGGGAACTTTAGCCTCCGGCTGCCCAGGCAACCTTGGCCAAGGAGCAGGCTTCAGGGCACTCCGCGGCAAGTCCGGAGGAACAAAGAGACACACAGGGGCATGCATGTGTGCCGAGTGTGCATGTGTGCACGCACACCTGCACCATGGATCCAGGCACGAGATCCATCTGTGGGTGTATTCCGTAGAACCCTGCCCCGGCTTCAGAGCCACCTGAAGTGATTCAGGTGTGTGGGACTCTCCAGCCCCTGCACACCGTCTAGGGTATCTGTGCTGTCAAGGTTCCATGGGCCTTAAAGTCCTCTCCTCTCGGTGTGTTCTTTCCTTGGTAGAAGACTCGGCCAGAGAGGCCAGGAGAAAGAGGACAGCCATCTCTCCTTCTCAAACAAGGATCCTTGTGCAAGCCTTCACGAGGGATCGCTTTCAGGGATTGCCGCCAGGGAAGAACTGGCTCGTCAGACGGGAATCCCAGAACCTCGAATCCAGGTAAGTTCTCCAGCCAGCGCATGGGCCCAGGCCGTGGCCCAGGAGACGGGCGCGTTCAGCCCTGCCAAGCGTTTGGAGCTGGATACACGTCGGCTTGGGCCGGGGCTTGGGCTGGGGGGAGGGGGCCGAAAGTTGGTGGGCTGAGTGGTGGGTTTTGTGCCGCTTGTTGCCGTGCAGGCGCTCCTCATCTCCCAGGGCCCAGGGATTCGTTTGCAGAAAATGGCCCTGCAGAACTCGCCCTGGGCCTGCCAGATCAGAGGACGGGCCGCCAGGCGGGGTGACAAATGGGTGCCGCGGAGGCGCCAGCACGTTGATCTGGACGGTCACGGCTTCTGATGTGCCTGTCTGCCTTTTGCTCCCCTAGATATGGTTTCAAAACCGAAGAGCTCGGCACCCCCAGCAGAGCGCAAGGGGGCCTGGCAATGTCCGGGCCCGAGGACCAGGCGGCGCATCGGCCACGACTGCTCCTGCTCCAGAGGACCGAAGGGCCCCACCCGCTGTCCACAGCACCTCTCCTCCCCTTGGCCCCTCTCAGACACAGGAGAGCATGCCACCCTTGGCTGCAGCCGCTCCTTTGGGCGCCCCCACCTTCTGGGTGCCTGGGACTGCCTCTGGGGTCTGTGTGGGCCAGCCGTTGATGTTCTTCGTGATCCAGCCCAGCCCGATGGCTCTCCAGCCAAGTGAGAAGCCACCACCTCCTCCCCAGGTAGCAGTGCCCTGGGCCGCGTGCTCCCCTGCTGACACGGCCCCTTGGCAGCCTGGGCCAGGGGCCATCCTGCCGCCTCTACAGCCTGAGACACACATCAGGCGGAGGCCAGAGTCACCCGTTGCTGAAGGCACGGCCCCTCTGCTAGAGCCACAGCCCCATCCGCCCAGCCTTCCAAGATCGACAAGCCTCCTAGATGAGCTCTTGGCGGCCACCGGCATCCTGGAAACGCAGGCGCCTTCCGCGGGGGACGCTGCAGATGCACGAGTGCACCCTGCCCTCCCAGGCGAACCCAGCATCCTAGAAGAGTTCGTGGAGGCCACGGGCATCCCGGACATGCAGGCGCCTTGCCCGGGGGCCGCTGCAGATGCACGAGTGCACCCTGCCCTGCCAGACGCACCCAGCTTCCTAGACGAGCTCTTGGAGGCCATGGGCATCACAGACTGGCAGGCGCCTTCCCCGGGGGCTGCTGCGGATGCAGGAGCACACCCTGCCCTCCCAGGCACAGCCAGCATCCTAGAAGAGTTCGTGGAGGCCACAGGCATCCCGGACACGCAGGCGCCTTCCCCGGGGGCTGCTGCAGATTCAGAAGTGCACCCTGCCCTGCCAGACGCACCCAGCTTCCTTGACGAGCTCTTGGAAGCCACGGGCATCGCAGACTGGCAGGCACCTTCCCCGGGGGCCGCTGCAGATGCAGGAGCGCACCCTGCCCTGCCAGTTGCAACCAGCTTCCTAGACGAGCTCTTGGATGCCACGGGCATCGAGGACTCTCAGGCGCCTTCCCCGGAGCCCGGTGCAGATGCAGGAGTGCACCCTGCCCTGCCAGACCCACCCAGCTTCCTAGACGAGCTCTTGGAGGCCACGGGCCTCGGGTCCTCGCAGGCGCCTTCCCCGGGGGCCGCTGCAGATGCAGGAGCACACCCTGCCCTGCCAGGCACACCCAGCTTTCTAGGCCAGCTCTTGGAGGCCACGGATATTGCGGCCTCGCAGGCGCCTTCCCTGGGGCCCTATGCAGATGCAGGAGCACACCTCGCCCTCCCAGGCTCACCCAGCCTCCAAGATGAGCTCCTGGCCGTCACATGCATCCCGGGCTCGCCGGGTCCTTCCCTGGGGTCCTCTCCTGTCATCCCAGGGTACCATCCAGCCCTCCCCGGGTCTCCCAGCCTCCTAGAGGAAATCATGGCTGCCTCGTCCATCCAGGACACGCCCTGGTCTTCACCGCGGGCCGCTGCGGACGAAGAAGGAGTTGAGGCAATCCTGGAGGCACCCCTCAGAGAGGAGGATTACCAGGCACTCCTGGACATGCTGCCAGGCTCCCCAGGCCCTCGGGCTTAGAGGGAGAAGAAGGAAAGGGGCACCATCTCCCCTGAGCCCCTTTCAGGTCTCCTTGCTTCAGAGGCCAAGCCACGGAGGTCGTGGAGTAGGGAAGATTTTAGGTGGGGGAGGGGGGGGGCGGTGGGGAGCAAACAGACGGGATGACTACCAGCAACTTTGGGGACATACACTAGAGCTGGACCTTTGGGAAGCATGGGCCCCCTCCAAGAGGCACAGACCACCTGAAGCCTCAAGGAATCACAGGATTCCAGTGACCAAGACGGTGGCTAAGAACGGACATGCTGTGGAGCCAATAAAGAAACCCTGTGCTCTGCACAGGTTCTTTTGGTCTGACTCATCTGTGTTCTGGTTGCGTCTTTCCAGCAGTCCACACAGGAGCACTCCTTCCCTAGGCCAGGGGCAGCCGAGCGAGTGGGAGTGGGAGATAGAGCAGTGGGAAGGTAGAAGGCTGGGAAACGCAAGGTGGGAGGGGGTGAGTGGATGGAGGGAGAGGGTGGGGGAGAAGGGAGAGGCTTGGGGAAGGCTCAGTGGGAGAGGGAGGGAGGAAGAGAAGAGAAGGAGACAGAGAGATTTGGGGACGGAGGGAGGGAGAGGGCGTTTGGGGGAGGGGGGCGGGGCCCCCGTCTGGGACTCAGCTTCTAGCCACTGGCCATCCCTGCAGGTATCCCTAAAATACTCCGTCAGGGACATGCTTCCCTCGGTTTCGGGGTGCCTGGTCTGGGCGGGTTTCCCGAGGTCAGATCCTCTGAGCCAGCAGTAGGGACCTACCCACACAACCGCTTTCACGACCAGACTCCATGTCAACACACATGCCTGGTAGAGCTGCAAAGGCCAATCATCTCCGTGTGTCTCTCTGATCCTCACGGTGTAGTGACTCAGCTCGCCCTGCCACCAGCATCCCCGCATCACCCGCAGACATACAGGCATGATTTCCTTGCAAACCCGTTCCTGAATTCATAGACACGGTGGATTCGATTTACATACAACCCCCTGACTGTTCCCATGTGAAGCCCCCGTGGTTGGCTTTAGAGACCTGCGTGGCCAAAGAATCCATTGGGAAAGATGGCTGTGGGTGTGGTGTTGTGGTTCGTTCATTTCTTTTCAATTCATTGGAACCTGTTCAGAGCCATCCCCCGTGTGGCCTCATGCAACCTCCTCCCTCCTGTGTCTGCTCCTGCCTCCTGATTCCCTCCTCCTTCTCCTCTCTGCCCTCCGTTTCTTTAAGAAAGCACACACTATTTCCACGTCCAGTTGTTGGCACAGGTCAGGGCGCCTCTCCGTCCAGAACGTGCATGCTTCCTTCCTTGGCTTAGTGGAACCACCTTCCTAAGAGTAGTGGGTACAGTGTCCCGTTTCCGAGGTCTCCCCAGGGCACTTTGAGTAGGGGGTGGGCTGGGGAGGTGCAAGCATCAGGGTGCACCTGAAAAAGCCCCAAACGGTGTGAGTTGCCATTCGAGACACTGGCCCATCACTTCTCTCGCAGTAGACTTGGGTTTCTGGCAAGTCAAAGACTTGGGTGTATTTGGTGGGGGTGGGCGTGGGGTGGGTGTGGGCAGGGCGGTGGACTGGGACTGCTGTCGGGAAAGGATGCCAGGGGGGCACCGAGGAGGTGGGGAGGAATGTGGAAAAGGGAGGCAAGGATTTAAGGCAGCTAGGAGGAGGCACTGGAGAGAGCGTCCAGTGTCCGGGAATGCTCCGGAGGAGCCGGCGGAGGCCATTGAGTCCAACGTATATGTGGAATGTGAAAAGGCGGGAAAAGCCAGGGCGTTTCGGAAGGCAAGGCAGGCTGGGAAAGGGGGCGTGGGCGGCAACTTCAAAGGGACCTAGGGGAATTCCCGTGCAGTTAGGACTCTGTGCACTGCGGAGGGCCCCCGAGCCTGGGGTTGATTCCAGCTGCTGCGTGGCAGGGCCACACACCAAAACCCCCAACGCCCACCGCCCCCAGGCCAACGTGGACCTTGGGAGTCTGGGTCGCGGGCCGTGCCCGTGAAAGCCCACTGGCTCCACGGGATTCTTTCCAGGGTCTCTGCTTGGAGGCCAGGGGCGTCCCCTCTGACTAAGCACCCACCACGATTGACGTCAATAGGGGCGGAGCTGCCTCACCCTATCCAAAGTCCCGAGCAGCTGGGTCCTGGCCCACTGAGAAGGCAGTCTGCAGCGTCCCTGTGGCTCTCCCACCATGGCTTCGTCCAGCTCCTCCAGCACCTCAGGCGGTACGTTTGCCCTCGCTCCCTGGGGTCGGATCAGGTCTCGGGGTGGGGGTGGGGGGTGGGTCTGTGGATAGCCCGGCCAAGGGTTCACTGCAAACGTGTCGACTGACCGCCAAGAAAGCCAGGGACCGATCGGCTGGGCCCCTGGTTTCCAGGCGTCAGGTGTGCCCAGAGAGGCACCGTTTGGTCGTTTGGCTCCTTTGGCACACACATGGCTTCTCCTTTCTCTTTTCTGTGATGATGGTGTTGGTTGTGTGTTAGGGGGGCCGGTAGGGGAACTGGCATGGGGCCCTATTTCCTCATCTTGCCATGGAAATGGACGTCGGGGAGCTCTGTGGCTTTGCCAACTTCAGTGGCTTTCTGTCCACAATGGCCTAGTGCCTTCTGTCTTCCGTCAGGCGTTGCATGTTGGGCTTCGCCTTGGCTTCCTTCCCTCTTCCTTTCCTGTTCCCCTAGTGACGGCAAATATGGCCTGGGCTCCTCTTAGCCCCGAGAAGCCAGGTTCCCCTCCATTGGCATTGTGATGGAGGGAATTTTGGGAGAGGCCCCATCAAGACATTTCCCAGGCATCTGCTGAGGCAGGTGGAAAAATGTCTCTGCAGACAGGCTGCATGGTGTGCTGGTCTTTGGTGGGTGGGATTTCTTGCCAGCTTTGTTTCAGGGGCGGGTTTGGCTTCCTTTCTGCTTGCTGGTGTTCCTCGGACTCCAGCGTGGGTCGGGGGTTGGGGGATTTCCCCACTGCCCTTGACTCTCGGCCTGTCACTCGGGGTGTAGTCAAGTGACTTCCAAATGCAGAGGCGTCCCCGGGCTCCCGGCTTTGCTGAGGCACAGGGGCAACTGCCCTGGGTGGGGAGCATGCTTGGGCACTTCCGTCGAGTCCTCTCCAAACCCCACGTCCTCTGAGACTTTTCCCTTTCGTCTCTTCCACAGGCCCCATCGCCAGAGGATCTCGAAGGAGGAGGCTCGTTCTGAAGCTGAGCCAGAAGGACACCCTGCAAGCGCTCTTTCAACAGAACCCCTACCCTGGGATAGCGACCAGAGAACGACTGGCCCGAGAGCTTGGCATTGCCGAAAGCAGAGTTCAGGTAGGGCCCCCTCTCTCCACCCGTTCTCCCTCTCAGGCTCCCCGTGCCGATCCGCGTCAGCAGAAAGCACCCGGAGGCCTTTCTCTTGAGAACGTATTCTCTCTGTTTGCCCCTAGGTCTGGTTTCAGAACCAACGAAGAAGACGGTTAAAGCAGAGCCGATCGCCGTCTGCAAATATGCGCCAAGACGGGGAAGGGGCGCCAGGGTCCACGGCCAGGCCACCGTCGACACCTCGTCGACCTCAGTCTTCCACTCAAGGTAAGTTACCCAGCGTTCTGCAAAGGCAAGACCCCCAGAGGGGGGTCCCGAATCCTCCCCCTCTTGACAGAGAATTCTCTCTGCTGGTGGATGACCACCGGAGGCTCAGAAACACCAAGCAGGGAGGAAACAGGGCCATCTGGTTGCGTCCCCCATCAGTGACCCAGATAGGGCCACCATGCCCCCAGGCGGCGTGGACGGGCAGCACTGTTCCCCCTTTGCACCCCCTCCCGAGTCCCCGTCGGGAACTTTAGCCTCCGGCTGCCCAGGCAACCTTGGCCAAGGAGCAGGCTTCAGGGCACTCCGCGGCAAGTCCGGAGGAACAAAGAGACACACAGGGGCATGCATGTGTGCCGAGTGTGCATGTGTGCACGCACACCTGCACCATGGATCCAGGCACGAGATCCATCTGTGGGTGTATTCCGTAGAACCCTGCCCCGGCTTCAGAGCCACCTGAAGTGATTCAGGTGTGTGGGACTCTCCAGCCCCTGCACACCGTCTAGGGTATCTGTGCTGTCAAGGTTCCATGGGCCTTAAAGTCCTCTCCTCTCGGTGTGTTCTTTCCTTGGTAGAAGACTCGGCCAGAGAGGCCAGGAGAAAGAGGACAGCCATCTCTCCTTCTCAAACAAGGATCCTTGTGCAAGCCTTCACGAGGGATCGCTTTCAGGGATTGCCGCCAGGGAAGAACTGGCTCGTCAGACGGGAATCCCAGAACCTCGAATCCAGGTAAGTTCTCCAGCCAGCGCATGGGCCCAGGCCGTGGCCCAGGAGACGGGCGCGTTCAGCCCTGCCAAGCGTTTGGAGCTGGATACACGTCGGCTTGGGCCGGGGCTTGGGCTGGGGGGAGGGGGCCGAAAGTTGGTGGGCTGAGTGGTGGGTTTTGTGCCGCTTGTTGCCGTGCAGGCGCTCCTCATCTCCCAGGGCCCAGGGATTCGTTTGCAGAAAATGGCCCTGCAGAACTCGCCCTGGGCCTGCCAGATCAGAGGACGGGCCGCCAGGCGGGGTGACAAATGGGTGCCGCGGAGGCGCCAGCACGTTGATCTGGACGGTCACGGCTTCTGATGTGCCTGTCTGCCTTTTGCTCCCCTAGATATGGTTTCAAAACCGAAGAGCTCGGCACCCCCAGCAGAGCGCAAGGGGGCCTGGCAATGTCCGGGCCCGAGGACCAGGCGGCGCATCGGCCACGACTGCTCCTGCTCCAGAGGACCGAAGGGCCCCACCCGCTGTCCACAGCACCTCTCCTCCCCTTGGCCCCTCTCAGACACAGGAGAGCATGCCACCCTTGGCTGCAGCCGCTCCTTTGGGCGCCCCCACCTTCTGGGTGCCTGGGACTGCCTCTGGGGTCTGTGTGGGCCAGCCGTTGATGTTCTTCGTGATCCAGCCCAGCCCGATGGCTCTCCAGCCAAGTGAGAAGCCACCACCTCCTCCCCAGGTAGCAGTGCCCTGGGCCGCGTGCTCCCCTGCTGACACGGCCCCTTGGCAGCCTGGGCCAGGGGCCATCCTGCCGCCTCTACAGCCTGAGACACACATCAGGCGGAGGCCAGAGTCACCCGTTGCTGAAGGCACGGCCCCTCTGCTAGAGCCACAGCCCCATCCGCCCAGCCTTCCAAGATCGACAAGCCTCCTAGATGAGCTCTTGGCGGCCACCGGCATCCTGGAAACGCAGGCGCCTTCCGCGGGGGACGCTGCAGATGCACGAGTGCACCCTGCCCTCCCAGGCGAACCCAGCATCCTAGAAGAGTTCGTGGAGGCCACGGGCATCCCGGACATGCAGGCGCCTTGCCCGGGGGCCGCTGCAGATGCACGAGTGCACCCTGCCCTGCCAGACGCACCCAGCTTCCTAGACGAGCTCTTGGAGGCCATGGGCATCACAGACTGGCAGGCGCCTTCCCCGGGGGCTGCTGCGGATGCAGGAGCACACCCTGCCCTCCCAGGCACAGCCAGCATCCTAGAAGAGTTCGTGGAGGCCACAGGCATCCCGGACACGCAGGCGCCTTCCCCGGGGGCTGCTGCAGATTCAGAAGTGCACCCTGCCCTGCCAGACGCACCCAGCTTCCTTGACGAGCTCTTGGAAGCCACGGGCATCGCAGACTGGCAGGCACCTTCCCCGGGGGCCGCTGCAGATGCAGGAGCGCACCCTGCCCTGCCAGTTGCAACCAGCTTCCTAGACGAGCTCTTGGATGCCACGGGCATCGAGGACTCTCAGGCGCCTTCCCCGGAGCCCGGTGCAGATGCAGGAGTGCACCCTGCCCTGCCAGACCCACCCAGCTTCCTAGACGAGCTCTTGGAGGCCACGGGCCTCGGGTCCTCGCAGGCGCCTTCCCCGGGGGCCGCTGCAGATGCAGGAGCACACCCTGCCCTGCCAGGCACACCCAGCTTTCTAGGCCAGCTCTTGGAGGCCACGGATATTGCGGCCTCGCAGGCGCCTTCCCTGGGGCCCTATGCAGATGCAGGAGCACACCTCGCCCTCCCAGGCTCACCCAGCCTCCAAGATGAGCTCCTGGCCGTCACATGCATCCCGGGCTCGCCGGGTCCTTCCCTGGGGTCCTCTCCTGTCATCCCAGGGTACCATCCAGCCCTCCCCGGGTCTCCCAGCCTCCTAGAGGAAATCATGGCTGCCTCGTCCATCCAGGACACGCCCTGGTCTTCACCGCGGGCCGCTGCGGACGAAGAAGGAGTTGAGGCAATCCTGGAGGCACCCCTCAGAGAGGAGGATTACCAGGCACTCCTGGACATGCTGCCAGGCTCCCCAGGCCCTCGGGCTTAGAGGGAGAAGAAGGAAAGGGGCACCATCTCCCCTGAGCCCCTTTCAGGTCTCCTTGCTTCAGAGGCCAAGCCACGGAGGTCGTGGAGTAGGGAAGATTTTAGGTGGGGGAGGGGGGGGGGCGGTGGGGAGCAAACAGACGGGATGACTACCAGCAACTTTGGGGACATACACTAGAGCTGGACCTTTGGGAAGCATGGGCCCCCTCCAAGAGGCACAGACCACCTGAAGCCTCAAGGAATCACAGGATTCCAGTGACCAAGACGGTGGCTAAGAACGGACATGCTGTGGAGCCAATAAAGAAACCCTGTGCTCTGCACAGGTTCTTTTGGTCTGACTCATCTGTGTTCTGGTTGCGTCTTTCCAGCAGTCCACACAGGAGCACTCCTTCCCTAGGCCAGGGGCAGCCGAGCGAGTGGGAGTGGGAGATAGAGCAGTGGGAAGGTAGAAGGCTGGGAAACGCAAGGTGGGAGGGGGTGAGTGGATGGAGGGAGAGGGTGGGGGAGAAGGGAGAGGCTTGGGGAAGGCTCAGTGGGAGAGGGAGGGAGGAAGAGAAGAGAAGGAGACAGAGAGATTTGGGGACGGAGGGAGGGAGAGGGCGTTTGGGGGAGGGGGGCGGGGCCCCCGTCTGGGACTCAGCTTCTAGCCACTGGCCATCCCTGCAGGTATCCCTAAAATACTCCGTCAGGGACATGCTTCCCTCGGTTTCGGGGTGCCTGGTCTGGGCGGGTTTCCCGAGGTCAGATCCTCTGAGCCAGCAGTAGGGACCTACCCACACAACCGCTTTCACGACCAGACTCCATGTCAACACACATGCCTGGTAGAGCTGCAAAGGCCAATCATCTCCGTGTGTCTCTCTGATCCTCACGGTGTAGTGACTCAGCTCGCCCTGCCACCAGCATCCCCGCATCACCCGCAGACATACAGGCATGATTTCCTTGCAAACCCGTTCCTGAATTCATAGACACGGTGGATTCGATTTACATACAACCCCCTGACTGTTCCCATGTGAAGCCCCCGTGGTTGGCTTTAGAGACCTGCGTGGCCAAAGAATCCATTGGGAAAGATGGCTGTGGGTGTGGTGTTGTGGTTCGTTCATTTCTTTTCAATTCATTGGAACCTGTTCAGAGCCATCCCCCGTGTGGCCTCATGCAACCTCCTCCCTCCTGTGTCTGCTCCTGCCTCCTGATTCCCTCCTCCTTCTCCTCTCTGCCCTCCGTTTCTTTAAGAAAGCACACACTATTTCCACGTCCAGTTGTTGGCACAGGTCAGGGCGCCTCTCCGTCCAGAACGTGCATGCTTCCTTCCTTGGCTTAGTGGAACCACCTTCCTAAGAGTAGTGGGTACAGTGTCCCGTTTCCGAGGTCTCCCCAGGGCACTTTGAGTAGGGGGTGGGCTGGGGAGGTGCAAGCATCAGGGTGCACCTGAAAAAGCCCCAAACGGTGTGAGTTGCCATTCGAGACACTGGCCCATCACTTCTCTCGCAGTAGACTTGGGTTTCTGGCAAGTCAAAGACTTGGGTGTATTTGGTGGGGGTGGGCGTGGGGTGGGTGTGGGCAGGGCGGTGGACTGGGACTGCTGTCGGGAAAGGATGCCAGGGGGGCACCGAGGAGGTGGGGAGGAATGTGGAAAAGGGAGGCAAGGATTTAAGGCAGCTAGGAGGAGGCACTGGAGAGAGCGTCCAGTGTCCGGGAATGCTCCGGAGGAGCCGGCGGAGGCCATTGAGTCCAACGTATATGTGGAATGTGAAAAGGCGGGAAAAGCCAGGGCGTTTCGGAAGGCAAGGCAGGCTGGGAAAGGGGGCGTGGGCGGCAACTTCAAAGGGACCTAGGGGAATTCCCGTGCAGTTAGGACTCTGTGCACTGCGGAGGGCCCCCGAGCCTGGGGTTGATTCCAGCTGCTGCGTGGCAGGGCCACACACCAAAACCCCCAACGCCCACCGCCCCCAGGCCAACGTGGACCTTGGGAGTCTGGGTCGCGGGCCGTGCCCGTGAAAGCCCACTGGCTCCACGGGATTCTTTCCAGGGTCTCTGCTTGGAGGCCAGGGGCGTCCCCTCTGACTAAGCACCCACCACGATTGACGTGAATAGGGGCGGAGCTGCCTCACCCTATCCAAAGTCCCGAGCAGCTGGGTCCTGGCCCACTGAGAAGGCAGTCTGCAGCGTCCCTGTGGCTCTCCCACCATGGCTTCGTCCAGCTCCTCCAGCACCTCAGGCGGTACGTTTGCCCTCGCTCCCTGGGGTCGGATCAGGTCTCGGGGTGGGGGTGGGGGGTGGGTCTGTGGATAGCCCGGCCAAGGGTTCACTGCAAACGTGTCGACTGACCGCCAAGAAAGCCAGGGACCGATCGGCTGGGCCCCTGGTTTCCAGGCGTCAGGTGTGCCCAGAGAGGCACCGTTTGGTCGTTTGGCTCCTTTGGCACACACATGGCTTCTCCTTTCTCTTTTCTGTGATGATGGTGTTGGTTGTGTGTTAGGGGGGCCGGTAGGGGAACTGGCATGGGGCCCTATTTCCTCATCTTGCCATGGAAATGGACGTCGGGGAGCTCTGTGGCTTTGCCAACTTCAGTGGCTTTCTGTCCACAATGGCCTAGTGCCTTCTGTCTTCCGTCAGGCGTTGCATGTTGGGCTTCGCCTTGGCTTCCTTCCCTCTTCCTTTCCTGTTCCCCTAGTGACGGCAAATATGGCCTGGGCTCCTCTTAGCCCCGAGAAGCCAGGTTCCCCTCCATTGGCATTGTGATGGAGGGAATTTTGGGAGAGGCCCCATCAAGACATTTCCCAGGCATCTGCTCAGGCAGGTGGAAAAATGTCTCTGCAGACAGGCTGCATGGTGTGCTGGTCTTTGGTGGGTGGGATTTCTTGCCAGCTTTGTTTCAGGGGCGGGTTTGGCTTCCTTTCTGCTTGCTGGTGTTCCTCGGACTCCAGCGTGGGTCGGGGGTTGGGGGATTTCCCCACTGCCCTTGACTCTCGGCCTGTCACTCGGGGTGTAGTCAAGTGACTTCCAAATGCAGAGGCGTCCCCGGGCTCCCGGCTTTGCTGAGGCACAGGGGCAACTGCCCTGGGTGGGGAGCATGCTTGGGCACTTCCGTCGAGTCCTCTCCAAACCCCACGTCCTCTGAGACTTTTCCCTTTCGTCTCTTCCACAGGCCCCATCGCCAGAGGATCTCGAAGGAGGAGGCTCGTTCTGAAGCTGAGCCAGAAGGACACCCTGCAAGCGCTCTTTCAACAGAACCCCTACCCTGGGATAGCGACCAGAGAACGACTGGCCCGAGAGCTTGGCATTGCCGAAAGCAGAGTTCAGGTAGGGCCCCCTCTCTCCACCCGTTCTCCCTCTCAGGCTCCCCGTGCCGATCCGCGTCAGCAGAAAGCACCCGGAGGCCTTTCTCTTGAGAACGTATTCTCTCTGTTTGCCCCTAGGTCTGGTTTCAGAACCAACGAAGAAGACGGTTAAAGCAGAGCCGATCGCCGTCTGCAAATATGCGCCAAGACGGGGAAGGGGCGCCAGGGTCCACGGCCAGGCCACCGTCGACACCTCGTCGACCTCAGTCTTCCACTCAAGGTAAGTTACCCAGCGTTCTGCAAAGGCAAGACCCCCAGAGGGGGGTCCCGAATCCTCCCCCTCTTGACAGAGAATTCTCTCTGCTGGTGGATGACCACCGGAGGCTCAGAAACACCAAGCAGGGAGGAAACAGGGCCATCTGGTTGCGTCCCCCATCAGTGACCCAGATAGGGCCACCATGCCCCCAGGCGGCGTGGACGGGCAGCACTGTTCCCCCTTTGCACCCCCTCCCGAGTCCCCGTCGGGAACTTTAGCCTCCGGCTGCCCAGGCAACCTTGGCCAAGGAGCAGGCTTCAGGGCACTCCGCGGCAAGTCCGGAGGAACAAAGAGACACACAGGGGCATGCATGTGTGCCGAGTGTGCATGTGTGCACGCACACCTGCACCATGGATCCAGGCACGAGATCCATCTGTGGGTGTATTCCGTAGAACCCTGCCCCGGCTTCAGAGCCACCTGAAGTGATTCAGGTGTGTGGGACTCTCCAGCCCCTGCACACCGTCTAGGGTATCTGTGCTGTCAAGGTTCCATGGGCCTTAAAGTCCTCTCCTCTCGGTGTGTTCTTTCCTTGGTAGAAGACTCGGCCAGAGAGGCCAGGAGAAAGAGGACAGCCATCTCTCCTTCTCAAACAAGGATCCTTGTGCAAGCCTTCACGAGGGATCGCTTTCCAGGGATTGCCGCCAGGGAAGAACTGGCTCGTCAGACGGGAATCCCAGAACCTCGAATCCAGGTAAGTTCTCCAGCCAGCGCATGGGCCCAGGCCGTGGCCCAGGAGACGGGCGCGTTCAGCCCTGCCAAGCGTTTGGAGCTGGATACACGTCGGCTTGGGCCGGGGCTTGGGCTGGGGGGAGGGGGCCGAAAGTTGGTGGGCTGAGTGGTGGGTTTTGTGCTGCTTGTTGCCGTGCAGGCGCTCCTCATCTCCCAGGGCCCAGGGATTCGTTTGCAGAAAATGGCCCTGCAGAACTCGCCCTGGGCCTGCCAGATCAGAGGACGGGCCGCCAGGCGGGGTGACAAATGGGTGCCGCGGAGGCGCCAGCACGTTGATCTGGACGGTCACGGCTTCTGATGTGCCTGTCTGCCTTTTGCTCCCCTAGATATGGTTTCAAAACCGAAGAGCTCGGCACCCCCAGCAGAGCGCAAGGGGGCCTGGCAATGTCCGGGCCCGAGGACCAGGCGGCGCATCGGCCACGACTGCTCCTGCTCCAGAGGACCGAAGGGCCCCACCCGCTGTCCACAGCACCTCTCCTCCCCTTGGCCCCTCTCAGACACAGGAGAGCATGCCACCCTTGGCTGCAGCCGCTCCTTTAGGCGCCCCCACCTTCTGGGTGCCTGGGACTGCCTCTGGGGTCTGTGTGGGCCAGCCGTTGATGTTCTTCGTGATCCAGCCCAGCCCGATGGCTCTCCAGCCAAGTGAGAAGCCACCACCTCCTCCCCAGGTAGCAGTGCCCTGGGCCGCGTGCTCCCCTGCTGACACGGCCCCTTGGCAGCCTGGGCCAGGGGCCATCCTGCCGCCTCTACAGCCTGAGACACACATCAGGCGGAGGCCAGAGTCACCCGTTGCTGAAGGCACGGCCCCTCTGCTAGAGCCACAGCCCCATCCGCCCAGCCTTCCAAGATCGACAAGCCTCCTAGATGAGCTCTTGGCGGCCACCGGCATCCTGGAAACGCAGGCGCCTTCCGCGGGGGACGCTGCAGATGCACGAGTGCACCCTGCCCTCCCAGGCGAACCCAGCATCCTAGAAGAGTTCGTGGAGGCCACGGGCATCCCGGACATGCAGGCGCCTTGCCCGGGGGCCGCTGCAGATGCACGAGTGCACCCTGCCCTGCCAGACGCACCCAGCTTCCTAGACGAGCTCTTGGAGGCCATGGGCATCACAGACTGGCAGGCGCCTTCCCCGGGGGCTGCTGCGGATGCAGGAGCACACCCTGCCCTCCCAGGCACAGCCAGCATCCTAGAAGAGTTCGTGGAGGCCACAGGCATCCCGGACACGCAGGCGCCTTCCCCGGGGGCTGCTGCAGATTCAGAAGTGCACCCTGCCCTGCCAGACGCACCCAGCTTCCTTGACGAGCTCTTGGAAGCCACGGGCATCGCAGACTGGCAGGCACCTTCCCCGGGGGCCGCTGCAGATGCAGGAGCGCACCCTGCCCTGCCAGTTGCAACCAGCTTCCTAGACGAGCTCTTGGATGCCACGGGCATCGAGGACTCTCAGGCGCCTTCCCCGGAGCCCGGTGCAGATGCAGGAGTGCACCCTGCCCTGCCAGACCCACCCAGCTTCCTAGACGAGCTCTTGGAGGCCACGGGCCTCGGGTCCTCGCAGGCGCCTTCCCCGGGGGCCGCTGCAGATGCAGGAGCACACCCTGCCCTGCCAGGCACACCCAGCTTTCTAGGCCAGCTCTTGGAGGCCACGGATATTGCGGCCTCGCAGGCGCCTTCCCTGGGGCCCTATGCAGATGCAGGAGCACACCTCGCCCTCCCAGGCTCACCCAGCCTCCAAGATGAGCTCCTGGCCGTCACATGCATCCCGGGCTCGCCGGGTCCTTCCCTGGGGTCCTCTCCTGTCATCCCAGGGTACCATCCAGCCCTCCCCGGGTCTCCCAGCCTCCTAGAGGAAATCATGGCTGCCTCGTCCATCCAGGACACGCCCTGGTCTTCACCGCGGGCCGCTGCGGACGAAGAAGGAGTTGAGGCAATCCTGGAGGCACCCCTCAGAGAGGAGGATTACCAGGCACTCCTGGACATGCTGCCAGGCTCCCCAGGCCCTCGGGCTTAGAGGGAGAAGAAGGAAAGGGGCACCATCTCCCCTGAGCCCCTTTCAGGTCTCCTTGCTTCAGAGGCCAAGCCACGGAGGTCGTGGAGTAGGGAAGATTTTAGGTGGGGGAGGGGGGGGGCGGTGGGGAGCAAACAGACGGGATGACTACCAGCAACTTTGGGGACATACACTAGAGCTGGACCTTTGGGAAGCATGGGCCCCCTCCAAGAGGCACAGACCACCTGAAGCCTCAAGGAATCACAGGATTCCAGTGACCAAGACGGTGGCTAAGAACGGACATGCTGTGGAGCCAATAAAGAAACCCTGTGCTCTGCACAGGTTCTTTTGGTCTGACTCATCTGTGTTCTGGTTGCGTCTTTCCAGCAGTCCACACAGGAGCACTCCTTCCCTAGGCCAGGGGCAGCCGAGCGAGTGGGAGTGGGAGATAGAGCAGTGGGAAGGTAGAAGGCTGGGAAACGCAAGGTGGGAGGGGGTGAGTGGATGGAGGGAGAGGGTGGGGGAGAAGGGAGAGGCTTGGGGAAGGCTCAGTGGGAGAGGGAGGGAGGAAGAGAAGAGAAGGAGACAGAGAGATTTGGGGACGGAGGGAGGGAGAGGGCGTTTGGGGGAGGGGGGCGGGGCCCCCGTCTGGGACTCAGCTTCTAGCCACTGGCCATCCCTGCAGGTATCCCTAAAATACTCCGTCAGGGACATGCTTCCCTCGGTTTCGGGGTGCCTGGTCTGGGCGGGTTTCCCGAGGTCAGATCCTCTGAGCCAGCAGTAGGGACCTACCCACACAACCGCTTTCACGACCAGACTCCATGTCAACACACATGCCTGGTAGAGCTGCAAAGGCCAATCATCTCCGTGTGTCTCTCTGATCCTCACGGTGTAGTGACTCAGCTCGCCCTGCCACCAGCATCCCCGCATCACCCGCAGACATACAGGCATGATTTCCTTGCAAACCCGTTCCTGAATTCATAGACACGGTGGATTCGATTTACATACAACCCCCTGACTGTTCCCATGTGAAGCCCCCGTGGTTGGCTTTAGAGACCTGCGTGGCCAAAGAATCCATTGGGAAAGATGGCTGTGGGTGTGGTGTTGTGGTTCGTTCATTTCTTTTCAATTCATTGGAACCTGTTCAGAGCCATCCCCCGTGTGGCCTCATGCAACCTCCTCCCTCCTGTGTCTGCTCCTGCCTCCTGATTCCCTCCTCCTTCTCCTCTCTGCCCTCCGTTTCTTTAAGAAAGCACACACTATTTCCACGTCCAGTTGTTGGCACAGGTCAGGGCGCCTCTCCGTCCAGAACGTGCATGCTTCCTTCCTTGGCTTAGTGGAACCACCTTCCTAAGAGTAGTGGGTACAGTGTCCCGTTTCCGAGGTCTCCCCAGGGCACTTTGAGTAGGGGGTGGGCTGGGGAGGTGCAAGCATCAGGGTGCACCTGAAAAAGCCCCAAACGGTGTGAGTTGCCATTCGAGACACTGGCCCATCACTTCTCTCGCAGTAGACTTGGGTTTCTGGCAAGTCAAAGACTTGGGTGTATTTGGTGGGGGTGGGCGTGGGGTGGGTGTGGGCAGGGCGGTGGACTGGGACTGCTGTCGGGAAAGGATGCCAGGGGGGCACCGAGGAGGTGGGGAGGAATGTGGAAAAGGGAGGCAAGGATTTAAGGCAGCTAGGAGGAGGCACTGGAGAGAGCGTCCAGTGTCCGGGAATGCTCCGGAGGAGCCGGCGGAGGCCATTGAGTCCAACGTATATGTGGAATGTGAAAAGGCGGGAAAAGCCAGGGCGTTTCGGAAGGCAAGGCAGGCTGGGAAAGGGGGCGTGGGCGGCAACTTCAAAGGGACCTAGGGGAATTCCCGTGCAGTTAGGACTCTGTGCACTGCGGAGGGCCCCCGAGCCTGGGGTTGATTCCAGCTGCTGCGTGGCAGGGCCACACACCAAAACCCCCAACGCCCACCGCCCCCAGGCCAACGTGGACCTTGGGAGTCTGGGTCACGGGCCGTGCCCGTGAAATCCCACTGGCTCCACGGGATTCTTTCCAGGGTCTCTGCTTGGCGGCCAGGGGCGTCCCCTCTGACTAAGCACCCACCACGATTGACGTCAATAGGGGCGGAGCTGCCTCACCCTATCCAAAGTCCCGAGCAGCTGGGTCCTGGCCCACTGAGAAGGCAGTCTGCAGCGTCCCTGTGGCTCTCCCACCATGGCTTCGTCCAGCTCCTCCAGCACCTCAGGCGGTACGTTTGCCCTCGCTCCCTGGGGTCGGATCAGGTCTCGGGGTGGGGGTGGGGGGTGGGTCTGTGGATAGCCCGGCCAAGGGTTCACTGCAAACGTGTCGACTGACCGCCAAGAAAGCCAGGGACCGATCGGCTGGGCCCCTGGTTTCCAGGCGTCAGGTGTGCCCAGAGAGGCACCGTTTGGTCGTTTGGCTCCTTTGGCACACACATGGCTTCTCCTTTCTCTTTTCTGTGATGATGGTGTTGGTTGTGTGTTAGGGGGGCCGGTAGGGGAACTGGCATGGGGCCCTATTTCCTCATCTTGCCATGGAAATGGACGTCGGGGAGCTCTGTGGCTTTGCCAACTTCAGTGGCTTTCTGTCCACAATGGCCTAGTGCCTTCTGTCTTCCGTCAGGCGTTGCATGTTGGGCTTCGCCTTGGCTTCCTTCCCTCTTCCTTTCCTGTTCCCCTAGTGACGGCAAATATGGCCTGGGCTCCTCTTAGCCCCGAGAAGCCAGGTTCCCCTCCATTGGCATTGTGATGGAGGGAATTTTGGGAGAGGCCCCATCAAGACATTTCCCAGGCATCTGCTCAGGCAGGTGGAAAAATGTCTCTGCAGACAGGCTGCATGGTGTGCTGGTCTTTGGTGGGTGGGATTTCTTGCCAGCTTTGTTTCAGGGGCGGGTTTGGCTTCCTTTCTGCTTGCTGGTGTTCCTCGGACTCCAGCGTGGGTCGGAGGTTGGGGGATTTCCCCACTGCCCTTGACTCTCGGCCTGTCACTCGGGGTGTAGTCAAGTGACTTCCAAATGCAGAGGCGTCCCCGGGCTCCCGGCTTTGCTGAGGCACAGGGGCAACTGCCCTGGGTGGGGAGCATGCTTGGGCACTTCCGTCGAGTCCTCTCCAAACCCCACGTCCTCTGAGACTTTTCCCTTTCGTCTCTTCCACAGGCCCCATCGCCAGAGGATCTCGAAGGAGGAGGCTCGTTCTGAAGCTGAGCCAGAAGGACACCCTGCAAGCGCTCTTTCAACAGAACCCCTACCCTGGGATAGCGACCAGAGAACGACTGGCCCGAGAGCTTGGCATTGCCGAAAGCAGAGTTCAGGTAGGGCCCCCTCTCTCCACCCGTTCTCCCTCTCAGGCTCCCCGTGCCGATCCGCGTCAGCAGAAAGCACCCGGAGGCCTTTCTCTTGAGAACGTATTCTCTCTGTTTGCCCCTAGGTCTGGTTTCAGAACCAACGAAGAAGACGGTTAAAGCAGAGCCGATCGCCGTCTGCAAATATGCGCCAAGACGGGGAAGGGGCGCCAGGGTCCACGGCCAGGCCACCGTCGACACCTCGTCGACCTCAGTCTTCCACTCAAGGTAAGTTACCCAGCGTTCTGCAAAGGCAAGACCCCCAGAGGGGGGTCCCGAATCCTCCCCCTCTTGACAGAGAATTCTCTCTGCTGGTGGATGACCACCGGAGGCTCAGAAACACCAAGCAGGGAGGAAACAGGGCCATCTGGTTGCGTCCCCCATCAGTGACCCAGATAGGGCCACCATGCCCCCAGGCGGCGTGGACGGGCAGCACTGTTCCCCCTTTGCACCCCCTCCCGAGTCCCCGTCGGGAACTTTAGCCTCCGGCTGCCCAGGCAACCTTGGCCAAGGAGCAGGCTTCAGGGCACTCCGCGGCAAGTCCGGAGGAACAAAGAGACACACAGGGGCATGCATGTGTGCCGAGTGTGCATGTGTGCACGCACACCTGCACCATGGATCCAGGCACGAGATCCATCTGTGGGTGTATTCCGTAGAACCCTGCCCCGGCTTCAGAGCCACCTGAAGTGATTCAGGTGTGTGGGACTCTCCAGCCCCTGCACACCGTCTAGGGTATCTGTGCTGTCAAGGTTCCATGGGCCTTAAAGTCCTCTCCTCTCGGTGTGTTCTTTCCTTGGTAGAAGACTCGGCCAGAGAGGCCAGGAGAAAGAGGACAGCCATCTCTCCTTCTCAAACAAGGATCCTTGTGCAAGCCTTCACGAGGGATCGCTTTCCAGGGATTGCCGCCAGGGAAGAACTGGCTCGTCAGACGGGAATCCCAGAACCTCGAATCCAGGTAAGTTCTCCAGCCAGCGCATGGGCCCAGGCCGTGGCCCAGGAGACGGGCGCGTTCAGCCCTGCCAAGCGTTTGGAGCTGGATACACGTCGGCTTGGGCCGGGGCTTGGGCTGGGGGGAGGGGGCCGAAAGTTGGTGGGCTGAGTGGTGGGTTTTGTGCCACTTGTTGCCGTGCAGGCGCTCCTCATCTCCCAGGGCCCAGGGATTCGTTTGCAGAAAATGGCCCTGCAGAACTCGCCCTGGGCCTGCCAGATCAGAGGACGGGCCGCCAGGCGGGGTGACAAATGGGTGCCGCGGAGGCGCCAGCACGTTGATCTGGACGGTCACGGCTTCTGATGTGCCTGTCTGCCTTTTGCTCCCCTAGATATGGTTTCAAAACCGAAGAGCTCGGCACCCCCAGCAGAGCGCAAGGGGGCCTGGCAATGTCCGGGCCCGAGGACCAGGCGGCGCATCGGCCACGACCGCTCCTGCTCCAGAGGACCGAAGGGCCCCACCCGCTGTCCACAGCACCTCTCCTCCCCTTGGCCCCTCTCAGACACAGGAGAGCATGCCACCCTTGGCTGCAGCCGCTCCTTTGGGCGCCCCCACCTTCTGGGTGCCCGGGACTGCCTCTGGGGTCTGTGTGGGCCAGCCGTTGATGTTCTTCGTGATCCAGCCCAGCCCGATGGCTCTCCAGCCAAGTGAGAAGCCACCACCTCCTCCCCAGGTAGCAGTGCCCTGGGCCGCGTGCTCCCCTGCTGACACGGCCCCTTGGCAGCCTGGGCCAGGGGCCATCCTGCCGCCTCTACAGCCTGAGACACACATCAGGCGGAGGCCAGAGTCACCCGTTGGTGAAGGCACAGCCCCTCTGCTAGAGCCACAGCCCCATCCGCCCAGCCTTCCAAGATCGACAAGCCTCCTAGATGAGCTCTTGGCGGCCACCGGCATCCTGGAAACGCAGGCGCCTTCCGCGGGGGACGCTGCAGATGCACGAGTGCACCCTGCCCTCCCAGGCGAACCCAGCATCCTAGAAGAGTTCGTGGAGGCCACGGGCATCCCGGACATGCAGGCGCCTTGCCCGGGGGCCGCTGCAGATGCACGAGTGCACCCTGCCCTGCCAGACGCACCCAGCTTCCTAGACGAGCTCTTGGAGGCCATGGGCATCACAGACTGGCAGGCGCCTTCCCCGGGGGCTGCTGCGGATGCAGGAGCACACCCTGCCCTCCCAGGCACAGCCAGCATCCTAGAAGAGTTCGTGGAGGCCACAGGCATCCCGGACACGCAGGCGCCTTCCCCGGGGGCTGCTGCAGATTCAGAAGTGCACCCTGCCCTGCCAGACGCACCCAGCTTCCTTGACGAGCTCTTGGAAGCCACGGGCATCGCAGACTGGCAGGCACCTTCCCCGGGGGCCGCTGCAGATGCAGGAGCGCACCCTGCCCTGCCAGTTGCAACCAGCTTCCTAGACGAGCTCTTGGATGCCACGGGCATCGAGGACTCTCAGGCGCCTTCCCCGGAGCCCGGTGCAGATGCAGGAGTGCACCCTGCCCTGCCAGACCCACCCAGCTTCCTAGACGAGCTCTTGGAGGCCACGGGCCTCGGGTCCTCGCAGGCGCCTTCCCCGGGGGCCGCTGCAGATGCAGGAGCACACCCTGCCCTGCCAGGCACACCCAGCTTTCTAGGCCAGCTCTTGGAGGCCACGGATATTGCGGCCTCGCAGGCACCTTCCCTGGGGCCCTATGCAGATGCAGGAGCACACCTCGCCCTCCCAGGCTCACCCAGCCTCCAAGATGAGCTCCTGGCCGTCACATGCATCCCGGGCTCGCCGGGTCCTTCCCTGGGGTCCTCTCCTGTCATCCCAGGGTACCATCCAGCCCTCCCCGGGTCTCCCAGCCTCCTAGAGGAAATCATGGCTGCCTCGTCCATCCAGGACACGCCCTGGTCTTCACCGCGGGCCGCTGTGGACGAAGAAGGAGTTGAGGCAATCCTGGAGGCACCCCTCAGAGAGGAGGATTACCAGGCACTCCTGGACATGCTGCCAGGCTCCCCAGGCCCTCGGGCTTAGAGGGAGAAGAAGGAAAGGGGCACCATCTCCCCTGAGCCCCTTTCAGGTCTCCTTGCTTCAGAGGCCAAGCCACGGAGGTCGTGGAGTAGGGAAGATTTTAGGTGGGGGAGGGGGGGGCGGTGGGGAGCAAACAGACGGGATGACTACCAGCAACTTTGGGGACATACACTAGAGCTGGACCTTTGGGAAGCATGGGCCCCCTCCAAGAGGCACAGACCACCTGAAGCCTCAAGGAATCGCAGGATTCCAGTGACCAAGACGGTGGCTAAGAACGGACATGCTGTGGAGCCAATAAAGAAACCCTGTGCTCTGCACAGGTTCTTTTGGTCTGACTCATCTGTGTTCTGGTTGCGTCTTTCCAGCAGTCCACACAGGAGCACTCCTTCCCTAGGCCAGGGGCAGCCGAGCGAGTGGGAGTGGGAGATAGAGCAGTGGGAAGGTAGAAGGCTGGGAAACGCAAGGTGGGAGGGGGCGAGTGGATGGAGGGAGAGGGTGGGGGAGAAGGGAGAGGCTTGGGGAAGGCTCAGTGGGAGAGGGAGGGAGGAAGAGAAGAGAAGGAGACAGAGAGATTTGGGGACGGAGGGAGGGAGAGGGCGTTTGGGGGAGGGGGGCGGGGCCCCCGTCTGGGACTCAGCTTCTAGCCACTGGCCATCCCTGCAGGTATCCCTAAAATACTCCGTCAGGGACATGCTTCCCTCGGTTTCGGGGTGCCTGGTCTGGGCGGGTTTCCCGAGGTCAGATCCTCTGAGCCAGCAGTAGGGACCTACCCACACAACCGCTTTCACGACCAGACTCCATGTCAACACACATGCCTGGTAGAGCTGCAAAGGCCAATCATCTCCGTGTGTCTCTCTGATCCTCACGGTGTAGTGACTCAGCTCGCCCTGCCACCAGCATCCCCGCATCACCCGCAGACATACAGGCATGATTTCCTTGCAAACCCGTTCCTGAATTCATAGACACGGTGGATTCGATGTACATACAACCCCCTGACTGTTCCCATGTGAAGCCCCCGTGGTTGGCTTTAGAGACCTGCGTGGCCAAAGAATCCATTGGGAAAGATGGCTGTGGGTGTGGTGTTGTGGTTCGTTCATTTCTTTTCAATTCATTGGAACCTGTTCAGAGCCATCCCCCGTGTGGCCTCATGCAACCTCCTCCCTCCTGTGTCTGCTCCTGCCTCCTGATTCCCTCCTCCTTCTCCTCTCTGCCCTCCGTTTCTTTAAGAAAGCACACACTATTTCCACGTCCAGTTGTTGGCACAGGTCAGGGCGCCTCTCCGTCCAGAACGTGCATGCTTCCTTCCTTGGCTTAGTGGAACCACCTTCCTAAGAGTAGTGGGTACAGTGTCCCGTTTCCGAGGTCTCCCCAGGGCACTTTGAGTAGGGGGTGGGCTGGGGAGGTGCAAGCATCAGGGTGCACCTGAAAAAGCCCCAAACGGTGTGAGTTGCCATTCGAGACACTGGCCCATCACTTCTCTCGCAGTAGACTTGGGTTTCTGGCAAGTCAAAGACTTGGGTGTATTTGGTGGGGGTGGGCGTGGGGTGGGTGTGGGCAGGGCGGTGGACTGGGACTGCTGTCGGGAAAGGATGCCAGGGGGGCACCGAGGAGGTGGGGAGGAATGTGGAAAAGGGAGGCAAGGATTTAAGGCAGCTAGGAGGAGGCACTGGAGAGAGCGTCCAGTGTCCGGGAATGCTCCGGAGGAGCCGGCGGAGGCCATTGAGTCCAACGTATATGTGGAATGTGAAAAGGCGGGAAAAGCCAGGGCGTTTCGGAAGGCAAGGCAGGCTGGGAAAGGGGGCGTGGGCGGCAACTTCAAAGGGACCTAGGGGAATTCCCGTGCAGTTAGGACTCTGTGCACTGCGGAGGGCCCCCGAGCCTGGGGTTGATTCCAGCTGCTGCGTGGCAGGGCCACACACCAAAACCCCCAACGCCCACCGCCCCCAGGCCAACGTGGACCTTGGGAGTCTGGGTCGCGGGCCGTGCCCGTGAAAGCCCACTGGCTCCACGGGATTCTTTCCAGGGTCTCTGCTTGGAGGCCAGGGGCGTCCCCTCTGACTAAGCACCCACCACGATTGACGTGAATAGGGGCGGAGCTGCCTCACCCTATCCAAAGTCCCGAGCAGCTGGGTCCTGGCCCACTGAGAAGGCAGTCTGCAGCGTCCCTGTGGCTCTCCCACCATGGCTTCGTCCAGCTCCTCCAGCACCTCAGGCGGTACGTTTGCCCTCGCTCCCTGGGGTCGGATCAGGTCTCGGGGTGGGGGTGGGGGGTGGGTCTGTGGATAGCCCGGCCAAGGGTTCACTGCAAACGTGTCGACTGACCGCCAAGAAAGCCAGGGACCGATCGGCTGGGCCCCTGGTTTCCAGGCGTCAGGTGTGCCCAGAGAGGCACCGTTTGGTCGTTTGGCTCCTTTGGCACACACATGGCTTCTCCTTTCTCTTTTCTGTGATGATGGTGTTGGTTGTGTGTTAGGGGGGCCGGTAGGGGAACTGGCATGGGGCCCTATTTCCTCATCTTGCCATGGAAATGGACGTCGGGGAGCTCTGTGGCTTTGCCAACTTCAGTGGCTTTCTGTCCACAATGGCCTAGTGCCTTCTGTCTTCCGTCAGGCGTTGCATGTTGGGCTTCGCCTTGGCTTCCTTCCCTCTTCCTTTCCTGTTCCCCTAGTGACGGCAAATATGGCCTGGGCTCCTCTTAGCCCCGAGAAGCCAGGTTCCCCTCCATTGGCATTGTGATGGAGGGAATTTTGGGAGAGGCCCCATCAAGACATTTCCCAGGCATCTGCTCAGGCAGGTGGAAAAATGTCTCTGCAGACAGGCTGCATGGTGTGCTGGTCTTTGGTGGGTGGGATTTCTTGCCAGCTTTGTTTCAGGGGCGGGTTTGGCTTCCTTTCTGCTTGCTGGTGTTCCTCGGACTCCAGCGTGGGTCGGGGGTTGGGGGATTTCCCCACTGCCCTTGACTCTCGGCCTGTCACTCGGGGTGTAGTCAAGTGACTTCCAAATGCAGAGGCGTCCCCGGGCTCCCGGCTTTGCTGAGGCACAGGGGCAACTGCCCTGGGTGGGGAGCATGCTTGGGCACTTCCGTCGAGTCCTCTCCAAACCCCACGTCCTCTGAGACTTTTCCCTTTCGTCTCTTCCACAGGCCCCATCGCCAGAGGATCTCGAAGGAGGAGGCTCGTTCTGAAGCTGAGCCAGAAGGACACCCTGCAAGCGCTCTTTCAACAGAACCCCTACCCTGGGATAGCGACCAGAGAACGACTGGCCCGAGAGCTTGGCATTGCCGAAAGCAGAGTTCAGGTAGGGCCCCCTCTCTCCACCCGTTCTCCCTCTCAGGCTCCCCGTGCCGATCCGCGTCAGCAGAAAGCACCCGGAGGCCTTTCTCTTGAGAACGTATTCTCTCTGTTTGCCCCTAGGTCTGGTTTCAGAACCAACGAAGAAGACGGTTAAAGCAGAGCCGATCGCCGTCTGCAAATATGCGCCAAGACGGGGAAGGGGCGCCAGGGTCCACGGCCAGGCCACCGTCGACACCTCGTCGACCTCAGTCTTCCACTCAAGGTAAGTTACCCAGCGTTCTGCAAAGGCAAGACCCCCAGAGGGGGGTCCCGAATCCTCCCCCTCTTGACAGAGAATTCTCTCTGCTGGTGGATGACCACCGGAGGCTCAGAAACACCAAGCAGGGAGGAAACAGGGCCATCTGGTTGCGTCCCCCATCAGCGACCCAGATAGGGCCACCATGCCCCCAGGCGGCGTGGACGGGCAGCACTGTTCCCCCTTTGCACCCCCTCCCGAGTCCCCGTCGGGAACTTTAGCCTCCGGCTGCCCAGGCAACCTTGGCCAAGGAGCAGGCTTCAGGGCGCTCCGCGGCAAGTCCGGAGGAACAAAGAGACACACAGGGGCATGCATGTGTGCCGAGTGTGCATGTGTGCACACACACCTGCACCATGGATCCAGGCACGAGATCCATCTGTGGGTGTATTCCGTAGAACCCTGCCCCGGCTTCAGAGCCACCTGAAGTGATTCAGGTGTGTGGGACTGTCCAGCCCCTGCACACCGTCTAGGGTATCTGTGCTGTCAAGGTTCCATGGGCCTTAAAGTCCTCTCCTCTCGGTGTGTTCTTTCCTTGGTAGAAGACTCGGCCAGAGAGGCCAGGAGAAAGAGGACAGCCATCTCTCCTTCTCAAACAAGGATCCTTGTGCAAGCCTTCACGAGGGATCGCTTTCCAGGGATTGCCGCCAGGGAAGAACTGGCTCGTCAGACGGGAATCCCAGAACCTCGAATCCAGGTAAGTTCTCCAGCCAGCGCATGGGCCCAGGCCGTGGCCCAGGAGACGGGTGCGTTCAGCCCTGCCAAGCGTTTGGAGCTGGATACACGTCGGCTTGGGCCGGGGCTTGGGCTGGGGGGAGGGGGCCGAAAGTTGGTGGGCTGAGTGGTGGGTTTTGTGCCGCTTGTTGCCGTGCAGGCGCTCCTCATCTCCCAGGGCCCAGGGATTCGTTTGCAGAAAATGGCCCTGCAGAACTCGCCCTGGGCCTGCCAGATCAGAGGACGGGCCGCCAGGCGGGGTGACAAATGGGTGCCGCGGAGGCGCCAGCACGTTGATCTGGACGGTCACGGCTTCTGATGTGCCTGTCTGCCTTTTGCTCCCCTAGATATGGTTTCAAAACCGAAGAGCTCGGCACCCCCAGCAGAGCGCAAGGGGGCCTGGCAATGTCCGGGCCCGAGGACCAGGCGGCGCATCGGCCACGACTGCTCCTGCTCCAGAGGACCGAAGGGCCCCACCCGCTGTCCACAGCACCTCTCCTCCCCTTGGCCCCTCTCAGACACAGGAGAGCATGCCACCCTTGGCTGCAGCCGCTCCTTTGGGCGCCCCCACCTTCTGGGTGCCCGGGACTGCCTCTGGGGTCTGTGTGGGCCAGCCGTTGATGTTCTTCGTGATCCAGCCCAGCCCGATGGCTCTCCAGCCAAGTGAGAAGCCACCACCTCCTCCCCAGGTAGCAGTGCCCTGGGCCGCGTGCTCCCCTGCTGACACGGCCCCTTGGCAGCCTGGGCCAGGGGCCATCCTGCCGCCTCTACAGCCTGAGACACACATCAGGCGGAGGCCAGAGTCACCCGTTGCTGAAGGCACGGCCCCTCTGCTAGAGCCACAGCCCCATCCGCCCAGCCTTCCAAGATCGACAAGCCTCCTAGATGAGCTCTTGGCGGCCACCGGCATCCTGGAAACGCAGGCGCCTTCCGCGGGGGACGCTGCAGATGCACGAGTGCACCCTGCCCTCCCAGGCGAACCCAGCATCCTAGAAGAGTTCGTGGAGGCCACGGGCATCCCGGACATGCAGGCGCCTTGCCCGGGGGCCGCTGCAGATGCACGAGTGCACCCTGCCCTGCCAGACGCACCCAGCTTCCTAGACGAGCTCTTGGAGGCCATGGGCATCACAGACTGGCAGGCGCCTTCCCCGGGGGCTGCTGCGGATGCAGGAGCACACCCTGCCCTCCCAGGCACAGCCAGCATCCTAGAAGAGTTCGTGGAGGCCACAGGCATCCCGGACACGCAGGCGCCTTCCCCGGGGGCTGCTGCAGATTCAGAAGTGCACCCTGCCCTGCCAGACGCACCCAGCTTCCTTGACGAGCTCTTGGAAGCCACGGGCATCGCAGACTGGCAGGCACCTTCCCCGGGGGCCGCTGCAGATGCAGGAGCGCACCCTGCCCTGCCAGTTGCAACCAGCTTCCTAGACGAGCTCTTGGATGCCACGGGCATCGAGGACTCTCAGGCGCCTTCCCCGGAGCCCGGTGCAGATGCAGGAGTGCACCCTGCCCTGCCAGACCCACCCAGCTTCCTAGACGAGCTCTTGGAGGCCACGGGCCTCGGGTCCTCGCAGGCGCCTTCCCCGGGGGCCGCTGCAGATGCAGGAGCACACCCTGCCCTGCCAGGCACACCCAGCTTTCTAGGCCAGCTCTTGGAGGCCACGGATATTGTGGCCTCGCAGGCGCCTTCCCTGGGGCCCTATGCAGATGCAGGAGCACACCTCGCCCTCCCAGGCTCACCCAGCCTCCAAGATGAGCTCCTGGCCGTCACATGCATCCCGGGCTCGCCGGGTCCTTCCCTGGGGTCCTCTCCTGTCATCCCAGGGTACCATCCAGCCCTCCCCGGGTCTCCCAGCCTCCTAGAGGAAATCATGGCTGCCTCGTCCATCCAGGACACGCCCTGGTCTTCACCGCGGGCCGCTGCGGACGAAGAAGGAGTTGAGGCAATCCTGGAGGCACCCCTCAGAGAGGAGGATTACCAGGCACTCCTGGACATGCTGCCAGGCTCCCCAGGCCCTCGGGCTTAGAGGGAGAAGAAGGAAAGGGGCACCATCTCCCCTGAGCCCCTTTCAGGTCTCCTTGCTTCAGAGGCCAAGCCACGGAGGTCGTGGAGTAGGGAAGATTTTAGGTGGGGGAGGGGGGGGCGGTGGGGAGCAAACAGACGGGATGACTACCAGCAACTTTGGGGACATACACTAGAGCTGGACCTTTGGGAAGCATGGGCCCCCTCCAAGAGGCACAGACCACCTGAAGCCTCAAGGAATCACAGGATTCCAGTGACCAAGACGGTGGCTAAGAACGGACATGCTGTGGAGCCAATAAAGAAACCCTGTGCTCTGCACAGGTTCTTTTGGTCTGACTCATCTGTGTTCTGGTTGCGTCTTTCCAGCAGTCCACACAGGAGCACTCCTTCCCTAGGCCAGGGGCAGCCGAGCGAGTGGGAGTGGGAGATAGAGCAGTGGGAAGGTAGAAGGCTGGGAAACGCAAGGTGGGAGGGGGTGAGTGGATGGAGGGAGAGGGTGGGGGAGAAGGGAGAGGCTTGGGGAAGGCTCAGTGGGAGAGGGAGGGAGGAAGAGAAGAGAAGGAGACAGAGAGATTTGGGGACGGAGGGAGGGAGAGGGCGTTTGGGGGAGGGGGGCGGGGCCCCCGTCTGGGACTCAGCTTCTAGCCACTGGCCATCCCTGCAGGTATCCCTAAAATACTCCGTCAGGGACATGCTTCCCTCGGTTTCGGGGTGCCTGGTCTGGGCGGGTTTCCCGAGGTCAGATCCTCTGAGCCAGCAGTAGGGACCTACCCACACAACCGCTTTCACGACCAGACTCCATGTCAACACACATGCCTGGTAGAGCTGCAAAGGCCAATCATCTCCGTGTGTCTCTCTGATCCTCACGGTGTAGTGACTCAGCTCGCCCTGCCACCAGCATCCCCGCATCACCCGCAGACATACAGGCATGATTTCCTTGCAAACCCGTTCCTGAATTCATAGACACGGTGGATTCGATTTACATACAACCCCCTGACTGTTCCCATGTGAAGCCCCCGTGGTTGGCTTTAGAGACCTGCGTGGCCAAAGAATCCATTGGGAAAGATGGCTGTGGGTGTGGTGTTGTGGTTCGTTCATTTCTTTTCAATTCATTGGAACCTGTTCAGAGCCATCCCCCGTGTGGCCTCATGCAACCTCCTCCCTCCTGTGTCTGCTCCTGCCTCCTGATTCCCTCCTCCTTCTCCTCTCTGCCCTCCGTTTCTTTAAGAAAGCACACACTATTTCCACGTCCAGTTGTTGGCACAGGTCAGGGCGCCTCTCCGTCCAGAACGTGCATGCTTCCTTCCTTGGCTTAGTGGAACCACCTTCCTAAGAGTAGTGGGTACAGTGTCCCGTTTCCGAGGTCTCCCCAGGGCACTTTGAGTAGGGGGTGGGCTGGGGAGGTGCAAGCATCAGGGTGCACCTGAAAAAGCCCCAAACGGTGTGAGTTGCCATTCGAGACACTGGCCCATCACTTCTCTCGCAGTAGACTTGGGTTTCTGGCAAGTCAAAGACTTGGGTGTATTTGGTGGGGGTGGGCGTGGGGTGGGTGTGGGCAGGGCGGTGGACTGGGACTGCTGTCGGGAAAGGATGCCAGGGGGGCACCGAGGAGGTGGGGAGGAATGTGGAAAAGGGAGGCAAGGATTTAAGGCAGCTAGGAGGAGGCACTGGAGAGAGCGTCCAGTGTCCGGGAATGCTCCGGAGGAGCCGGCGGAGGCCATTGAGTCCAACGTATATGTGGAATGTGAAAAGGCGGGAAAAGCCAGGGCGTTTCGGAAGGCAAGGCAGGCTGGGAAAGGGGGCGTGGGCGGCAACTTCAAAGGGACCTAGGGGAATTCCCGTGCAGTTAGGACTCTGTGCACTGCGGAGGGCCCCCGAGCCTGGGGTTGATTCCAGCTGCTGCGTGGCAGGGCCACACACCAAAACCCCCAACGCCCACCGCCCCCAGGCCAACGTGGACCTTGGGAGTCTGGGTCACGGGCCGTGCCCGTGAAAGCCCACTGGCTCCACGGGATTCTTTCCAGGGTCTCTGCTTGGCGGCCAGGGGCGTCCCCTCTGACTAAGCACCCACCACGATTGACGTGAATAGGGGCGGAGCTGCCTCACCCTATCCAAAGTCCCGAGCAGCTGGGTCCTGGCCCACTGAGAAGGCAGTCTGCAGCGTCCCTGTGGCTCTCCCACCATGGCTTCGTCCAGCTCCTCCAGCACCTCAGGCGGTACGTTTGCCCTCGCTCCCTGGGGTCGGATCAGGTCTCGGGGTGGGGGTGGGGGGTGGGTCTGTGGATAGCCCGGCCAAGGGTTCACTGCAAACGTGTCGACTGACCGCCAAGAAAGCCAGGGACCGATCGGCTGGGCCCCTGGTTTCCAGGCGTCAGGTGTGCCCAGAGAGGCACCGTTTGGTCGTTTGGCTCCTTTGGCACACACATGGCTTCTCCTTTCTCTTTTCTGTGATGATGGTGTTGGTTGTGTGTTAGGGGGGCCGGTAGGGGAACTGGCATGGGGCCCTATTTCCTCATCTTGCCATGGAAATGGACGTCGGGGAGCTCTGTGGCTTTGCCAACTTCAGTGGCTTTCTGTCCACAATGGCCTAGTGCCTTCTGTCTTCCGTCAGGCGTTGCATGTTGGGCTTCGCCTTGGCTTCCTTCCCTCTTCCTTTCCTGTTCCCCTAGTGACGGCAAATATGGCCTGGGCTCCTCTTAGCCCCGAGAAGCCAGGTTCCCCTCCATTGGCATTGTGATGGAGGGAATTTTGGGAGAGGCCCCATCAAGACATTTCCCAGGCATCTGCTCAGGCAGGTGGAAAAATGTCTCTGCAGACAGGCTGCATGGTGTGCTGGTCTTTGGTGGGTGGGATTTCTTGCCAGCTTTGTTTCAGGGGCGGGTTTGGCTTCCTTTCTGCTTGCTGGTGTTCCTCGGACTCCAGCGTGGGTCGGGGGTTGGGGGATTTCCCCACTGCCCTTGACTCTCGGCCTGTCACTCGGGGTGTAGTCAAGTGACTTCCAAATGCAGAGGCGTCCCCGGGCTCCCGGCTTTGCTGAGGCACAGGGGCAACTGCCCTGGGTGGGGAGCATGCTTGGGCACTTCCGTCGAGTCCTCTCCAAACCCCACGTCCTCTGAGACTTTTCCCTTTCGTCTCTTCCACAGGCCCCATCGCCAGAGGATCTCGAAGGAGGAGGCTCGTTCTGAAGCTGAGCCAGAAGGACACCCTGCAAGCGCTCTTTCAACAGAACCCCTACCCTGGGATAGCGACCAGAGAACGACTGGCCCGAGAGCTTGGCATTGCCGAAAGCAGAGTTCAGGTAGGGCCCCCTCTCTCCACCCGTTCTCCCTCTCAGGCTCCCCGTGCCGATCCGCGTCAGCAGAAAGCACCCGGAGGCCTTTCTCTTGAGAACGTATTCTCTCTGTTTGCCCCTAGGTCTGGTTTCAGAACCAACGAAGAAGACGGTTAAAGCAGAGCCGATCGCCGTCTGCAAATATGCGCCAAGACGGGGAAGGGGCGCCAGGGTCCACGGCCAGGCCACCGTCGACACCTCGTCGACCTCAGTCTTCCACTCAAGGTAAGTTACCCAGCGTTCTGCAAAGGCAAGACCCCCAGAGGGGGGTCCCGAATCCTCCCCCTCTTGACAGAGAATTCTCTCTGCTGGTGGATGACCACCGGAGGCTCAGAAACACCAAGCAGGGAGGAAACAGGGCCATCTGGTTGCGTCCCCCATCAGTGACCCAGATAGGGCCACCATGCCCCCAGGCGGCGTGGACGGGCAGCACTGTTCCCCCTTTGCACCCCCTCCCGAGTCCCCGTCGGGAACTTTAGCCTCCGGCTGCCCAGGCAACCTTGGCCAAGGAGCAGGCTTCAGGGCACTCCGCGGCAAGTCCGGAGGAACAAAGAGACACACAGGGGCATGCATGTGTGCCGAGTGTGCATGTGTGCACGCACACCTGCACCATGGATCCAGGCACGAGATCCATCTGTGGGTGTATTCCGTAGAACCCTGCCCCGGCTTCAGAGCCACCTGAAGTGATTCAGGTGTGTGGGACTCTCCAGCCCCTGCACACCGTCTAGGGTATCTGTGCTGTCAAGGTTCCATGGGCCTTAAAGTCCTCTCCTCTCGGTGTGTTCTTTCCTTGGTAGAAGACTCGGCCAGAGAGGCCAGGAGAAAGAGGACAGCCATCTCTCCTTCTCAAACAAGGATCCTTGTGCAAGCCTTCACGAGGGATCGCTTTCCAGGGATTGCCGCCAGGGAAGAACTGGCTCGTCAGACGGGAATCCCAGAACCTCGAATCCAGGTAAGTTCTCCAGCCAGCGCATGGGCCCAGGCCGTGGCCCAGGAGACGGGCGCGTTCAGCCCTGCCAAGCGTTTGGAGCTGGATACACGTCGGCTTGGGCCGGGGCTTGGGCTGGGGGGAGGGGGCCGAAAGTTGGTGGGCTGAGTGGTGGGTTTTGTGCCGCTTGTTGCCGTGCAGGCGCTCCTCATCTCCCAGGGCCCAGGGATTCGTTTGCAGAAAATGGCCCTGCAGAACTCGCCCTGGGCCTGCCAGATCAGAGGACGGGCCGCCAGGCGGGGTGACAAATGGGTGCCGCGGAGGCGCCAGCACGTTGATCTGGACGGTCACGGCTTCTGATGTGCCTGTCTGCCTTTTGCTCCCCTAGATATGGTTTCAAAACCGAAGAGCTCGGCACCCCCAGCAGAGCGCAAGGGGGCCTGGCAATGTCCGGGCCCGAGGACCAGGCGGCGCATCGGCCACGACCGCTCCTGCTCCAGAGGACCGAAGGGCCCCACCCGCTGTCCACAGCACCTCTCCTCCCCTTGGCCCCTCTCAGACACAGGAGAGCATGCCACCCTTGGCTGCAGCCGCTCCTTTGGGCGCCCCCACCTTCTGGGTGCCCGGGACTGCCTCTGGGGTCTGTGTGGGCCAGCCGTTGATGTTCTTCGTGATCCAGCCCAGCCCGATGGCTCTCCAGCCAAGTGAGAAGCCACCACCTCCTCCCCAGGTAGCAGTGCCCTGG